CAGGGAGGCTACGGGGGGCAGCACCCCCTTCGTTCCTTCAGGCACCCATCTGGGGCCGGGAGGGAGAAGCCGAGGGCGGAAGGAGAGACACACACGCAGCCCCCTCCCCCCACTCGCCCAGAGGAGCCCCTTCCTCCCGCGGGGCATCCTGGGAGTTGAAGTCCGCTGCCCTCGAGGGCCCCCCCCACCCTCGCTTCCTCCGCCCCGGAGGCCCCCGGAGCAGCCGCCCCCCCTGGAGTTCCCGGGAAGGCCCTGGGCCGGGCGACGTGGCGGAGGCGGCGCCGGGAGGGGAAGATGGCGGCGGCGGCGGCGGCCCCCCTCCCCCAGCCCCCCCCCCAGGGCCACTCACCGGCTGCCGGGGGCCTTCCTGGCGGCGCTCCTCCTCCGGGCACAGGCGCGCTCGAAGGGCAGCGCGGAGGCGTAGCCGTGCTCGGCCTCTGCGGGGAGAAAGCGCCGCGTCAGAGAGGCCCGGAGCCCGCCCGCTCGCCCGCCCGCTCTCCCCGCCGTGCCCCCCGAGGCGCACCCCGCTCCCGCCGCTCCAGGTACTCGGCGGCCTCGAGCAGCATCAGCAGCGAGTTCCACTCCATCGCCTCAGCCGCCGCCTGCTCGGGCTCGGGCCGCGGGCGCGCCGCCTCCCGCCCCGGTTGGCAGGTCGCTCGCTCGACGGGCAGCCGCGCCCGCCAGTCGCCCGAGGCGGAGCCGCCGCGCGGCCAATCGCGACCGGGACGGGGACGCCGGGCCCGCCCTCGGAGGCGGACGCGCGTGGACGGCCCGGGCGTCGCGGCCGCTGATAGGCCGGCCGCTATAGCAACAACCCCGAAGCCGAAGCTTAGCAACAGCACGTGGTGGCCCGGCCCCTCGCTCGCTGACTGGCCCGGCTCGCGTATGCAAAGCAGGGCGCCTCGCGGGATTGGGCGCCGGGAGGGGCTATGCAAATGAGAGTCGGAACGGCGGCGGCCGCCGTGGCCTCGATGACGTCACGAAACCTGGGAGAAAATGCGCGCGTCGTGTGAACGCGCGTTACGGGCGACGGGGAAGCTCTTTCCTCCTGGGGAGTTGCGGGGAAGCGCTCCTCCCGGAAATGGAAGGCTTTGCTGCCACCGAACCCCGCAGCTGCAGCCTGAACCTTGACCCCCGTTCAGCAATTCTGCCTTTATTCGGGCAACCCCCCCCTCCCCCCGCCATTATCACGAGCTGCTTTGTGCAGAAGGAGCAAAAAAGGTTACTTGTGGTGCTTTGGAGTCCTGAAAAGGCAGGACGGCGTTGTTGTTAATACTGTGATAGTTGCAAGAGAGTCTCATTGGCAAGGAAGATGAGGAGATCCAAGCCTTCCGTCGTGCAACTGCGCCGCTGCTTTGCTAGCCGGACTTCGTAGAAAGACCGGGGCACCTCCACGCCTTGCAACTGTCCTAATAAATGAACCGCCCTGGGGTTTTTGCCAATATTTCCACTCCCCCCCCCACTTGCAAACACCACTACAGGGAAAAGGCAGGTAGCCCGAAGGGAGGGTTGCTTGAAGCCCAGGACCGGTGTGCCCATAAAATGGCCTGGAACACGAAGGTGAGGCTTATGCAGGTTGGAATCTGTGCCCGGAATGGAGTGGAAATGCTCTTGGCGGGTCTTGAGAATTGGACACACAACTGAGCAAAACCAGCCCAGTCCTTGCTGCTGGCTGAGCTTGGCTGCTTTCTTGCAGCCCCTTTCAGGACCCAGCTAGGCTGGCAAACTCAGAAGACCAGACAGACCCAGCTGCATTTCTGGAAAGTTCTGGGCAGGTGAGAGAATCATGGAAACCGTCTCCAGATCAACTTCTCCCTGTTGCAACTGAGCCCGAGTCTCTCTCTCGGGCTCCCCTCTTCCGAAAGGGCCCCCTTCCCTCCCTCCCTCCAATTGCTGCCTCCTTCAACCACCCAGGATGGGTCCTTCTGGCACTTGGGACCTGCCTTTTCTTTAGCCAGAAACAAGGACAAAGAGAGGAGGAGGAGGAGGATTTGGTTGGATGGTCGTGCCATCTAGCAGCCCGCTCTTTAATCAGCAGGACACGGGATCCTTTCCTCAAATCCTTTGCTGAGGTTAAGGTATCCGATGGCAACCGTGTTTCTGTGATCAACCAAGGAAATCACTCCAAATGATGAAAGATCGATGTGGCAAGATTTGTCCTTGACTGATCCATGCTGGGAACATCTAGGAACCGTATTGCTGCAGATTGACCGCTTTATGATCTGCTCCAGAATCTTCCAAGTTATAGTTTTTAAAACTGATTTGTATGTTAGTTTGAGGGATCTTCCTTTTCCTTTTTTTCTTTTTGCAAACAGATGTCCTCCCCCGCTCACCTTCTGTCGCTTGGCACTTGCCAGTTCTGCAGGATTCTCAGTGACTAAGCATTAGGTCGGCCGAATCAGAGCAGCAGCAGGATCCTTCGGCATCCTAGGATGCAACTCACTTAATTCGGAGAGAGATTCCCCAAGCATCTTTCTCTCGGCCTCCTCCTTCATTCTGGCCCCTTCGTCCTGCTTTTTGCCATCACCTGGGGGAACACATGAGGGCTTGTTAGAGAAGATGGAAGCAGAGCAAAACTGTGGAAGCGCTGTCTCTGCCTTGAGAGCCCTTTGCATGATTGCCTTCTCTATCGAGCGGTTGGTAGACTTAACTCTCTTCCTTCTGAACTTCTCCAGGCACTCTGTGAGTGACGTTCCTGGCATCCTTTGCTTCCTGTCCTCAATTCATTCTGAGTTTTTATTTCCTGTCACCAGATCTGCAGTTCTTGGCTGTCTGCATGCGTCCTTGGTGACCTGGCCCTTGTACCCTTTTCTATTATTTTGCTCGCCTGGAGACACCTGGGCTAGGTGAAAAGCACAGAGTCAAGGACCACGGATCCTCCTGTGTCTTCCTGTATCCCCTGACAAAGTTTATCCCTAAGACAACTGGGAATTTCCCCGGAAAGACCCTGCGTGCAAACTTCCCAAGGTCATTTTAGATTTCTGAATGGGTGTTTTTAATGAACAGAACTGCCTGTAGCTTTTTCTGGTTGTCTTCCTCCTCTTCCTCCTCCTCCTCCTCTATTCCTTCTGTACCTTTGGAACCAACAGTATCCTTCAACATCCTTGATATATTGTATTTCAGTCACCCTAACGGGTCTCCATTACAAATACTAAAGTCCTAATTGCCCTTCGGTATGAAGGTCTCAGCAGGGCTGTTGCGTTGTCCTAAGCTCATTGTGTTGGGAGATTACAGCTCTATGGTGGGAGGGTTTAATCAGGAATGACTTAGGATGGCATAATCGGGACCTTCTCGTGATCCGGCTCTGCGTGAAGAGAGACACAGGGCTTTGTGGCTGACTCGGAAAGGGGCCTCTGGCCCAGTGTAGGCTTGCTAACCAGTCTCCTTCCTAGGCAGGAGGTGGGTTCATCCCAGAGACCTGGCCTCATTGTGCAGTCCACTCTCCAGCTTCATACAGGTATTGTTTCCTCTGCCTCTGGTTGGATACACCTACAGTTGACTGAAAGACCGGAGTCTTTGCGACTGCTTCATTTAACAACTTGTGTTGCTAGTCCCCATTGTGTTCACTAAACGAGGACTATCTGTATGTCAGATCTGGGGTAGTTGCTGAAGCTTCTGGACGTGTACAGTTACCTTGAGTTTCTACGTCAGTTTTAAGAGAAGATGCTGCTTTGGTTTGTGCTAAAATATTTCTGCAGCTCTGGGTGGCTTTCAGAGAATGGGGTCAGCTCGGAGGCTTTCTTAATGGCTTGTCTTGCAAGGTCAGTTGAGATTCCACCGCTCTGGAGTCTTTCCCCCTTTTTTAGATTGAGTTCTGCAGCTTTCCTTTGCTTTCCTCCGTGCGTATCCAGGTCAACTTCAGGAGCTCTCGAGAGGGTTTCCATAGCAATCGAGAGCCCTAATGCTAAGTAAATTGGCTGCTGTTGGCAGAGGGTGAGCTTTGAACCGCAGACATCCCACCCGGAGCGTTGGACACCATGGCCGGATGGCGTCTTTTCCCAGGCTGACCTTTGACGGCTTCTTTCCGGTGGCTAGGAGCTGCCCTCTGATCCCGGCCATTTCAGGTGGGGCCCCAACGTGGTTTGCAAACTGGTTTTAGGGAGGGTTTTTTTCTCCCCAAGAAGGTGGTTTGAGGATGCTAACATGTTGCTTCATTGCTTACAAGAGATCTTGCTACCCCAAGTATTCTCAAGACCTGGGAAAACATCTTGGCCTCTTGCTATCTGATTTTGCCTTTATTTCCTTAGGAAGGATTGTAGACTTTATTAAAAATAAATAAACTGCCTCCGATTAGATCAGGGTGTTATTCAAACTTATTAATTTATGATGTGAGTTGAATTTTAGGTCAGCTGTGGAGATGGTTACTAGCATCACATTTTTGGGTGTGCAGCTGACGAGCAGGTTAGCTTGGTCTCTCAACAGTGAGACACTGGTGAAGTACACACACACACACACACACACATTTTGCCAAGAAAACTTCAGGGTGAGGATGAATCCAGGCAATTGCCAGGAGCCAACAAGGCATCATACATGCATGCATGCATACATACATACATAGTAAACAGATCTTGGCTGCAGATTTATTTGAATTTATCCTCTTCTTGAAGGGCTCAACTATATTTACCACCTAAATCTCTTTAAAAGGCAACACTTCTGAGATGTTCTGGCAACCTTTTGTATCTCTTCTGTGTCTTGTTTTTAATCTCTTTAACTACATGCACATAAAATTACCATGTAATTTTTTTTCAATATAAAACTTGAAGGTTTTTTTTTTTCTTGAGACCAGTTAAGCCTACAGCACGTGCTTTCCAAAGGACCTAAAGAGAAGTTTTAACCGAGACAGCTATCCTATGGAGAATATTTCTGCATTTGCAATTAAGATCTTAGAGGCTTTAACAAGGTAGAGTTTCCTGAAGAATATTGGATAAAACAAAACCCTCCTAGAATAACAAAGCAAACCTTTTATTTTTATTAAATGAGAACAAGATCACACGGAAAGATTAGAAAAATTATATACATTGTTTATTTAGCTGACTATCTGTACAGGTTATATTTATTCTGTGATTTGAAAAGCCACTGAATAATAAAATAATGTTAATGTTTGTAATAGAAGATACTTCTGTTTTAGAAAGTAAAGCATTTAAATTACCCACTTCCAACTTCTTTAAAATACAATATACCTATTCACATTCTATTCGATTGAAAATCTCTGTACTCAAAATTCACAGCTGATTATTTTACATATGTGTTTTTCACTTAACTAGGATACCAATATGTGGATTAGAATAAAATCTGATGCCACTTATTTTCTAATGCTTACAAACATTGATTTCAGTTCTTTAAAATTAATTTATCTCCATAAAGAATTGAAATACAAGATTTTTAAAACAGTTTGAGTCTAATATTAAACAGAGTAATTCAGAACAAAGTCTGGATTTGGATTCTGCAAAACTTTTAGTATTTTATTTTCTAAATACCAATATTTTAAACAGACCTCATTTAAAAATTATCTGGGTTCCCTGAACAATATAATTTTTTTAATCTTATTTATGATACACTACATACTAGATGTAAAATACTAACTTCACAACTTCTCCATGCCTGGCAGAAATGCACAACAATCAATTTATAGAAAAGGCATGTCTTTTTGTAACTTCACAGTAACAAACACACTGCTCTAATTCAAGTAAAGATTTAATTATGGAAAAAAATAAGTGTTTGCTTCTATTTTTGCACTAGATCTTGCAGCTTTACACTTCAATTACATACTCCATTCTCCCAATCTTTCCACATCACATTTTCCACATATTAATTTTAGTTCAGTCATAACATATTAAACAGGAATTTATTACCATTGCACCATATTTTCCGCATAACCTGTAGACATAATTTTAAGGCAAGGAAATCGATTTGCAAGGAATAAAAATAGAACAATGACAGCATTTGTCAGTATGGAGAAAAAACCCCACTGATGTCTCAAAGTAGATTAAGTGCTATACCTATCCAACCATCTGATTACATGGCATCTTCCATAAATTCACCATTACCACTTACACTCTACGAAGTCTGATGATTTGTTGACATCTATGAACAATAGTCCTCATTATTGGCAATATTACTAAGAATTTTGTGGGAAGGCTTGTAGATACACTTCAAAGTGGTCCTGATGTACAGTTTATGAATAAAAAGCACCCATTCTCCAAACGGGGGTTGTTCCAAATTATTTTAAGGAATTTGGAAAAGTAGCTCTTCTCTGGATACAAAATGGAGCAGAGGAATTCCATCAAGTAGGAGGGCTGTTTTCATGATGGTAGCTGCCCCCAGGGAAAGAGGCGGCTTTTACCAATCTTCAGGAATGCTTCTGAATTTGCAGAACAGCAACAGTAACTCTTCACCACCTTCGAGCGATGAGAAAGCCATTCGAAGGGCAGCCACACTGGTGGCCTCCGACCACCATGGATGGTAGGAAGCAGCGTTGTGCGGTCTGGCTACCAGGTTATTACTTTGTTACTGACAAAAGGAGGTTTACCTGAAAGACAAAGGTGTTTTTTTTTTTTTTAGAAGCACAAATAACTTTCTTGAAGATTTAGAAGGCAGATGTTCAGGAATTAAAACTACCCATGTCCCCCGTCCATCTTTCTACAGTCTCCCCATAAATTTTTGTACCTAACAATTTACTCCCAAAATGAAGGACAAATAGTTTTTTTTAAAGTTTTTTTAAAAAAAGACAAGAAAATAAACTGTTAGATAACCTGTTCCATTGATGGACAAGCTATGATCTGGAGATCTTCATTGCTAAATTCCTCTTTTAAGACGGCATGCAGCTTTTGAAACACTTGCTGGATATTGTTCTTAATGGAAAAGAAAAAAAAAATACTGGTGACTTCATTATCTTAAAAGCAATGTGTGCACAAATACTGAGCTCCAAAGTTGTGCAACAGTCCTCCACACAAATCTTACAAGCACTTAAGTCACACCATTCAATTCTCTCATACACACGTGCAGCCCCAGGGATTCAAGGGCCAATTTGGACCATTTGTTTGAGACCTACAGAGAGAAAAAGGAGGAAGCAGGAGAGAGATGGCAGGGACCACTGTTTCCCAACCTTGGCAATTTTCAGATGTGTGGACTTCAACTCCCAGAATTCCCCAGCCAGGCTGTCTGAAAATTGCCAAGGTTGAGAACCCTGGCAGTGACAATTGTAGTAAAATAAGGATGGCGAGCATGACAATGGAAAACAGGAATTCCGCGCATGTTAGCTCTAAAGGCAAATGTGTTACGTACATATTTACAAGTCCCATCCGATGCTCCCAAAGACCTACCCTAACGGGCTTGAACAAGATGAATTCGGTGTCCTTATTGGACAAATAAAGCGACATACTCTGTAAGGTTGGCGGCAGCTTTGTTTTTATTCTCTTGTAGGTTGATGACACCAAGTCATTGATCTTCACTGTAAATAAAACAGACACAAAGGCTCTCATGCTACAGAACTTCTTCTGCAACAGTTTTGGGCAATCTCAAAGACGGGTTCCACTTTAAAATACAAAATCCATTTCTTCTATTAATGATAATTTTTACATAAATAAATCGAAAACAGATTATAGCTAATTGGAGAGTAACCCAAACCTGTAGGTTGTAGCTACGGAATAAAACCTGCAATAGTGATCTTACTTAAAAATAAAATCATGGGCAGATGGCAGTTTTCCACTGTTGGAAAAAGCTACCTGGTTGGGCCCAAGGCTGCTGCGAGAGATTGTACTTAGGACCCCTCTGAGAAGCCACTGCGGTCAAGGCTGAAACCTGAAGGAAGGAGAAGAAGAGGGTTAAATGGATATACGATATCCCAGAGAGAGGCTTTCAGTGGGCTCAAAAGCTTTCTTAAGCCCTGGAGCGCTTCAACTGGGCTCCAGCAGTGAATCTGCCCGTTCACAGCTACTCTCTTTCTTAGAAAGCAAAATAAAAAACCAAAATTTTAAGCCTAAATAGGTCAAACTGCTGACAATAGTGGATTTCTAGTACTTTAATACTTTTGACAGAAATTCCTGCAGGGGTTCGACCAGCTGTTTAGTCTGCTGCTGAATGAACTGCTCGCAAGCCAGCTTCAGGTGTCGGTCCACGTCCTTCTTAGAGTCGATATAATGCTCTCTTATTTCTGGCGTGCCCTACAAGAGGAAGGCAGAGGGGTCTTCAGAATTCGCCACACCCCAAAGTGATTTTCCCAGGCATGCTGACATTTGTAGTAAGTATTCTTTCACCTCCAGCAGGAACTGTATGATTGCATTGCTGCTACTTAGCCTGAAGAACTGGGGGACGGTCATGGGATTCAGGATTTTAAAGGCAGCAGCTGAGAAAAGAGGAATGTTTATGAATATTTATTTTATGAATCCAAATCAAATGGAACTTCTGTGTCCTGCTTCCTGCCTGGTTCCCCAGGAGGGCTGACACTGATCAGGAGGAGGAAGAACTCTGGCTGAATGGTTTCTCGCCCCTCCTGCATTTGGGGGGCCTTCCACACAATCCCATACCTCTGGTTTTCTTCAGGTCCAGCGAGATTTCCTTAATTGTGAATTCAGTGTGGAAGGGAGCAATTTGCTCACGAAGAATCAAAAGGTGCTTTATCAGAAAAAGCTGTCCGTCGATTTGAGTCTAAAATACAACAACATCAGATGTCCAGGCAGGTGGACACAGAGCACTGGCCTGTAACTGATGAAAATAAGCCAGGAGCAGCTTTGAGGACACCCAGAGTGACGGGAGGCCACCTCCACGGCCTCTGTTTCATCAGAGCAAACTCCTCTGCCCCCCCACCCCACTTGAACCCAGCTGCCAATGGCTCCCCCTCTCCTCCCGCTTCTGACCAGTGCTTATACCCGACCTTGCTTTTAGCAATAGAATCTGCAGCCACCAACAACGACTGTATGCAGGCCGATAGCGCCTCCTGCGACAATCCTTGGAAGACCGTTCCCTGGAGAAGGGGAAAAAGGCAGCCTTTCACAACGGACACAGGCAATACAGCTGGCACCCTCACATTACCTGGTTAAATGCAATTTATTTACCCGAACCTATCAGGCAATAAATGTGAAACAACAGGGCAAGTTCATAAAAGACTTATGTTCTTCCACATGTAATAAAAAAGAAAAGAAAAAGAAATGTTAACTGCTTACATCAATGCACCTGTAAAGCTTGGAGAGACAGACCAGGGTCCTCCTCACAGTAGGGTACCACATCCCGTGGAGATCCGCAGGGGACACCACATTATGGGCTCTAGGACTGCAAGGTTCCAGCGTATCTGCAAATGCAGGTGGTGGGATGGTTTAGATCAGTGCTTCTCACAGGCTTAGCAAGTTGAAGATGTGTGGATTTCAACTCCCGGAATCCCCCAGCCAACCTCCAGGTGCCAAGCTCAAGAAACCTCCGATAGTCAGGGATCATCTCCGTATCGCACCCTAGGACATCATCTACTGTACTAGGAGCAAAAGGAAGCTTTTGCCCTTTTCTTCTTATCTCAAGAGCATTTTCAATGCCTTTGGACTGAAGCACCAGGCTCTTTCAAGGCAAGGCAAGAATCGGTCGTTATGCTTTAAACCAAACAACGTCCAGAAAACAACTGGTCTAATCTTTCAAAGGAAAACTTGATACTGATCCATGCAGCCAAGCCAGTGAAGTGGTTTGTGTTTGTTTCCCTCCTGGGCTTTCTAGACACTGAGAATCAGGCATCCTAATACAATTATTAGCAGCAGACTTTTTCAAGGACACAACTTTGCACAACTGCACATACATACCAAGTTTTACCTCGCTGCAGCTGTCTGGCTCTTCCTGCTTTGCAGCTGACAAGGAAGCCTCAGCAGGCCACTTCTTCTCTTCCTCTTTTAAGCTCTGTGCAATTTGCTGCCAGGAAAAATCCATCTTGTGAAGGAGCCCATAAAAGACGTTTGCTTATTTTATTACTTATTATCATTATCTTAACCCAGCTCTTTCTCTCTGTTCTCCGTGTTGTTCTCACTCAATACAGAATGACTCTCTGGAGTTAAATATCTTTCTGCAAAAATAACGTCTGGTGTGGCAGAACCACTGACTGAAATTATACTGAATCCTATTTAGAGAATACCATTTTTGTTCAATATCCGTCCATATTGGTGTACAAGAAAGCCACCAATCCCGAGTGGGCATTTTGCTTAATGACCTACGACTGAAACTGCAGAGTCAATTGTAAGTTGAGGGCTATCTCTGTGTTTACACAGGTTTAGTTGTCCACATGGACACAACTTTGTGCCATTTTCTCAATCTAGTTCGATGCTCCAAGCCCAGTGACAGCATGGCAATGTTTGAGGCCTCATTATAACGTCACTTTGAAAGCAGGAACGTACCAGCTGCGTTCGCCAGGCTCATTATCCTTTTGTTGAGATGATGCCTTGTTTTCCTCTGCAAACCGCGCCCCCCTCCCTCTCACCTCCATCATCTCCAACTTGGCAGGATAGGCCAGGTCCCCGGGGGCAGGCTTATAGCCCAGAATGTCCGTCTGAATGTAGATGTGAGTCCTGTAAACCAGCCGCTCTTGAACGTCCTCCAACATCTGCTTCACTCCAGCAGCGAAAGCACCCAGCTGTTTCACTGTGAAAAAAATTAAAAGTTCTCACTCTCTCCAACTTTCTCCCAGTTATCATCAAAACACACTACACTGGTGCTTCCTCAGCATTGGCAACCCAAGGACCCAGAATTCTCCAGCCAGCCATTCAGCCAATTCATGCTGGCTGGGGAATTATGGGCGTTGAAGTCCTCAAAGTTGCCAAGGCTGAGAAACATTGCACTGATTCTATGCGGATGAAAATGAATATATATTGCCCTAAAAGTTCCTGAACTGAATTTAGGAACAATCTCTTATTGTAAATGTTCTTTACTTGCCATTCTGTTTCATTTTCCAACCAGGGAACAACGAACTGCCTCTGTCTGCATTGAATGGACAGACTTCCAAGAATAAAAGCAAGGCAATTTTATTTGTATACATTTACCTAATAATGTTAGTTACTGTTAAGATTGGTGGTGCGTGTGTGTGTGTGAGTGATACGACGTCCTTGCAGTCAGTTGTGTCAGGGTGACTAACTGCAGGGGTATAATTTTGAAACTGGGTTGTAAGGAGCTGGGTTATGTGTGTGTGTGTGTGTGTGTGTGTGTGTGTGTGTTCTATGGTAACTGTGAAAAATTGCTAAGTGATCAGCCAGAATCCGAGGACTGCCTGTGGACACCCTGTCCAGTCCTGTTTAAAACGTCTGATCTTGTTTTGATTGTTTGGTTCCTCTCTCTTACACTCACTGTTGTTTTGCACATGATCTTCTAACATTTCATTTTTGAGGATCCCGCAGAGTTCAGAGAGAGTTTCCAAATGGATTACGTGGATGATCAGTGGCCTGAAGACGTCGTATAAAGACAAGCAGAGCTTTTCCAGGAGCTCACTGAAGAAGAGAAGAACAGGCGCACCAAAAGGTCAGAAGTGTTAATAAACAGCCAGCCCTTCCCACCCACCCAGAGAGGAAACCTAATGTAGCCAGCTAAAAGTGGATGAATAAAATGGGTCATTTCTCTCCATCATGCTGGCAGGATTTCATACAATAAAAGAAAATGCTACATGGGTCACCTACTCCAGTTTGGGTGTTGGTTTTGTGAAGAACTCGTCAAAAAGCTGATGTTCATCCTGGCAGACATGAACCATGAAGGCACAGCCACTTCGTACCTGAAGTCAGTCATAAATAGATGCGCGGTTAGGTTGAGACATATTGGTTACGGTCCCTGAACCGGTTCCCCTAATGCTGAAATGGTACCAAGGATTCCTGACTTGGCAGTGAGGAACAGTTCACTGCAAATCCCTGAGCTATCGGGCCACAGCAGCGCTAAAGTCACATTGCTGGCTCAGCCCTGGCTTCTCCGTTTCACTCTCCAAGCCTTAAATTTATGGACTGCATTGTCACCCAATGCTATGAAAAGAAACGTTGCTTGCAGTTTCAGTCAAGATATAAATCACAGTTGCAACTCAGCTTGGGAAATGCAGTTACTCAACACACGCCACTCAGGTTTTAGCCCACATTAATTAAATAATTCTATCTCTCTCTAGGATCTTTCAAACCACAGTGAATTAAAAAGGCGTCTGCCTATAAGCAAATTGGCCAAATAAAATCAAAGTTCCCCAGGCAATTTTGATCTCTTTTGGAATTGTTAAGAAAAAATAGGCTTGCTACATGATAAAACCGAGGGAAAAAAACACATTTCCCTGAAAGCTAAAAAAACAACATACTTATGTGAGCAAAGTATTTTTCTATTAAATTCAAAAGGAGCCAACAGTTCATTTTAAAAAATGAAAATGCAAACAGAGAAAGATAAAACAGCAAAAAATATGATTTTACCAGAGCACAATGATCTCTGTTGTTTCGGTTAGTTAATTCTGTGACAGTGCTGGTAATACTGGGCCCCAATAAGTGTTCTCTCTGATTAAGGTAACAGTGGTGGATTTCATTTAATAGTTGCCGGTATCTAGACAAAGGGGGAAAAAGAGAGAGAAATAATGGATTTCAGAGAGAAACTAAATTTTAGAGGTACTAAACTCATTACATTTTATATGCCTCTTCTCTGCTAAGAATGAGCAGTAAAAAGTGAATGACTTTTTGGGGCCTGTAGTCACACGACTGAAATTATGTAGCCAACCACCAAGAAGTGACTGGAGCATGCCCATTTTCAAGGTTAGGAATAATTTTAAAGGCCTTTCAGTGATCTTCATTAAAAAAAAAAAAAAAACCACCCTGGAAATACACAGCCATCTATGCCCTCACCCACTTACAGGATGTGGCCTTGCCCAGTCACGTAAAAATCATCCCCAGCACAGAAAACCACACAAACCTTAATCTTAAAAAAATAGCAAAAGCTTGCTTGCTTCCGTTCCATTGTTAGAAGCAAAAGAAAGGAATATAAAGTTGGCTTTGTTGGTCGTGGCTAAAACATGGAATAGTTTTAACATCCTAGAAGCCTTTGTGGACTTTTTGCCAACATTTGGACAGAAATGGCAATTTTTGGATTGGTAAATGGATGTGGGGGGGAGCATTATCAGAACTATGCATGTAATCTCATAGATGAGGAACCATTAAACTGCCTCTACTTGTTTCAAGGAAGATTGGGGGTCGCTTCTCTATTCTTTTTTCCCCATTTCTCTTCCTTTCTCTCCATTTTCTTTTTCTCTTTTCCTTTTTTCACTTTGTATTTCTTCTTTCCTATTCTTTTTTCTTCTGATTTCAGTCTGCACTGGCTTCTAGCAGTGTAAAACTGTTTAATAAAAAGTATTTTTAAAAAGAAAAGTAGCCCGGTGCTGCTTAGGCAAAATTCAGCAACTTTTGGGAAAATCTTCGGTGTGCCACTCTTTTTTTATGGCTCCAGGACAGGAGGAGGGAATTACAACGGACTGAAATTATCCTGGATTTAAAGGATCCCTAGTACTCCACACGGTTCAAAAACAAAACCACAGAAATGTGACCAGATTTTTGAGAAGCGCAATGAGAATAACTGGGAGACCAGAAACTAAAAGTGATTGAAGGAGAGATTAGGGTCTTCACAGGGGATTCCAAGCGCACAGAAGCAGGCTGATTCCCAAACTTCCTCTCAAGGTGGCCTCTTGCATGCTTGTCATTGACTTAAACATTCACCATATATTTACTTTATCCTCATCTGACTTCAGTTACTTGCAAGGCCATAAAGTAGTGATTTGAGCTGGTGGGGCAAAATGAGGCCCTCTCGGTCCAAGAAAAACCAGGGATCACCTCCTGGGGCCAGAGGGGGTCTCCCCAACCAGGCCTGCTGTGCTCAAGGAGAGAATGAGGATCAGATGGCACCTTCTTGGGCCTCAATCCACGGAACAGTATTTTGCATTCGTTTTAATATAAAATGCTAATAAGTCTACATACTCCGGCATTTTCTCAGATCGTTGCTCGATTTGTTCAAAAAGTGTCTAGGGAAACAAGGAGGAAAAAAAAAGGTAAATGACCCCTCAAGTAAAGTTTTCCCATTTCAACTGTTTTCTTTTGATCCTGTTCAATTAGCGAGAATCCTCTCTGCACTCCAAAAGAGACTCATTTCTGAAGAAATATTTAGGAAATTCCCATGTGAAAAATCTCATCTTCCTGTCCTTCTAGAGTAAATAGTTTTTCTCTGCAATCTTATTAATTCAAACTTCCCAGTGCTTTAAAAGGTGAAGGGTTTGGTATAATTTCATGACCCAGGAGTGAAAGAATATAAGATCCCAAATCGAAAATCCAAATATGATCAGGTAAAGCAGCTAATTCCAGAGACTAAGAGATAGTGAAAAGTTTGATTCAAGTCTATAAAGAGAGGATTTATTGGTTGTCAACTACGACCATGCAAAACGAACCATCTGCTGGTGCAGCTGGCAGAGCTAGCTTTTACTTCGGTTAGAATGCCGTATTCTAATGGGATGGAAGCAATTTTAGCACCCAGCCTTCCCCTTTGGCCAGAGACCCAGTTTCGGAAAGCGGATGTCAGCACGAAGTGCCTCTGTCAACCTTCAGTGTCTCCCGGGAGGCGTAGATAAACAAAACAAGTAAGTTTTGTTTGAGCATACAGTAAATAGCTTTTCGCAATAATTTTGTATTCCTTCTGACAATCACCCTCCACTGTTCGACCTACCCTGACTTTGGGTGCAGCAGCTCTGAACTTCACATAAAACAAGGTAAAGGCGTTGTCTGAATTTGGAGCCACCAAAGGATCCTAAAAGAAACAGAGAGTTATCTGCACGCTGAGTTATTGCACAACGGGGGGGGGGGGGGGAGGGGGAGGGGAGGGAGGACATTTACACCAACCCATATAAGACAGAGAGAATCCCAAAGCTTATATATATATATTTTCTTCACCCTGAATCCTCCAATTGTAGAAAATAACTCTGGAGGCCAATTTTAAAGCAGAGCTTTTTAGAAACTCTCTCTGTCATCATATATTTTTTTGGGGGGGGGGAGGCGGAGTGTCAGGAAGGAGCTATTATTACTCCTTGGAGATCCCGGGTAGCTCAACTAGGCAATTCCGCAGCAACCCACCTGAAGGCCTAAAGCTTCTTCCCAAAATTACAATTACTGCGAGTTCAATTCTCACCAGGCTCAAGGCTGACTCAGCCTTCCATCCTTTCTAAGGTGGGTAAAATGAGGACCCGGTTTGTGGGGGCAATAAGCTGACTTTGTATAAAAATATACAAAAGTATGAAGGCTATTGCTTAAAGCATTGTAAGCCGCCCTGAGTCTCCGGAGAAGGGCGGCATATAAATCAAATTTAAAAAAAAAATGTGAGGAGGCAGCCTAAGGCACCTCTTGCTCCTTTGAAGCCCAACCTTGAAATGCCAAATGGAGACTGATAATGCTCTCCAGTGACCTCACAGTGCCACTGCCACTGCTACCCGTCTGTGACATCACAGTGTCCCTGAAAAGTCTCCAATGAAGGGAGGTAGCCATGCTATTCAGGAGCCCCTAAGGACAGGCTCTGAAGGAGACCAGGGGAATCACAAGCACGTGCTGAGGAGAAACCCAATGTAAACCCTGGTTCTAGAACAGAGGCATCTGCTAAAAAATCAATACCTGGAAAGACAAACTACTAGCACAACAAAAAAGTAAAGTGCAGTGAACAACCGAGGGCAAAAACTGGTTATAGAAGGAAAACTTCCCTAGCAATAGCCCTTAGTACTTATATATCGCTTCACAGCCCTCTCTGAGCGGTTCAGAGAGTCAGCCTATTGGCCCCAACAATCTGGGTCCTCATTTTATTCACCTCGGAGGGACGGAAGGCTGAGTCAACTTTGAGCAGGTCAGGATCGAACTAGGGATACAGAGTTCTGTGAAAAAGTGTTTGATCTATTTTGGGCTTTTCTGAATTTTCTACCCAGATTATTGGGGGCAATATGCTGATTCTGTAAACCGCTTAGAGAGGGCTGTAAAGCACTGTGAAGCAGTATATACATCTAAGTGCTGTTGCTATTGCTATCTCTTTGCCCCGAATGTGAATCCTACCAAAATGGAAAGGGGTCTTGGGTGAACAGAAGTATTTATTTCATCCCACAGAAAAATGCACCATTTTAAGCCAAAAAAAGTTGCCCATCCTTGTGTCACCAAGGAAATTTTTGCAGACGATTCTCTTTGAGGACAGATTTAACACTATTGAATGTACATGAGTTGATAGCGTACCCTTTTCATTAACTGATTCGTGAGGTTCTGTAGGGTGTTCACTGTGTATGCTTTTATAAGATGCACCACTTTAGAAAGACACTGGTTGCACTTTGCCAAATACACAGCGCAGTCCCTAAAATTTGGCTGCAAAAGAAGGAAAGGATATTAAACAAGAACGATAAATAAAAAAGTTAAATAATGAAAAAGGGAATGATGGATTTCATACTTCAAAATGAATGTGCAGAAACTTTCTAGATAGTCAAAGTTCCCTCTGCACCAAATTAAAAGCAATCAAAAATGTCATATTCACCAAAATGCCATATTCACCCTCCCCCAGGGGGAGGGCCTTCTCTGTGGGAGCCCCTGCCCTATGGAATGAACTGCCCCTGGAAATGCATAAGATCTCCGACCTCCGTATATTTCGCTGTGCCCTCAAGACCCTGCTGTTCTGCCAAGCCGGGCTATCAATGTAATGATTTTTAAATTGGGTGTTTTAAATTTTTGGGGTTTTAAATCTGAGCCAAAATTATGTAATAATTACATAATGTAATTATGTAATAAGGTTACTGCAAAATCCCCATTTCCTCCCGATCAGATGGGACTCGGGAAGCAGAGAATAGATGGGGGTGGGGCCAGTCAGAGGTGGTATTTGCTGCTTCTCCAAACTACTCAAAATTTCCGCTACCGGTTCTCCAGAACTGGTCAGAACCTGCTGAAACCCACCTCTGCTGGGTGGGGAATTCTAGGAGTTGAAGTCCACAGGTCTTAATGTTGCCATGGTCGGACACCCCTGACCTAACTACTGAAAAAAAGTAAAAGAACATAAATCTTTGGCCTGCAAGGCACACATCCATTATATTGCTCTATCCTCCAGACAGAAATTTATGAAATATTTTTATTTATCAAATTTATACACTGCCCATCTCACTCTCTAGGTGACTCTCTACACAAAGTCTGTGCAAAAATAAACAAAAAATTGAAACGATGGAGCGAGTGCCCTGAAGCCGCCAGTTATGCCCTTTAAAGCAGGGTGAAGGATATGAACAATACCTACATGGGAGGAAACGTAGGCTATGCAGTCGTCCAGTTTGTTCAGCATCGGGATGAAACTTTCACTGCTAACAGACAGTGTAGGCGAATTCAATTTCTTATTGGAGGCAAAGCAAAGAACAGAAGTCCATAAAAATGCACAACCGAAGAAATCTTGCTTTGATACCATTATTACACAATACGCTTTCCAGCATTTAAGAAAATACTCATTATTTTGTACCATTTTTTAAATACTTTCAATATTCCGTTTGGAATGACAATTTTTAATCACACTTTTCCACCTCTCATCAAGGTAAGAGAATTAGGAACTACAATCCACAACCCTTCAAGGGGCTTGGAAAGAATGCCAGCTGGTATCTCTAGGAGGGGAAGACAAAAATGCTCTGACCAGAACAGAGGGACTCTGTGGGTGTAGGTGAGATACCCACTGCCCTAAAGCGCAGCAGTCGCATGGCTGAGATTTACAAAGGCAGCGGTGGCAGTCTCCGTTGCCGTCCTCAGACGGGTCCTGCATGGTTGTGGCATCCCAGGTGACGGATTGCCCTCTGCCACCTCCTGCCGGTTTCCCCTGCTGACTTGTCAGAAGCTGTTCGTGAAGGTCTGAAGGGCCATCCTGTCACTGCAGGACGCTGTAACTCTGGATTATCCGCCAAGGGCCCAATGGTGACCCCAGGGACACTGCAAAGGCTGCTGCAACTATCAGAGCCCGTTGTGAGCCCCCCCCCCAAATTCAGCACCAGGGGAACCTTGAAGGGCAGCTGAAGGAGTGCTCCTCCAATGAGATAACTTGCACATGCTCCACCTTCTCCCCTCTATTGTCTTGTGCTTCCATTTTAATGCAGCTTAGACTTTTCTTATTTCGTTGTCTTTCAAGATAAAATTAAAACCTTCCAAGGAGCAAAGTCTTACCCAAGTTTATTTGAAACAAAGTTTTAATGAGTTCTATGTATACTTGTTTACTAGATTTCAACTGTAAACCAGGATTAAATGAGAACTAGTTATTAACCTTCGTTATACGCTTTTAGAAAGGACTTCAAATGCAGAGACTGGGAGTTTTTTTTAGAAATGGGGAGAGGTTAAACAATTGTACCTACTGTATTAATATTTTCCAGTTCAATGAAATAAGACAGTTTCTGATGGATATTTTCTGCCAGGTCCACGAGCTCTGACTAAAAAGAAATGAAATATTTATTAGCAGGTAATTATTTTTATTTTTATTTATTTATTTATTTTTATACCGCCCTTCTCCTGCGGGACTCAGGGCGGTGTACAGCCGAGATAAAACATAGCATATACAATTTAAAAACAGTTTAAAAAACAATTAAATAATTTCGGCCCAAAATTTAAAACAACCCAATTAAAACCAAATTCAATTAAAACTGAGAGGATGGGATCAAGCCAGCCCGGCTAGATGGAATAAGTGTGTTTTCAGGGCCCGACGAAAAGTCCGGAGGTCTGATATCGTGCGTATCTCAGGGGGTAGGTCATTCCAGAGGGCAGGTGCTGCTACGGAGAAGGCTCTCCCCCTGGGGGTCGCCAGCCGGCACTGTCTGGCCGACGGCACCCTGAGGAGGCCCTCTCTGTGCGAGTGTACTGGCCAGTGAGAGGCTATCAGTGGCAGAAGGTGGTCTTGCAGATACTGCGGCCCTAAGCCATGGAGCGCTTTAAAGGTGGTCACCAACACCTTGAAGCGCACCCAGAAGACCACAGGAAGCCAGTGCAGCTCGCGCAGGAGAGGTGTCATATGTGAGCGCCCCATCACTCCCATAATCCCCCAGGTGGCCGCATTCTGGACTAACTGCAGCCTCTGGGTGCACCCCAAGGGGAGCCCCATGTAGAGAGCATTGCAGTAGTCCAGGCGGGAATTAAAAGCATGTTATCACATACAATATGGAATCGCCTCTTTAAAAGCACAGATTTATAGTTATTACATTTATATTAGCATTTTAGTATAGTTCCCAACATTTCACTTGGATATAAACTTGGTATGACAGTGTTACACAGAAGAGAATAACACTATTGTAAAAAACTAAGTTAATCAATCATTTCTTAATTCGTAATTCAGATCCAGGTAGCAAGTTGAACTACAATGAGTTCCAGTTTGGTGTCAGCATCCCAGTGCTGACCTAGAAACCCGGAGATGGGGAGGTCCAGGCTTCCCTTCGGCATGAAAGCAGCTGGGTGTCTTTGGGCCAGTCCCTCTCACTCAGCCCAACCTACCTCACAGAGTTATTATTGTGGGAAAAATAGGAGGCAGAAATATCAGGTATGTTTGCCGCCTTACTTATATATAAGTAAGGTGGCAAACATACCTGATATTTCTGCCTCCTATTTCTATATCTAAATTATATATAAAAGGCAGGTTAAAAAGATAACTATGATAACAATTCCTCTTACTTCTAAGGGCATGGTGGTAGACCACTCTCTGTGTAACAGTTTATTAAAATACCTGGTCTAAGGAATGTGATACTAGACTCCTCCAAGACATCAATTCCTTCATTTGTGGCCTTGGGACATGAGAAGGCTAAGCTTATCTTCTGCCATTCAACCCTGAGGTTACCTGCTCTTTTAACAGCTGCTCGCAGGCTTCATGCAGGGTTCCTGTTTTGGTTGAGACAAAGAGGTATTGTTCCTGCAGTGACTTAAGGTGCTGAAGAGCACAATTCACATCGTTCAGTATGGCATCACACTGCTCTTCAAATCCAGAATAAGCTGCCCTGGCCAGCCTTGGAGAAACACACAAACCACAGTGCCTTTAAGTGTTTGTAGTAGCAATGGGAGAATTGATAAAACAATGCCGAAATGTTGGATTGCCTGTTGTATAGCTACAGCGTGCAGTATAACGTATGGTAATTCTATGTATACCATGGTTCATTTGGGGAAACTAGGACACATGGGGAGGGAGACGGTTAAAAAAGAGAAAAAGTTCATTAGAAAAATCAAGAGAAAATAGCTTTGTGTAAACTGGAGAAATAACAGAATATACAAAATGACTTTAAAGTTCCAAATATCTTGTTGAATACATAAAACAAAGGAAGAAAACAATGCTAAGTGTACAAGATATTGAAGGAATTAAAGCTCATATCGGCTGCTTTAGTCATTATTGATGGATACTGCACATATTTACCTTACAATTAAGGGAAGTAAAATACATACCGTATTTTTCTGAGTATAAGACGCACTTTTTTCCCTCCTAAAAGAGGCTGAAAATTTGGGTGCGTCCTATACTCCGAATGTAACCCTGCGCGATGCCCAAAATGGCTACCCGGAACAGCTGCTGCCTTCTCTTACCCCTTCTGCGCTTTGCCTGCTTTAGTCACTGGAGCTCCCTCCGAGGATTTAGCTGTGCTTTTGAAGCTGTTTTTCAGCCTCAATGCGAGCAAAGCAATCTTCCGTGCTTTGCCTGCTTTTCTAATTGCTGCTCCCTCCGACAATCAGCCGTGCTTTGGAAGCACAGCCCCAACCTCAAAACCAGCAAGTGAACTAATGTGCTGGGACTAACCAGATGAATACCTGGTAGGCAGAATTCCCCCCCCCCAATTTTCCTCCCCATAAACTAAGGTACATCTTATATTCCAAAAAATACAGTATATATACATACCGGTATTTGGTCTCCTCATCTTGATCCATCTGTGTATGAAGTTGATCAAACCAGGAGAAGAACTAGACCAATGAAAGGACAAGGCTCTTAAAAATCACCCTTAATTCAGATGAAGCAGACAATTTTGTTCTCTTTATTGTTTGCTATATTCCTAAACAAGTTGAAGAAATATTTTAGGAAAGGATTTATCAAATGTCAATCAAAATCGGAAGAGAGCTGCATTTCCCCCCTCCTATTCAATTGCATCCACTTCTTGAGTCAGGGGCTGCATTTTTGTTGGCAAGGTTTCCCACAAGCGGTTTGGCATTGCCTCCTTCCAGGGGTTGATGGGAGGTCACTAGCTGGCTTTGTGCCCAAAGCAAGACAGGAACTCACAGTCTCCCAGTTTGTAGCCAGGTGCCTTAATCACATCATCAAACTGGCTCTCAACTACTATTACTATTATTATTACTATTTGCGTAAACTTGTCAATTCTTCCCTCCCAAATCCCATCATTCATTTTTCCTCCCATTTTCACCCAAGCCAAAGGAAGTGAAATTTACTCCATCAACGTCACTTGAAAGCCCACTCTGGAGTTCTGGGGGCAAAGCAGATCATCTGACTCCTCAAAATGACCCAAACTAAAGAAAAGACAAAAATGCACCAGCCATCCAGGAACTGCTTATTTCAGTCCCAACTGGAATTGGAAAGCTAATGGCCAAATTAGTAATTAGAGCTGCGCAGGGGATATGAATCTGAAAAGGAAATTTGCTTGTTGCTGCAGCCATCCAAATCTCCTCAAATCAAAGGCGTCTTTTCCTGGTTCTGGCCAGTCAAAGACAGACACAAATTCTTCCTGTGTGATCCAAGTCACCTTTTCCTTTTGCAACGGAATCTCTGCACAACCAGTCAAGTCTGTGGTCTTTTGTATTCTACCAGAATCAAAAAGAGCTTGCAGTTCCTTTGTTTCCTTTTTACCTGCTGTGCCGTTTCAATTCTTTCATTTTCCATACCAAAAGAAGAGAATCCTTTCAAGAGAATGTTCTCTGTAGACTCTGGCAATGTGGCTGTCAGCGTGACTGTTAACGATGGCTGGACAAGGCTATTTAAATCTTCTATGGGTAGCTGTTAAAAAGAAAAAAAAAATTCAGTTCCCATCCTGTGAAGCCCATAAGACTCCTGGCAGTTGACAGTATTGTACAAGTAAATCATGTCTGGTTGCTATGTGATAAAATATTGAAACGAAGTCTTTAAACACTATATGTATATATACAATATACACATTCAAATCGAGTCATATTTAAATACCAAGGAAGAATCAGACCCTGATAAACCCACCACAATCCTTGAGTAGCAATAAGAATCACAGGGTCCAAGAGCCAAACTGTAATATTAAATTGCAATTAACATTCAGGTCATGCTAAAAAAGCCAAGCTGCATAATTTTACTCATGTAATCTTGACATCCTAAATTCCAACTAATATTGATACAATTTTCACTTTTCTTTCCCTAGTTTCTGTACATTAAGCTTTCAAAATAATAGGATGTTTAAATAATGTCTAATCGTATTGTGTAAACAGTACAAACGAAATCAGGTTTACAACCCAATAAAGGAGAATCTTTGCAGCTCAGGGTTGAAACGAGGGGTCCTGGGAGCTCTCTCAGCCTGGCGGTTTTCTTGCAGATGTTTCATGACCCAACTAGGGGGCATCATCAGTGCTGGGAGGCTTTGCTAGAGCAAACCCCATCCCTTCTAGACCGATGATGATGATGATGATGAAGAAGACGATGGTATCCATTCGGTTGTGTCTGACTCTTGGCGATTCTCTGGCCATCTTCTGATCTTGCGCTGCTTCTTTTGAGTTCTTTTATGCTCAGCTTTGAGGGTGTCCAGCCACCGTCTTCTTTGGAGGCCTGGTTTCCTTTTACCACTAATTCCTCCAAACATAATTGCTTTCTCCAGCGAATTCCCCCGCATGACGCGGCCGCAGTGAGTGAGATGCACTTCTGACATTTGATGACATTATCTGATGATGTTACCTAGTTGGGTAATGAAAAGTCTGCAAGAAAACCACCAAGTTCAGGTTTGCAAAAGGGGTGGGGGGGGGAGGAGGGGAGGGGAGGGCGCCCTCAAAGGGCCTCTTCCCCATCTCTTCCCACTGGCGACGCAGGGCTTCCCTAGCAACCGACCCTCCCAGGGGCTTCCGCGTGGCCTCCTTTCCTCCTGCCTAGCCCTTCGCACAAGGCCTCCGGCGCTGGCTTCTCCGCCCTCCCTCCCTCCCTCCCTCAGGATCCGGACGAAGCGGGAGCCGAGGCAACATTCCATCCCTGCGCGGCGCCGCGGGCAACCAGCCGGCCTACCTCGGGCGGAAGGGGCAGCCCCGGCGAGGCCCCGCGCAGTTCCAGCACCGAGTCCCGCTGCCGCTCGCTGAGAGGCGCCAAGGGCCGCTCGGGGCGCTCCCACCAGCTCAGCCGCTCCGCCGCCATTCTCGGCCCCGGCCAGCCAGCAGCGCCGACGAGGCGGAAGGAGAACCCCGGCGGCCTACGGAAGCCGAAACGGACAAAAACATCCGCCGAGAGCGGAGCCACTTCCGGCGGGGTGGCGAGCGGGACCCTAGACTTGCGAACGTTAGAGTGATCTATGGGCGACGGTTTCAAGGCCGCTCTGCAGTTATTTGGAATGCAGTTATTTGCGTTCCCTCCATGAGGGACGTTTCCTCGCACCCCGAAATGCCTGCAGGGTCCCCGGAGTACCCCAACATTGCTCTCCCCTTCAGCTGCCATTTGGAGGAGGGGGTGCCTCAAAATCAAAAGGAAGGACGAGGCTGATGCCTATGGAGGGTCTCTCATTCACCCAGACGGCAGGGTTGCCCCAAATGTGCTTTCACTTTAAAGGCAACTGGACTTTCTGACATTCCTTAAAGAAAAATCAGGAATCCAGCTGCGTTTCAAATAAGATCCCCTTTGGCACTCTCAAAGCTCAAAGCATTTGTTTAGGTATTTATTTATTTAGCAAAATACAATACAATGCAATACAATTCTTTATTGGCCAAGTGTGATTGGACACACAAGGAATTTGTCTTTGGTGCACATGCTCTCAAAAACAGAGAGGAAACTACATACATCAAGGTGACAGTACCAACATTTTTAGCATTTTTAAATCTTTTTTTTTAAATAAAAAGCAATTTCAAGTTTGAAGACTAGTAACACTTATTCATTTATTTATTAAAAATAGGAAACAAGTCATATTTATTTTGTTTTTCAAAATAAACATGTTTGTTTGAATGAGCCCCAATGTGAACAGCATTTATTTAAAGATAAACAGGAAATAATGAATTTCAAGGCCAATAGAGTTTGTTTACTTACTTGTTTTTTTTAAAACAGGGCCAAATGCATCTCAAGGCTAATAGTGTTTACTTAACTGAAGTCCCCAGCTGAGCCATCTTAGCATTCAATGCTGCAAAGGGGGTTGTCATTCAATATTAATCTAAATACTAACGCCATTAAGGAGTGCAACATATTTATATATGATAAAATGTTTTACATTTGATAAATAATAATTTAATAGCAAACAAGAAAAAGTTTTATTGAGCCAGCCCATCCAGAATTTTCCAGGCAAAAAACTCCGAGGATATTCCCACTAAAATTCTCCCTTTATTTTACCAGAGAGTAGAATTCACTACCATAACCCTTCTTAAGTGACTTCATGATGCACTATGGGTGATTGATGTGTATATATAATTGCACTACAGTCTTCATTTATGGAATCTTGATAGTGTAAGATGTGAGCAAGTGACAAGATCATGTCATGGAGGATAAGTTGACCTTTAGCTATTAGTCACAATGGCTGCATGGAACCTTCTGAATATTAGACCTGGATACCAGTTGCTAGGAAGGCAAGGTGCAAAAGAGCTTCATTACCTTCATGCTTTTCTCGTGGACTGTCACAAAGGATCCAGCGGTACATTTCAAGAAGGATGCTGACTGAGTGATGAACCATCCTTTGGAACAGGGACGTCTGCAAAATTCATAGTGATGGCAGCTTTCTGCCATTCTCCTTAGTGCCAGGAGACTGGTAGGTAAAAACCATGCATCACCAATAGCCGAATTGTTCAATCAAATGAATCCAATTTAATCCAATCAATCAATGATTTGAATCTGAATTTGAATGATTTTCCAATCTTTACTTCATATTCTCTCCATAGCTAAAACAAAGTTGATAGGACTGTGATGTAGCAGAGTTGATATCGTTTGATGCTTTCCAGCCTTTAAAAGCTGTGCTCCTTTTAGGGAGATATAAAATGGTGGTTGCTGTCCTTCTGTCTTCTCTATGGAAGACCCAGTCCTCAATGGTTGTCCAATTCAGGGAATCTTCTGTCAACCTAGATGCTTCATTCTGAGGTTACATAAGGAATCTTTCTATGCCTGGAAGTTTCCCCACTGACATCGTAGTTACTACAAAGGTGGAGTACCTCTGAATATTAGATACTATGTCAAGTTTAACCTGGGAAGGGTAGATGTAATCTTGGCTGTTTTGCATGTTACTGTTCTGCCCCAGTTACGGACCCCAAAGAATGCAGCACACACAAAGTCTGTACAAACCTTAGTTTACTAATTAAGGACTACTAATGAGCTTTCTTAGTAGTTGTTCGAACACAAGTATAGTTTAAATCAGTCTTCTGAACAAGGGCTGTTAATTTAACTTCATTAACAGCCGACAAGAATCCAAAGAATAATAACTCAATTCTGAGGACAGTATTTCAGATAACCGTAATCTTACTGTGGTTGGCAGAATGCCCAGAAGCAATTTGCAGGAAAACTGACGAGAGAAACAAGAACCGAATAAAACGTTTCTGGAATCGACGCGAAGGAATATGAACGAAGTTGTTTCCTGCAAATTGCATCAGTCGTCGTCCTTCCTTAAATAGGCTAGAGGAGTAGCCAATTAATCCCAAGCCTTACTCTCGAGGAGACCTCCTCCTGAGGAGCCACTCCTGCCTTTTGGCAGCTCTGGGCGCCCGTGAATTGAAAAGAGGCTCCTCCTCTTCTTCCTCTTCACTTAAGGGAGCTTCTGGAGCTTCTGAAGGCCCTGGCTGAATCCCCGCCTCTGGCACCACATCTTCTCCAGCCTCCTCACTGTCCGACTCAAGCACCAGCTGCACAGGCTGCTGGCGCAGCACCACACCAGCCTCCTCGCTGTCGGAATCAGCTACTAGCTGCACAGGCCGCTAATGGGCCACAACAGTTACCTTCTAAATCTTTTTGTTGTGTTTGGACAGAATTACTGCTAAACTACTAAGCCACCCATCCAAATGATTTACTGGGCTGAGTTAAGAGAAAGGCCCACTCAGTACTGTATTAAAAACTCAGAGACTGCCTTATTAAAATGAGTTGGCAGGTATCTCTGATCTGTCCTTAAAACAACTAAATGTTCTTTCTCCTTAAGTGATCTCAGGGAATTATGAAAGGGAGTTAGGGCAATCCCATCCTGGGAGTTCTTTATGGTATGGATCCCAACCTCTAATTCTGTTGTTTTACTGTCCAATTTGGACAGCATAATCACACAGGCTGAAACCCTAAATTTCTTTGTTTCCCTTCCATTCTTGTTCCTTTTGGGGAGGGTTAATAATAAAGAATATGCTCACCAACTCAGCTTTATAACTCATATCTTGGTTGTGTCCTCCAGCAGGCGATCAAGTACCCCATAACAGAATTCTTTTATTAGTACAATCCATGAAAAAGCCAATTTTGATGGAATTATATGCACACTGTTTCAAGTCTAAACTTTGTGATGCGAAGGAGTTTCACCTAGAGTTCCAGAGTTCCAGAAGGAGAATATAAAACTTGCTGAAGATCATACGGATGTATTTTGTAATGTCTTCTGGAATCTTTGATGCTCAGGGCCAAGTCTGAGTTCAAAAACAGCACTAAACAAATATAATAATATTGATTCAAATATTGCATGTTTTCTTAGAAAAGCACATTTCTTCTATTTCTTAATAGAAGAAATAATATAGCAATGCTTTTTTCTTTCAGAAAACAGTCTTGTTTCATGCCCTGGAAAAATGTCAAAAACTCCAAACCCCACAAAAACTGGTAGCAAAAAACAGGTGACTTCAGAAGCATCCCCAGATCCAGCACCCAAGCCAGAGAGTAGTAAGCTTTCCAGCTCTCTCCTCACAGTTGAAAATGTCAAAAAACATCAGGAGGAGAACCCTGTGGCTAAATCGGATCTTGCTCAGTGGTCAATAGAAACATATATTGAAGAAAGTAATCGCTTTTTGACTGAGAGTGGCACCAAGACGGAGGAGAGCAGGGAGCAGGCGGTGTCAAATGAATCAAGAGTTCTTCGTGAAGGTTACCCAGAAAACGCCAATCAAACTTTAGGAAAAGGTAGCTGTAGATTATTTTCTTTATATATATACCTGGAAGTGCATTCCATGAGCTTCTTCCATAAACTGTTCACCCTGTGCCCGAAATGGCTAACTAAATATTATTTTAAAGTTAAAAAGTATCTGGAGATGGATTGGTCTAAATCAAGGAAGTGATAATGGGATATGGTGTTTTCCTCAATAGGGACTGAAATCCTAACCCCCCCAAATTCTCCTGCACACTGAAAAGATGTTCCGCAAAACCATTGGAACATGTGTGTCTCTGAGGACTGCAGCTTGCAAGGTCCTTCTCCTTGTCTCCTTGATAAGGACACATGTAAAATGCCTTGCACAGACACGATGCAAGACATAATCCCTGATGTGAAATATTCTGGAATGCATTAAGTAAATTGACTTAAATTCCCATTACAAAAAATCCCATCTAACCAACAAATTAAACAAAAATCAAATGGGACTTCAACGTATTTGAGGATTTAGTTACAAATTAGTGGATAATCCTGTACTGTGCCTTGTAGAGCTGATGAAAGCAACTTTCCCATTTTTATTATGATTTCCCAAAAAAAATTTTTCTTCCTCTGTGTAGATTTCCAGACAAGACCTCTGTCAGCTCCAGTTCCTGAAACTCAGTCACCCAAGTAAGAGGTGTTTCTGCCTATTTCAGTCACATCCTTTCCAATAGCAGGAATTGCACTAGGTCTGTCTAAAGTAAACAATTCGTTAAGTAGGGCGACCAGATCTGCAAAAATTCAGACACTCACTAGATGGCAGCAAAGAAACACAGAACTATCTAATGCATGGTACCATCTAGTGGCTCCAATTCCATTTAGTCCAGATCTAGTTTTCTTGAATTATTAGACCCTCCAATAGAGTCAGTGATGATTTTCCCCATGATGACATCTGCAAGGAGTTAAGCAAGTGAAGGAAAGCATTTGTTTGATTTTTTTTTATTCATACAGCCAAGAGAAAGGCAGAATCGAATTCAATTGTTCTCTTTCCTATTTCTCTCTCTTTTTTTTCATTTTTGATATTTGGAAGCTTTAGAATGTATATAGGGTATACAAATATTATATGTTAGGTAGAAATAGAGCAATTTATTTTGGCACTGTTACCAATATAATTACATGAACATACTCTGATTTGACAGATTCATAATATAGAGAATGAATGAATGAATGAATATATTTTCAGTTGTTTTCAATGGCCTTACTTCCAAGAATGTACACTTATATTATTTAAAATAATTTATTTTTGTGAAATGGATTTAATATATTTGTCTAAGTATTTTGAAAACATTTGCAGATAAAGTAATAATTCTGAAATGCAATGAGACAATAAACATGCATCATTTTTCTCTCTCCTTGCATCATATACTTGATGATATTATCGAGTTATATATTTCAGTGTCATGTCTGCAAAATAAGGACAACAAAGTCAAGACAGTAGCCACAACAGTATGATTGAAGCTCCCTCTATTTATAATTGGAGAGCAAGATGGGTGGCATATAAATTTAATAAATAAAATAATTGCTTATGGGAAAACATTTGGAGCTTTAATTGCTCCGGATTTATTTGATATTTCAGACTGGCTTCTTCTGGCATAAGGCAAGCTAAACTAGTATCAGTTGCTTTATAGACAAAATTGTGACATTTTTAGTTGGTTCTTAGATTTGTAAAAATGTATTTTGGTGCAATTTCTAATTTAATAATTATGTATACTTTATCATAATTAAATATGAGTATAAATTATTACAGCAGTTAGTAAATAAATAAATAGTCCCTCTGATAAGAGCAGAGCATTTTTGAGCTGCTTCCTGATAGGAAATTTCTTCCAGAATTTGTTTTCCCTTCCTGCAGAAAACGGGAAGTTGCTGATTTGGAGACTCAGACTGAATGGAGCTACTCGGTCAGCTCTGAAGACTCCAGTGAACTGGGTAAGTTCTGGAGGAAGCTGGGCTGAGAGGCTGGGCTTCCAAGGAGGGGGCTGGGGACAAGGAAATAGGGGGTTGGCAGAGCCCCCTCCTCTGCCTCCTTGCAATTAGTAAGAGCAATTCAGGGGGATATTGATGGCTCAGAGAAGAGATGGATTCTCTTCAACAGAGGTGTTCTAAGATCGGCTAGATGGGCTCCAGTATGGTGAGAGACAAAACAAATGCGATTCTCTAATTGATTCTTGTCATAATATTTCTCATTTAGAAATAGAAACGAAGGAGCAGAGAAGTACAGACGGAAAAGAGAAAAGTGAGACCACAGAAGGCAGTAAGTTGCAAAAATGGTGCTATTTCCTTAATATTCCAGAAGTTAGCGTGGTATCAATTCCAATCCCATTAGGATTTATGAATGATTTAGAAATGTTAACAAATATAAAAGAATTTAATATTGAAATAACCAATTGTGGAGGGAGGGAAGGGAAGGGAAGGGAAGGGAAAGGGAAGGGAAGGGAAGGAGGAAGGAAGGAAGGAAGGAAGTTTGAAAATGCTGCCAGCATCTGTTTGAACTCTGAATATCCAGGGCTAATTGGAAAAATATTTGGCTTGGCCACCTATCCCCTGTCTTACCCTAAAGGGAACCAGTTCAAATGGGCTAAGGATGAAGTTTCCTAAGCAGTTCTGCTACATTTTGAAAGCTATAATAACCTTCTTCTCTTGAGAATTCCCTCTCCGGATGGAAGAGGCAGGCTCTTCCTTGTCCCCTGTTCATCCGTAAGCATCATGAGAGGGAGAAGGGAGAAGGACCGCATTCAGGATCCTTCAGGAAAGGATCTCCGAGGCCTTTGTTAAACCAACCTCCCTGCACCAGTTAGTAATCCCTCTGTCTTGTAGGTCCGCTTTTCACCCCAAATCCTTCCCTGGTGTTGCTTCTCCTGTCCCCTTCCATGTACCTCGACCTACATGGCTTCTCTTGAAGGCTGATAACTATTCAGGACTATAGTTGTGTTTTATTGTTGTTGTTGTTATTCAGCAGAAATATTGCATCATGCAGAAGAGGAAGGAACATCTGAGATCGAGCTGGAGACTGGTATGCTACGTTCTACAAGTAGTTCTCGACTTACGGCCACAGTTGAGCCCAAAGTATCTGCCTGTGAGGCAGTTTGCTAAGCGGGTTTTGTCCCATTTTATGGCCTTCCTTGCCACAGCAGTTAAGCAAATCACTGTAGGTGTTCAGTTAGTAACATGGCTGTTAAGTGAGCCTGACTTTCCCGTCGACTTTGCTGGTCAGAAGGTCGCAAAAAGGATCACGTGATTCCAGGACATGCAACCATCATAAATATGAGTCAGTTGCCAATTTTGATCGTGTGACCCTGGGGATGCTGCAACGGTCATGTGAAAAATGGCCATGAGTCACTTTTTTCACTGTTGTTATAACTTAGAGCAGTCACTAAATGAACAGTCGTAAGTTGAGAACTACCTGTTTTAAAGTTCCTCTGAAACCCTGAGTTGTTCAACAGAAATAAAATGGTAAAGGCTCCTCAGTTGTTTGTCTCTGCAAAATGTTGCAGTTTTTTCCCCCGGTGCCTATAAATTAAGACTGAGTTATTACGTAAAATTCAGTGAACTCATCAGACAGACAGCAGGAAGGAAATGAGCCAGGGGATTGCAGGAGGGAAGGAGGCTTCCTCTACTCCTAGTGCAGCTGATCCAATGCCTGCCTTCCAGAGTACCAGCAGAAATGACCCCATCCGAGCCTTGCTTTATAAATCACGGCGTATTATACTGTATGCTCGAGCTGTCTTTCTCTGCTGTGGGGACTAACTTTTTTCTTTTCTTCCCCCTGTCATACATTGCATTGTCAACCTCAAGGAAGCATTTCCGATGAGGAGAAGATAAAGTCTTTTGTCCAAGATGAGGTGAGATTTCAGATTTCTGATTTCTTCCCAAGAAGCAGGATTATCCAGCTTTTGATGCAAACTCAAAATAACACAACACACCAAGGAAATTCAAAGCTTTTTGCATGGAAAGTGGGCGTGAGGGCTTACTTCTGCATAATTATCCCAAGAGATAAATCTGAGGTTTAATAAAATCAAACATTTCTAATCAAGATTCCAAATAATTAAAATATGGCATACCAACCAAGCCCCAAGAAATGATTTATTTTATTTTATTTTATTTTATTTAAGAGAATTTATATGGCTAGTAAATGACAGTTTTAAAGGAGTCTCACTAAATACTAATAAACAGTGTCCCAGAATCAGAGGGACAAGTGGGGAATCAATTAATTAGGAATAGAAAAGAGCATCCCACACGAGTAGATTAGAGTAGAGTAGAGTAGAATAGAACAGAACAGAACAGAACAGAGGGGTGGAATGGGGTGGGACGGGATGGGACAGAATGGAACAGAACAGAACAGAACAGAACAGAACAGTACAGTACAGTACAGTACAGTACAGAATAAGAATATTCTTTATTTGGCCAAGTGTGTTGAGATACGCAAGGAATTTGTCTCCAGTGCAGAAACTCCCAGTGTACCTGCAAAGCAAGAGAATAATAAAAGTCATAATAATAAGGCCAATAAGGGGGCAGGGGTCGTAGAGAAGATGAGCAGGAGGTCTCTCCAAGGGGTTCTTAATTCTTAAGCACTTCTGCAAGGACCTGCTGCCTGAGGGCAGGCAATGCCTAGCGGTCTCTCTGAGGGGGCTTGAGCAGATGGCACCCCTTTTGGCTTGCCTCATTTGCCACGGAAGGACTCTGCAACCATGCTTCCCTGCCCCCTTCAAAAGTAGGCTCTGCCAATGTGAGTCTGGCCATGCAGCTTTTCTGCCACACAGCCGTGTCCAAGAAGAGGAAAGGGCCCACCTGGAGCCTGAAGCCCACCAAGTCTCAGGCAGATCCCTTTGCCGTTTCCAATAAGCATCGATCCACCAGCTCCTTTCTCCATGTGCCTTTGGTTATCTCAAGGTCTTGCTGTTATAGCCTCTTTGGATAAAAGTACAATTGTAGCATTTCTTGTGATATCCCTGCCCTGCCTACCTCGAATGCCTGTGTCCCCTTCCCTCCCATTTGCACCAAAGGCAGTCAGGGTGGGGCAATCGCCCGTTTCTTCCTCACCGCCTCCTGATTTCCAGGGCTATCTTCATATTTTGCTAATGGTTGCTGCACTTTTCCTCCAAGGTCTCCTCCTCTATGTACACCAACGTAACTGAAAAGAAATCCTACTTACTCAGTCACAACATCCGCTGTTTTTCCGCCCAGTTGTGAATCAGGCTCTTGCTGAATGGGAACAATGATTTTCATGAACGTAGAAGCTGTTTGTTATACTGGATGACCTGTGTATAAGCAAGTTTACCTACAGAACGTTTTGCACCATTGATTCAATCTGAGGGAAAAAGATTTAACACCTTTGTGTCTTTGAGGAACATCCGGTCACCGATCTGTTCCTGATGGGTCGCTGTGAGTTTTGCACCTCCTTCCTGAAGCCTTTGCCATCCCCAGAGGAACTGGAGGAGAGACCAGAGAAGATGGAGCACGTAGGTCTTTCTTTCTAAATTATCTATCTGTCTGGTGATCATGATTTCCTGATGAACTGATTGTGCAAAGAACCAGGTTTTTCCTGATAAAACTTTGGAGGAAAGCTTATACGATATAAAACCCTAAAAATATCCACTGCTAATAGCATATAGCTTCTCTGTAGGATCGTTAGTTTTGGAAGAGACAAAATTGCGCGCATTAGCTTTCAAACCCAGGATTCACCCCTGGGGCAACAGGTACCGTGAGATAGGTAGTCCTTGATTTACAGCCAATCGCTTAGTGACCATTCTAAGTTCTGATGGAGCTACGGGGGGGGGGGGGAGTTACCATTCAGATTCAAGGTCCTGACGGTCCCCCCTTCGGGCACTCAGCAACCCGGCCACCTCCGTGCTATTTGCAGCCTCCTCTAGTCATATTTATGGTGGTTTTGTTGAAAATTGGCGTTTATTTCCAGTTTTTGATAAAACCACGCCCATTCGCAATTTATTGATCCACTTAATGACTGCTGCAAAAAAAGTGGTAAAATCAGGTCGATCACATGACTGACCCATTTTCTAGCCATCCAAAGTTACGACCGTGAGGGGCAGGCTCCATTATGGTTGTGACTTCAGCTCTGCCTATACTTTACCTAAGAGAAAGTTTGTGCAATTTTTATTCCTTGAGTGGAAATTCGTATTTGCATATCTGTCTGTAACATGACTCCTATTACCATAATTAATGTTAAGCAAGATTTAAAAAATTCCAGGTATACATAATCCTAAACACTTAAGGCATTTAAATTTGAAATATGTATTAACTACATCTTTATACTGCCATGCCTCATAAGGGCTCGGGCAAACCGAAATGTCTATGATACTAGAAATAATGTTTTCAATTTAGGAGGACTGTCAGTGCAAACTATCTGACTTTTAAAAATTAACCATAAAATATGACACCTTCCTAAAAACTTTATATACTAAGAAACCTATGCCACATTAGAGAGGAGGAGAATCACATCACCCACAATTAAAATTAATAAATAGCCTTTACCTTCTCTAATGATTCCTCAAATTTGAAATTTGCTCATAAAGCACTTGCTGTGCTAGTATTTCTGTCACTAAGTGGAACAATAAAGAAGGGAGAAGGGGACGGAGCTCTTTGTTAGCTCTAGAAAGTGTGAGCAGAGCAGAGTCAAAACTGCTGATGCTAATTTTTGCCTCTATATTATCGTTTTTATTATACATGGCATCTGTATATTGCCTAGAAACTGAGAATATATCTGCTGAACAGAACTCTGCATTGGCAACAGGAAAGGCATCTGGCCATTAAAACACCCTGCTGGCTCCATTCAGTTGCCCAGACTCCATCCCGCAAGGGATTATGGGGTCATTGAAAGATGATGATGATGATCTGTATATTGCCTAGAGTCCATGGGATGAAGGCAACAGATCAATCTGTGTAAGTAAATACATATTAGCAGCTTCACTGGGATTCTTGATCAGGGATGACTGGAGAGACCATGAAAAGTAAGAACAAGACATCTAGGGAAATCCCGGTCCAGGAGAACACCAGGAACAGTGTAGAAAACATCTGGGAAAGCAGCTCTGTAGGACAATGGCTCTCAGCCGCAGTGCAGAGACCGATGGCTCACGTTGACCAAGCTGAGAAGGTCCTTCAATTAGCTGTTGGGTGAATCAAGTTTTTCCAGTTTAAAAGAAAATAAATCAAGAAGCGCTCACGAGCCACGTTAGGACACGACACCAGCATATTCTCTCCTCGAGATTATTAAATACCGAAAGGCAAATGCCAGACCTAAGCAGGGCTCGTGGCGGCCACCCCTTCTCTGAACCCCGGGCTCCTTTGTAGTTTCTGTGTTGCAGGACCTACAAAGAGGTTTTCCAGTGTGTGATACAGGAGCTGATGGAGAGGCCAGGCAGCGAAATCGACATCCGTCCTCATGGCCGACTGTCCCTTACAACAATGGAGAGCAACACTAAAAGGATGATAATGGAAGAGTAAGCAATGTTGTCAGGTGGAATGTCTCAGCCTCCTCTCTGAAACTCTTGGCTCCCTGCTACCCTCTAGCGGCCGTCTAGATTTTTGCAGTCCACACCGAATGCTTAATTTCCATCCCCCCCCAAAAAATATTTTTTCCCTTATTTTAGTGTGGCTTTGTCAGGCAAACACAATTCCAAAATGAAGCCCTGGGCACGGCCACATTTTAGTCTGGCAAGGTCAGAATTGCCTATATAAGAAACAGGGTAAGTGGTACGGTTTATTTAAATAAACCGGTCATGTTATCAGCTCAGGGCTGCAAATGTGTGGAAGAGAGTAGACATCCAGATTAATTGCAGCCCATTTGTGGCAGCCTGATGTTTGCAAACTACCATATTCCTACTGAATGAAATGACTTTTTGGATAAAGCCAGATGGGGAAAAGTCCCAAAGAGGCCGGGGAAAATGGCTCCATAGAAAACCCAAGATCAGCCTGCTTTCTCTGACTTGCCTTATTGACGGATCCGATGGTTTTAGCTGTCCTCCTGCCCGTTTCCTTCAGCTGCTTTTATGGCAGAAATGCCTTGCAGTTTGCCTACTGATGGCTTATTTTCCAACATTTTCCTCCTAGGTTAGAGGAGCGAGGTTTTGAGCGATACAGAGAGATATTTATGCAGTACATAAAATTTGGCCCATGTGAGTATGACCCTCCGGAGCCCGTCTCCACCCGGCTCATTCCTCTGAATAAGGATGACCCTGCCTTCCCCTCTCCAGATGTGCAAGGACCAGGAAGCATCTTCCCTTCCCTTTTCACTTTGGTAAAAGGAGACAAATCCCGTGGAATCCTTCCCGACATTCCAAACTATTTAATCTGCCTTGACTGTATTTCAGGCATCAAAATTCATTTCAAATTATCAGACTACCCACCCAAACCAGAAACTGCGATCCTAAAGAAACGGTATCCAGAACCCAAAGAGCTGCTGGAGATTGACTTGGAATTCAAAGCCGAGCAATTAAAGGTAGGTGGATCTCCTAGTGGACAGTGAGGTCATTTAGTGCCCAAAAGCTCACTGGAAAAGTAGATGGAATCCCCTCGGTCCTTTTTCTTGCACTGGGTTGATTTCTGTCCAGCCTCTCCGCCCAGGAGCCCCAGGGAACCTCGGGAGAGCTTCCGCTCCCTCCGCCACAATGGCCCTGGGAGCGAGGAAGAGGCAGAGTCCCTCAGGGAGCTCCGGTGGCTGAGGAGGGACTCGAACCCGCCTCTTCCTGCTCCTTTCTGGCAGCTGGGCTCTCTCAAACTCACCTTCCTAAGCCAACCTTCACGTGGATCTCCAGTTCCAAAAGGCTTTTTTAAAACCGCACCCCCACCCCTACCCCCCCATGGCAGACATCTGGTGCAAGTAAATTCTCTTTTCTGTGGCAACCAGTTCAACAGGAAGAAGTCCTGCCCTCTAGTCTACCATTTCCAGTCCTGGTTTCAAAAACTCAGAAGACCACTAGAAAAATAACTCTGCTGCTATCTAGTGGTCATCTGGATTTTTGCATCCAGCTGTTAATGTCTTGTTTTCATATAATTGATTCTTACTAGTGATTAGGTGACTATGATTAATTCCAGAGAAGCTTGGTCTCCCTGTATCTTATCTGTCGAACGGCTCCCTTATTTTCATCCTAAATATCCATTTCTTGAAGTTTAACTTTCTTGTGTTATTTATTTATTCAACTTCTACGGATGCCCAACTCACAAGGTGTTCTGGCAATTCACAAATCTAAAACTCTCATCTCTCAGACCAAACAAGTTGGAAGCTGAAGACCCCAGTCACTATGCCACTGTGCCCCGGAGAGAGAGAAAAGGAGGGAGAGAGGGAGGGGGAGAGAGAGAGGAGGGAGGGAGGGGGAGAAAGGGAAGGAGAGATAGAGAGAGAGAGGGAGAGAGAGAGAGAGGGAGAGAGAGGGGAGAGAGAGAAAAGGAGGGAGAGAGGGAGGGGGAGAGAGAGAAAAGGAGGGAGAGAGGGAGGGGGAGAGAGAGGGAGGGAGGGAGGGGGAGAAAGGGAGGGAGAGAGAGAGAGAGAGGAGAGAGAGAGAGAGAGGGAGAGAGAGGGGGAGAGAGAAAAGGAGGGAGAGGGAGAGGGAGGGAGGGGGGAGAGAGAGAGGGAGGGAGAGAGAGAGAGGGAGAGGCGGAGAGAGAGAGAAAAGGAGGGAGAGAGGGAGGGGGAGAGAGGGAGGGAGGGAGAGAGAGAGAGAGGGAGAGAGAGAGGGAGAGAGGGGGGAGAGAGAGAAAAGGAGGGAGAGAGGGAGGGGGAGAGGGAGAGGGAGGGGAGGGAGGGAGGGAGGGAAGGAGAGAGAGGCACCATATTGGCCTTTTAAAATCCCGCTTTCATTTCAGTGGCTGTGCAGCATGGTTGATACCAGGGAGGTCATGCGATCACATGCGTGTGCCATGTTTCAGAGGAACTCCTTTGCCTTCCTGTTTTTTCTGCTTTCTTCCTCAGCTTTGCCACCCTTTTGAGCCTGTGAAAAGATACTATCACGATGGAAAGATCTTCTTCCTTCTTTTTCCGGATGGAACGGGCCAAGTCTAATATCCACCAATCAGTAACATGCAGGGCAGGGCAGGGCAGGGCAGGGCAGGGTCTCCGGTCTTGGTGGCTTTAAGACTTGTGGAATTCTGAGAGTTGAAGCTCACCAGTCTTAAAGTCACCAAGGTTGGATCCCCCCCTGGGGTGGAGGAAGAACGGATGGATGGTTTGGAGAGGTCTTAGCTCAAAATTCCTTCCTCTGTGGGACACAAGCACCAGGCGGCATCTGAGTGGCAGGTCAAGGCATGGGGGGGAGGGGGGGCTGGAGAGCCTGGCTGGGGCGGGGCAGTTTCTCATGGTTGGGGGATCTTGGTGGAAAGGAAGCCAGGGTGACTCCTTATGTCCATTTCTGCATTTGCTGCTGGTCTCTTCCATGAAGCTTCAGCACATCCAGGAATATTTTGTCAATAAAAATAAATATAAATAAAATTACCAAAACAAAGGCTTTGTTACAGTGGTGAAACCCAAATTTTTTTACTACTGGTTCTGTGGGCATGGCTTGGGCATGGCTTGGTGGGCGTGGCAGTGGAAGGATACTGCAAAATCTCCATTCCAATCCCACTCTGGGGCTAGCCCGAGGTGGCATTTGCCGGTTCTCCGAACTACTCAAAATTTCCACTACCGGTTCTCCAGAACCTGTCAGAACCTGCTGGATTTCACCCCTGCTATGTTACTAAAGAATATAATATTGTAATATACCTACCCCTCTCCTCCCCCATATCCTTCCTTAGCTCCTTCTCAATTACCCATCAGGCCGCCTTGCCCTCCTCATTGCTTATGTGAGGGAGACCCAGTTCACCTACAGCATCCTCGGGGACAGAAAGGACCAGGAACTTCTGGCCTTCTTCACGAACCAGGGCCACGCAGCGTATTACCAGCAAAAAGAAAAGCTCAGGTAAGGAAAGAGCTTTAAGCAGCATACAACAGTACAACGCAACAACAACCCCAAAGGAAAAGCCACAAGATGCTTACCGCGTTTGCACACTTGGCGCTGATCAGGCTCCAATTATTCCATATCCTGAGGCGTTCTCGAAGAGCCAGATAGAAACTAATGCCCAAAGGGAAATAAAAACCTCTTCACAGAATGATGGTCAGGTGGTTCTCAACTTATGACCACACTTATAACTTCTTTCAGTGCAGTTGCAACTTGGGATGGTTACTAAACAAAAGGGACACAAATGGAAGACTACCTATATAAATCTTAATCAGGATTCAGATGGTTTGGATTGTGATCATAAAGAATATGGGCAATTATGACTACATTTGCACATATTGCATGTGAAAAGGAGCAGAGCTTTGAGAGCCAAAAGTATTGATTTTTTAAAATCTTCTGTGGACATTTCTTAACGTAGAGCACACAGATCTCATGTTTTCAGCAAATGATGCAGGATTTACTCGCAACCATTTCAAACGTTTGCAAAGTTTTGTATGGAAGATGTAAGTAATAAACTCCCTGCAGTTTTCCTGGCAAGGTTTTGGTTTAGGAAGGGTTCGCCATCAGCTAGATGTATTTCATTATTTGATTTCTATAGCCACCCATCTCAACGAGTTCCAGTGGGCGGACGGTGTATGTCATAAAACATAAAGACAATGAAGGTAGTGCAAAATTATTCTACCTTGAGCAGTTTTACTTCTGCGTGCATCCTTTTCCCACTAGAAATCCAAAACCTTCAGTCCTGTTTAATTTTGCTTTTCTTGCTTTAGGCTGCACCTGGACCTTTGCAACGGCTCCGTCTTTGACAAGAAAGGACAGCGGCAGAAGTTCTGGAACTGGTGGGGCACCGAGGGCCACGTTCACGCACCTCCTTTCCAGCCCATCTGCCTTCAACTCAACGTTTATATCCAGGTTAAAATTAAAGCCCAAGATCAGGTTTTCTTCACTTTTACAAAGGTTCATGATTGTCTCTGCCTCAACGTTGGCGCGCGGCTGAAAGTAAGTGGGGCTGGCCTTTTTGATGCAATTTCTTTTGATCATTCACCAACATCAAACGTTGCTTATGGGTGGAGATCTAGAAAGTGGGTCAGACGGTCTGCATAGTAAGGGGTAGGGACCCCCCTAAGGATCACCTCTCTCCTATTTCACCCACCAGCCCATAAGGACCAGGAGTCAGGGCGGGTAAGGGATTGTCATCTGGGAGGGCCGTGAAAAGTTACCAGTCTGCTTCCCGGTGCAATTCAAGGTGTTGGTGATGGCATGTCAAGCCCTTCATGGCAGGGGTCCAGCTTACTTGAGGGACCGTCTCACCCCACTGGGATTGGCCCCTCCCACTCTGCCCAGCAGAGGAGGCCTGCTGGGGATCCCCTTCACCCGAGTTTTCTGGCTGGCAGGGGGTCCAGGAGGAGGGCCTGCTCTGCTGTGGCTCCTGCCCTCTGGAACATCTCCCCCCCCCAAGGTGAGGTTGGCCCCAACCCCCCTATCTTTTCATAAGGGCCTAAAGATGTGGCTCTGCCAATTGGCTTGGGGCTCCAGTGGGGGGACAGCACGATGGAGGGGATTGAATAACAACAGATCCCCCCCATCCCTCCCCATGTGTCCTTGGTTTTAATGTGTTTTTATTTTTTTATGTTTTAACTGTGTATGTAACTGTAAGGTGCTCAGAGTTACACTATGGTAAGATGGGTGGCCAGTGAATGAATGAGGGCCTTCTTTATGGAACATCATTCCCCATGAGGTACAATTGGCCCCCACCCTGTTGCTTCTCCAAAAGGCCCTAAGAATGTGGCTTTGTCAATGGGCCTGGGGGCCCCGGAGGGAAACGGTGCCAAGCAAGAGGCTGATTTGATTGTGTGTGGTTGCTGCTTCGGTGGGGGGGTGGGGGTGGGGCTTTTTAAAATGGGGTTTAATATACGGTGCCCGGGATGAGTTGGGTGGCTCTATACATTTAATAAAGAAAATAATAAATAAATAACATGACAAGGGAGTCACACCACCTATGAAGGAGGCTGAGGAAAATTATGAGAAAAGTGATCTTTCCTGCATATTCAAAATGGAAATATTTCTGGATGTTTCTTTGTATCACAAGGCTGCTTTTCATAAGGTGCTATTGAAAAAGGCCTCATTTCATTTATGGAATCTTGTTTATAGAGTAAACTGAAAAAAAATTCTGGGATGAAAAGAATTGAATTAAATCTATTTTGTTATTTTCTGGGTCTTCTTCTTATCACTCTTTTAATCGCTACAATTATATTTAGCTTTTCTTTCCTTACTTTATAACCACTATTGATTGGATTTTGTGTATGTATGTTGCGTTTTTTTGTATTTCCCTATTAAAAATTCACCCTTGGAAATGTTGCAGCAATAGATTCTTCCCTCTCAATGGACTCCAATTCTTTTGAAAATGTCTTTTGACTTTGAGTGTGAAGAACCGAGTTGCATAAAAAAAACCAAGTTGGTTAGCAGGTAGCTCTGAGGCTGAATGTGGGATGTAACGTTGGATATATATATATATAAGCAAAAATATGAACGAAGGAAGCATTGATGTTAACATTATGGATTAATAACCATATAATCCATGCCCCCCCCCCCCCAATACTTCAAATCTTTCTTAATCCGTCTTGCCCTTTTTCCCACGGCTTTTGGCAGCTGAAGGATCCAGCCATGCTTTGGGTCCTTCAGCAATATGGAACCAGGGACCACCTGGTGAGGCCTTCCGTGCTGGAGAAGATCAGCAGAATCTTGGCCAATGTGAAGAAGGTATTAAAGAACCTGGACTCTGACCCCTCAAAAGAAGCTGCGGACCTGCGCCTTGTATCGAAGGTGTACGAAAGAATCCACCGAAGACAGAAGAAGAAGTAGCACAGAGAGAGAGAAGTTAAGATTGCGGGAAGCCAATCTCATATTTTGGGTAGTATGGAAACTACTAAGTTAGCTTCATATAGAAACCATTAAATCTTCCATCTATACCGTAGTTTCTCTTTTCAGGTCTCTTTATGTAACACACTTAGATTACACACCACATTTGAACTAAGAGGCTCTACAGGTAATCCTCAATTTAAGGCCATTCATTTAATGACTGTTCAAAGTGAAAAAAGTGACTTTAACCCCCAGTCTTTGCACTTATGACCGTTGCAGGGTCCCCATGATCAAAATGTTGGGTTCTTTGGAACTGCTACGTATTGACAATCATTGCAGCATCCGGGGCCACACAAAGGCCACTTACAAGCTTCCCAGGAGCTTCCCTGCCTAGTTTCTGCGGTTGTAAAAGTGTTTTTTTTGGGGGGGGGGGGAAGCGGGGGGAGGAATGTCTTTTCAGGCTTGCAAGATATTTTGTTAATGTAACCTTACAGTAAAGCCAGAGCCGGTTCTTCTGGGAGTGCTGCTTGGCTGGCCTACCTCGCAGGGCTGACACCCAATGGGGCTTTTCCAGCAGCCCCTCACTGCCACAAAGTATACAGAGATATCATATGACAAGCATCCCATAAGCTTCTTAAATATAGTTCAAGGTGTGTGTTTTGTAACACTGCTTGAATTTCTTCCTTTCACTCACCCCCCCCCCCAAACTTTAGATTCTATTTGTGGAGACTGTCCGGAGAAGCTCCTGCCGTTTTCTTGGCATGGTTTCCCAGAAGTGTTTTGCCATTGCCTCCTTCCTAGGGCTGAGACAGTGACTGGCTCAGGGTCACTCAGCAGGCTTGGTTGGTGCCCAAAGTGGGACTAGAACTCACTTTCTCCCAGTTTCTAGCCTGGTACTTTAATTACTCCCTCTGGGTTAGCCACCCTTGACTGCCATGAACCTCAGGGTAATATCTGGTGGGACGAGTGCTAGACATTCTTATTTCCCATAAAGTCAACATGGCAGAGTTTTGCAAAATTACTCTCAATATTAAGATAACTATTTAACTTATTTTTATTCACAGATGGTTTGACAAAAACATAAAAGACTCAAGCTGATTTCTTACTGGTTGAGATTATTTTATTTGTGACATTTGTAAGCTATTGTTTTTAGGTGGAGGACAAGTGTCAGATATTTTCAAAGTGAAAACAAAAAAAGTTGCTTAATATATTACAAAATACTCCCAATGTTGTTCATTAGAAATATACTATGAATAATTTCCGCAAGGATCACACAAAAGAGAACAATTCACAAGGTGTGTAATAAACTATATGGAGTCATGGGGCTCTCAGAGTTTGGTTATTTGCTTGAAGATGTTTCATTACCAAACTAGGTAACACCATCAGTGCTAGAAGATGGTGGGGTTTGCCCAACTAGGTAGCATCGTAAGTGAATCATTGATGCTATTCCCTAACTGGGTAACGAAACGTCTGTTAAGAAAACAAACTCAGAGAGTGCCAAAGACTTCACAGTTCAACCCTGAGCTACATATATTCTCTTCTATTAATATATACATAACAGATGATTTATTTTACATCTTTCGTGATTTCTGCCTTAACACGATGTGATCTTTTGAGGGGTATTTAATTACAGTGCATTACAGATCCTGTGATGGGAGATGTTCTATCTGTGATGCTTTAGAGGGAAAAGCAGGGCCACTTGTCCAAAACCTCCAGAACTGGATAAAGATGCAAAATCTTCGATCTGGGTCCTTCTTTAATTAAAAGGAAAGAGGTATTTTAAGTTAAAAGGCCCATTTTTGCAAATAAGGATGTGCAACATCAGACACTCTAATCCAGCCAACTCCAGTCGAGACTCTGCAAAAGAAAACAAGGCAATAACCTGAAGGGCTCCCTGTGTTGTTATGCAGTAATCGATATAAAATGGTCTGAAATTCAAACTAGTAATTGAGGAACAATCTCTGTGTTTTCTTTACTGTTGAACAGTCCTCTTGCACAAAAGAGGACACCTAAAATACCTGCAGGCCAAATAAAGAGAATTGTGTTTTCCCCACTGCTGGCCATATTAAAAGGACCGGATAGTGTACAATTCACTTTTATTATTCCCTTTTACTCACAGGATAGGACTGATCACCCCGTTCACTGCATCCCACCCAGCTGCAAAATTCCCTGGAGGAAACTCATGGAGAATTCTTCACATAAGATCAAGTGGAAGGAAGCATCAAATGTCTTCCTTACCAAAATGCTTATGCAAAGTTTTTGCTTGGATATCTTCATTTTCTTCTAAAGTAGACGAGTTTCTCTTGCTGAATTAGTGAATAACCTACTTTCCAAGCTGTCTTTTCTTCTTAATAAGTGAATTATTTATTAAAAGTATGAGTGTCGAAGGGAGGCTTCAACTCACCATCATGCTGCTATTTTGGTTGTGTCTCGCTTCGTGTATAACGGCGCTAAAACTGTCAAGATAGCTTAGGTTTTCTTCTAACAAATGTGCAAAATTCAACCTGTCAAGAAAAGAACAAAGATGGCTGCTCTCTATTCCAGCTACTCCCAACAAGAAGGGAAACTATTTAAATACACGAATCAAAATCAGGGGTGTTTCCTTCTCTTCAGCAATCCTAATCCCAGGTCTTTCCTTTTGGGAGGATGAAATTTTGCGATATGAATTACAATTATCCTCAGATTTACAACTGCAATTAAGCCCACAGTTATGGTCTTAAATGGTGACCTATTTTCAAGTATTCTTTTCTTTTTTCCTTTAAATTTCAATTTCATGTCAGGTGGTAGATGTTCTTTATTCTATTAAGTGTGCATTCGGAGCATATGGCTCTTTGACGTTGTTAAAAATGAAAGCTCTTCTATTTGTATGTTGCCTTCTTCGCTAAATGGTTTGTTTAATGAAGTGCTGCATTTCCTGGCGGGAGTTCAACTGCCAGCTTTGAGGCAGGATATCTAGCAGGGAGGAAGAGCCCCTCCCCCGTCTCTTACGTGTTTCTAGAGACTTCCATGAAAGGCAACGCCTGCAGCACATTGGCCGGCGCAGTTTGGGAGAGCCAGGCGGGCACAGAAGACGGGACCGGACCATCCACGCTGGAGCTGGCCGATCGAGCAGAACTCTGAGTCTACAAGGAAAAGGAAAAATAGGTGGTGTTAGAATAGACATGCAGGCCTTTAGCAGAGTTACCTGCGTCCTGCATTTATTCCCAACTGGTCCAAGAGACCAAACTCTGGAGTTGTTTGGTATACATGAAACTCTGGACAGCAGCATTCAGAGCGTTAAGTAACTTTCCCCCCATCAGCAGCATCAACGGTGTGCCGTTTCCTTCTGGACACCCGAAGATGAAAAACGTATAAGCTGCACTCGGCTGCTGTACTGCTGGCATTCAAAGGTTGAATGAACTGACTGGGATTAGAGCTTGCTGGGTAGCTCTGTCTTGCGACCACGGCCAAGAGGGTGGCCGATATGGTGAGGCTCTCAAGCCTTAAACAGCTGTGGGAAATGAGGGCGTCAGAACAGCGCAAATCCACTCACGGCTGACATTCAGCAGGTGATGTTGAGATGACCAATCACAAGGATGGGGCTGGTTGACATCTGAATATCATCAGAATCAGCCACACCCAAATTTTCAAACGTTTCTGTGCTCAAAATGTTTTTGCCCTGCCTAATCTAGGTGTCAAGTTTCGAGGTCGTCTCAGATAAATTGCATTTCAAACCAAGTCTTTGAAGAAAAACTCCTATTTATTAAGCACGACATTCTAACCTAACTCCAAACGAAGCCAACACTGACGTCCAGCCCCAAAACCCTCCCTTTCCGTTCCCCACTCCCCTGCACTCATTGGCCATCTTCCAAATCATTCTACCCCTAATCTACTCCAGCTCAAAGGAATTTCCCCCCTCCCATCCCATCTCCTAGGGGATATTATCTCCAGGGAAAATAAGTAGGTGAAAAGTCAAACGTCCCTTTCCAGACGCCTCCGCTTCTCCTTCTTATGTCAGCACTAGAGTAAATGCAGGTTGAAGGGCTGACACTAGGGATATAAAATGGGATCTTAAGAGTGGCCCACCCTGCCATGCCCCGTGTTGTCCAAATCTGTACTCAGCTTTTCCGGGTGAGGTACAACGAAACCCCTGAATTCTGGGGAGAAAATTGGCCGAATATTTCTGAGAGACACATTGTGAGACAGTCTCTCTCTCTCTCAACCATCAGACATCAGTCTAGGCTAGTATTTGAACCAAACTCCTCTTATATGTTAGCAATGTCGCCCAACTGATAGACAAATGGAAGGCTTATTTATAATGTAAGGTTGATGGGTGGCATTGGATATTGATCAACGTGGCCTGGTTGAGCCACATCCTTACGCAAGCTATTTTCAGCAAATGCCAGATTTCTCTCTGCCTTTTCCCCTGCATTTGCATGACTGAATTGTCGGCCTCCTTGATGCTGTTCAGAGCCACATCGATGCTGGGAAGCAAGTCAATGATCTTCTGTTTGCAGCCCAGCAATTTGCTGTGATTCGAAAAGAAAAGAGATGGTTAGAAGGCAGGCAACGATCCTTTCCCTCAACACTGGTACTAGGTCAGGGTGTCACACTCAAGGCCCGCAGGGTGCTTTGATCTGGCCTGAGGGCCCACCCTGGAAACAGGGAAGGACTGGCCCGCAGTGCCTCTGCCAGTGAAAATGGAGCTCTGGGGCGCTGTGTGGGGCCCACCTGGGCTCCATTTTTGGCCATGCTGGCCTCCTGCAGTGAAAACGGAACTGGGGGGGAGGGGGGCGGGCAGGCGCATGTAGCCCTCCTGAGCTCACTTTTCACTGGCAGAGGGCGGAGGAGGCTGGCGCAGTTGAAAACGGAGCCTCAATGAGTCATGTCGAGATGGTCATGCTCCCCCCCCCCGGCCATGGCCACGCCCGCCGAGGTGAAACACAACCCTGATGGGGCCCTCAATGAAATTGCGTTTGACACCCTTGTACTAGGTGATCCAGAGCAAATCGAGGGCAAATTCAGGAATATTTTTACGGATTCTGTGGCCTCCATAACAGCCAAGAGTGGACAGAGTAATTTCTCTAGCTAATCTTCCTTCAATCTCCTTCTTTTTCCATTGTTTTCACACAAATGTTTTGGCTCAGTGCTTAGCCACCTTTTCAGTAATAAAAGACTTTCTCAGACTCTGTTTCCCTCCCAGAAACAGTAACAATTACTGCCACTCTCTTGAAGAGAAATTAAGGTGTTTTGGAGCTTCACGACTAGAGTGGCCCGTTTCACTGCTTGTTGGCTTTTTTCTCTTATTGAACATTTTAAAGAAAATGCATGAAGAACAAATACAAGAGAACACATGAAAAAAAGAATAAAAGACAGATAAATAATTCAGCTAAGTAAATCAGGAATTAAAATAAGTCACGTAAGCAATAGCTTTCTAAAATATCATTAACTAGTAATAAAGAAATAAATAAACCACATTAAGAACCTAAATTCATTATTAAAATTAAGCTAAAATTAGTAACAGAGTTAACATACTATAACTTGAATGAAATTGTATGGTATATATAAACTCAGTCTATCATTTCCAGCAATGTTTTTTAAAAAAACGAATTCTCTGTTTTGGCAATAAAATGGAAAATATGCCAATGATAAAATGTTTTTGTAAGCCATTTCTCCGAGAGGACCTGTTATAGTTGCCTTGCAACCCTGGACATCCTGCATTCCCTGCAGCCAATTTGGGCCCCTGGAATGTCTACTGGGGGTTTCAGAGCCAGCCTTTTCCAAAGAGGCTTGTTTCGCTTGCAAGATACAGATAATCAATTTAAGGAAGCGTGTTTTGAAACTATGAACAAGCTTTGATCAACTAGAAATACACTGGAAAGGATTAGTTCCACATTTTTAGTATTTTTTTTAAGGAAGAACCAAGGCAAAAGGTGAAGCAAACCAAAGTCCAAGTGAAGTTCCTTGGATCCTGGCCATCCCGCTACCTGGGCACTGAAGGGGACTGGAAAAGGAGAGCTGGGGTGGGTCGCAGGTGTGCCTGCCTGATTACCTGAGGTGCCTGAAGAGCTCCTTGAGGACCCAGTCTTGACTCTGGACTGTCTGGACGATGATCCTCACCATCTCTGTGCTGTCACTGTATACGTGGTCTGAAAGAGATATTATCTCTCCAAATATGAAACTTCCTCCACATAAAAAAAGCATTTGGCCATCAGATTTTACCTCAAAAGAAAAGCCATGCACTTTAAACTAGCATTAATAACGAGAATAATATATTTTTAACTGTTTGGATACATCAGAAATCCTAGTATCCTAGTTTTACAGGACTGTAAAATTTTGTTGTCATCGAACAAGATTTCCAATATTGTACCTTTTAATATTTCCTCAATCCAAAGTGCTCCAGAGACTGCTAAAGCTCCATTTAAGAGAATAACGAGGTATCTGACTAGATATAAGTCAATAGCATCACCAAAGGAACAGCCTGTATATTCTACATTTTTACCCTCGAAGCAGAAACAGCTAGAAGTGACCGTACAAGGTTAGAAAAGCGTTAAAGAAAGACGTAACATGAAAAAGAGGCAGAGATTCAACTCATAAAAATTTTGTTTTTATGAGCTGTAGCAAATCTTTTGTGTTCCCAAAAGATGCTGAGCCCATCTATTCAGGCGCCTTTGCAAAGTTTCTGCTTACGGCCACTCTCTCTTCCGGGCCTGTTGCATGTTCCCTGTGAGAACGACATACCTGGAGGCCTTGATTTCAGTTGCTTGTAGAGTTCAATGGCTCTCTGTTCCCTGTGGAGAGATGCGGCAATTGTAAGCACGATTCCCCCCCCTCCTTCCCCTTTGGGGCGAGGGTTTAGTAAAGGCCAGGGCCTCATAAGGTGTAGAAATGCAGACGTAACAAATGGGGACTAACTTCTGTTAGTAAGAGTGGGAGTTTAAAAGTGTTTACTCTCAATAAAACGGTGGGATATTTGATCTGCTAGATCTTAAAAGGAAGATCTTTAAAATCGTTATAGTTCTGTCCAGGAACAATTGTGTAATTAGGAGAAGCAGCAGCACAACCATAAAAGTGATCCTCTTAAGGCTGGACGATGTTTTGTTTGTAAATGTTTAATACACTCAACTCAGCCAAACTTTCAGCTTTCCCCTCAGACCAAATCAGTGGGCCTCTTAATAGCACCATGGTGGGTTTCAACATTGCAACTCACCAAAAAAGGAATACGCAGGCACAGAGTTCCACCTTTCATTCAAGAACTCTTAAAACTATAAATACTGGATCCTTTTTTAAACAGAGGTAGTCCTTGAGTTACAACTGTAATGGAGCCTGCCCATCTCTGTCATAACTCATGACAGTTGTAAATCGGGTCATCCAAGTCCAGGAGACTGACCTGATTTTATGACCTATTTTGCAGTGGTGGTGAAGTGACCACTGCGTGGGCCAGTCATATATCCATCCGTTCCCCCCCCCCACCCGGGAGGTCTGTGGTCACCTCCAACAATTGCCAAGCAACTGGTCATAAGCTGATAACAAACATAGCTCTCTCTGCCTTTCAACTTTCCAATTCGTGTCTGTTACACTGACGGCCATTCCTTCGTCTCTCGGTCGTCCATCAGATGACCTCAGCCTTTCCTGCCACTGGATGTTGGCCTCTTGCTCCCAAGAGCCAAGCAGAGAAGGCTGGCAACATGGAACTGCCCCCGCATGAGAGGCAGGGGATTATGGGGGCAGTGTTTGTGGGTGACCCTAGTCAGAGAAGACTCAGAGTGGCCAAATCAAGAGATAAACATTTTCGGTCTCCAGCTGCCTGTTGGTCGGTACATTTACTTATAACATTTTGGGGCACATGCCAGGTTTATTAGCTAGGGTGCTATTAACGATGCTTAGTAGAGCTTAAATAGGAAGGCCTCCTCCTGCTAAGTCAGTGGCACAATGAGAAAAGTTTGTTTTCTTACAGATTTTCCATTACATCGTTTTGACGTCGCACGTGGAGGCTTCTCTGCAGCTCCACAATTTCGGTGTGCAGCGCCATGATCTGCTCATCCAGGGAGCCGATATCTGCCACCTGCAAAGGAGAAATAAAATTCCCTCTCTGACAGACTGAAGATAACTTTGGGATTTTATTTTTCGCGTTGAATAATCACCTAACTGGGTGTCTCTTCCCGTCAGACAGAATAAAAGGATTTGCCGCATGGCGTCTCCTTCGCTCGAGAGTTTCTAACTGAAGCTGGATGGTTATTTGCTGGAGATGCCCTGGAGCTGCCTTTCTCAACCTTGGCAACTTTAAGATGTATGGACTGCAACTCCCAGAATTCCTGCCTGAGGAATTCTGGGAGTTGAAGTCCAAGGTTCTTAATTATTGCTAAGGTAGAGAAACATCCACACCAAGTAGCAGGTAGGGCTAGATGGCCTAAATTTTGAATAATAAACAGTAAAAATGGGGGAAATGTGAATGTTCTCAATTTAAGAAACCTTGGAAAAACAGAACATTTTCCTCACAGACTCAAGGTTATGTCTGAGTTAACGGCAGAGAGACAATGGTGGGAGAATTTTCCTCTCCATCCAGAATGGCAATGGCTGAGCACACTAAATTAGGAGACTTTATTTGAGGATCGTCTCAATATTAGTGGTAATGAAAGGCAGAAGAAGAAAGGGGTGCTTAGTTGTTATTAGCTTCCTATTCTTTCCCTACACGTGAGGTGCCGTCTCAGAATTAAAAATATACATTTGGTAACAGTAACAATAAATGTGGGTTAAAAGCAATGCTCTTCGGATAATGGAAAGTTTTTCACCACTTTCCTATCTTCATTTTTAATTATTTATGTCTGATTAATTTCCTATTTTTTCTATACTCGGATTAAGATACTATCTCAGAATTAAAAACTGTTAGGAAGGATGATGGGGACGAGAACAATGAAAGTCATAGGTCTAAAACAAGACACTCTGGTTTTGGCCCGTACCTTTTCGCACAGGGAAGCTTTTTCTTCCATGTCTTTCCAAGCTTTTAACATTTTCTCTGAGGCTTAAAGAAATAATAATAATAATAATAATAATAATAATAATAATAATAATAATAATAATAATAATAATTTTATTTCTATACCGCCCTTCTCCCGAAGGACTCAGGGCGGTGTGTACAGCCTATTTAAAAACACAAAAAACACGACAACAATTTAAAATTTAAAATCATTAAATAATTAGGCTCCAATTAAAATCCAGAAATTTAAAATACCCCAATTTAAAACGTTATGTTAGTAACCCTGCCTGGCGGAACAACAGGGTCTTCAGAGCGCAGCGAAACACCCGGAGGTCGGAAATCTTTCGTATTTCGGGGGGCAGTTCATTCCACAGGGCTGGAGCTCCCACAGAGAAGGCCCTCCCCCTGGGTGTCGCCAGCCGACATAACTTGGCTGATGGCACCCGGAGGAGACCCTCTCTGTGGGAGCGGACTGGTCGGTGGGAGGCTATTGGTGGCAGAAGACGGTCTCGAAGGTACCCGGGTCCTATGCCATGGAGCGCTTTAAAGGTGGTAACCAACACCTTGAATCGCACCCGGAAGACCACTGGGAGCCAGTGCAGCTCGCGCAGGAGGGGTGTCACGTGGGCGCAACGGGTTGCACCCATAACCACCCGCGCGGCCGCATTCTGGACCAGTTGGAGCCTCCGAGTGCTCTTCAAGGGGAGCCCCATGTAGAGAGCATTACAATAGTCCAACGGGAGGTGACAAGGGCGTGAGTTACCGTGCGCAAGGCGTCCCGATCCAGAAAGGGCTGCAACTGGCGAATCAGGCGAACCTGATAAAAGGCCCCCCCTGGCCACGGCCGTCATGTGCTCTTCTAAAGACAGCCGTGCGTCCAGGAGGACACCCAGATTGCGAGCCCTCTCTGTGGGGGGCAAAGATTCACCCCCAATAGTCAGCGATGGCACCTGCTGACTATATCGGGGCGCCGGAAGCCACAGCCACTCGGTCTTGGAGGGGTTGAGTCTGAGCCTGTTCCTCCCATCCAGGCCCGCACGGCCTCCACGCAGCGGGACATCACATCAAGGGCATCGTTGGGGTGGTCTGGGGTGGAGATGTACAGCTGAGTATCATCAGCGTACAGATGACACTTCACCCCAAAACCACGGATGATCTCACCCAGCGGCTTCACATAAATGTTGAACAGGAGAGGCGAGAGGACCGACCCTTGCGGCACTCCCCATGCGAGATGCCTCGAGGTCGACCTCTGTCCCCCTGCCAACACAAACTGCGAGCGGTCGGAGAGGAAGGAGGAGAACCACCGCAAAACGGTGCCCCCTATTCCTAACCCCCTCAACCGCTGCAGCATGATACCATGGTCGATGGTATCAAAAGCCGCCGAGAGGTCTAATAGGACTAGGACAGAGGAGCAACCCCTGTCCCGAGCCCTCCAGAGATCATCCACCAACGCGACCAATGCCGTTTCAGTGCTGTACCCCTGCCTGAAGCCCGACTGGTACGGGTCTAGATAGATAGCTTCATCCAGGTGCCGGGGAAGTTGTCGTGCCACCACGCTCTCAACAACCTTCGCCACAAAACGAAGGTTGGAGACGGACGATAGTTGGCTAATTCAGCTGGGTCCAGGGAAGGCTTCTTGAGGAGGGGCCTCACTACCGCCTCTTTCAAGGCGGCAGGAAAGGCACCCTCACTCAGAGAAGCACTTATAATCCCCTGGAGCCAGCCTCGTGTAACCTCCCGGGAGGCCAGCACCAACCAGGAGGGACACGGGTCCAATAAACACGTGGCGGCACTAATCTTACCCAGAACCCTGTCCACATCCTCGGGAGTCACAGGATCAAACTCCTCCCAGGTAACATTCTCAAGACCTGCCCTCGTCTCCTCCCGTGGACTCATCCAGTCGGAGTCCAAGCCATCCCGAATCCGAGCGACTTTATCGTGCAGGAATTGCACAAAATCCTCAGCGCGACCCTGCAAGGGATCTTCCCACACTCCCCCCCGGAGGAGGGAGTGGGTCACCCTAAACAAGGCGGCTGGGCGGTTCTCTGCAGATGTGATAAGAGCGGAAAAGTGGTTAGACTTTGCCGCTTTTATCGCCACTAGGTAGGTCTTGATATAAGACCTCACCTGTGTCCGGTCGGAGTCGGATTGGCTAGTCCTCCAAATGCTCTCTAGGCGTCTTTTCCGACGCTTCATCTCTCTCAGCTCCTCAGAAAACCAAGGAGCCAGTTGAGAACGGCATCGGGTCAGAGGCCGCAAAGGCACGACGCGGTCCAAAGCTCCAGCGGCCGCCCTTTCCCAGGCGGCCACCAGCTCTTCAGTCGAGTCGTGTGTTAGGGTCTCAGGGCACGGCCCAAGCTCCGTCAGGAACCTTTCGGGTTCCATCAGGCGCCTGGGACGGAACCATCTAATTGGCTCCGTCTCCCTGCGGCGGGGGGCGGCGGTAGGAAAGTCTAGTTGGAGGAGCGAATGATCTGTCCATGACAAGGGTTTAATGTCTAGGTCCCCTCTACCAAGATCATTCAACCACTGACCAGAGACAAAAATCAGGTCCAGAGTGTGTCCCCCTATGTGAGTGGGGCCTTGAACTAACTGGGTCAGGTCCATGGCCGTCATGGAAGCCATGAACTCCCGAGCCGCCTCTGACGCCTCACCCGCGGATGGAAGGTTGAAATCCCCATGACGATAAGTCTGGGGGGTATCAACCGCCACCCCGGCAATCACGTCGAGTAGCTCGGGCAGGGTCGCTGCCACGTGGCAGGGAGCCAGGTACGCAGTCAGCAAACCCATCTGCACCCCACGGCCCCACTTTACACAGAGGGACTCACATCCGGCTATCTCCAAATAGACTGGAGTTAATTTACAGACACCATGTTCTCTGAAAATGAGCAACACCTGTTTAGAAACAAACAATGCTCCAAAACAGAAGTAGTTATACTGATGAATTTTGGAAATTTAACATATTTTGTACATTTCAGACAAGAAAGAGGTAGAAAACAAGAATTTGGAGTTCTGTATTTAGGAAACCTATAGGATGTAGATGTTAGGAAGATGAACTGGCTGATAAACAGTTTCAGTTATAAGATTCGGTTTGATCCCAATAACAAGCATGTCAGGCCCCCAGAGAAGCCGGGTGTGTGAGAGAGGAATGACCTTGCGCAGGCAGCCTCCCCAAAAGCTAATCAGCATGTTGGGGCCATCACTGGCCAAAGGCTTACAGATTCCATAGGTCATTTGGTCGCTGTATCGTTCCAAGTCGAGGTGGATACTTTGCTGGAAGAAATTCAGCTTGGCTTTCAGTTGCTGTGATGCTGAGATCATGTTGTTTTTCCTGTTGGTTAAATTGGTGTTGTACCTCAGAAGACTCAACCTAGAGATTGGGATAAAGAGAAATTTGCATTAATCTCTGTCATAACTACACATAAACATACATGGATAGAGAGCCCTGGTGGCGCAGTGGTTAGAATGCAGCATTGCAGGCTAAACTCTGCCCACCGCCAGGGAGTTCGATCCTGACCGGTTCAAGGTTGACTCAGCCGTCCATCCTCCTGAGGTTGGTAAAATGAGGACCCAGATTGTTGGGGGCCAGATGCTGACTCTCAAACCTCTTAGAGCGGGCTGTAAAGCACTGTGAAGCGGTATATAAGTCTAAGTGCTATTGCTACAATGCTATTTGGGACTCCCCAATGTACACTCCTACCTATCACTGGGGGCCACAGGAAGGTGCGGAAGGGCTGCTAATCAGATCTCGCAGCCCTGCTTCGTCTGAGCCTTTCCCACCGCTGCACTTCTTCCTCAGGGGCACCTGGGACTTACATGGCAGCTCTCTGGCCCTGGAAGAGGCGGCTGTAGTCTTCCTTCAGGCCAATGACGTAGTGCACGGCTTCAGCCCAGATCTTCCGAAGCTGGAAAACAGGCAGCTGAATTTTGCTGTCTTTTACTGAGAGGGGAAAATTTGGCCATCCTTATTAGTATATTAAAAACTGGAAGTCATAAAAAGGGAAAAACTGGAAGTCATAAAAGGGAAAGAGAGGAGGGAGGGAGACACTGAATTTAAGAATATTCATGATGGAACCAAAGCTGACACAACCCCTGCTTATCAGGGAGTTGAACATGACATATTTTTGCAACTTTGATTGCAATATTTACAATTTGCACATAATTGTTTACAAATTCAAAGAAAACGAAGAATGGGGCAGGAGGAAGCTTGTACATTACATTCTTCTGACTGATTTAGTGCTAGTATTTTTTATACTTTGATATTTTAATAAGGACTCAAAGATCCTTATTACAGAATGTTTTTCCCTGAAAAACATGCAGCCAAATCTTAGAATAACTAATAATTATTACTAAACTGAGACAAACTTACCAATATAATTTACACAGTCAGAAAGCGTCCTAGAAGCGAAAGGGCCTTCATATGTAGTTTTGCTTTTATCAAATAAATATACCATGTAGCTATCCCAGCCTTTCTGGTAAAGAAGAGAAATTATTAAAACATTTCCTTGCAAACCTTGAGAAAGTACCAATAATCCAGATAAACAGTAATAACATGCAAGAATAAATGAATAAACTCATACATATATGAAATATATACACACTCACAGAGTGAAAAATTCTGTTAATAATTTAATTTATTTTACAAGTCTTAAAAAAGGAGCTGGAAGAAGCTAAGTTCTGATCTAGGCGATTTATTTAAATGACTAACAAACATTTCCAGTTCTTGCACTAAGGGGTGCAAAGATGCCTTCCTCTTTGCAAGCACTAACTTATTCTTCCAAAACAAAGAAAGCTTGAGCCAACAAGGAGAGGAAATCTGTGAGATCCAGTCTGTTCTCTCTTACACCAGAAAAATAATACATATCTGCTTTTTTGAAGAGTTTAGCTTGGATGATAAGTTCAGTCTATCGCTGAATCGCTAACCCTAACCCTCTTAGTCATTTTTTGAGGAAAGAATAAATAAAGGAAACCACAAAGGGTTAGCAAAACAAACAAACAAAAGGATCTTTGGTAAAATGCCACAAGCCAGGGCTTTTCTTCTGAAGCCACTGGGACAGGGCCCACACCAGTGGGGTCCTTGCAGTCCTGCTGCCTTAACAACTCTGGGAAGCTCCTGTATCTGCCAGGCGGCACAAAGGACGACACAGGAGAGATCAGAGAGAAGGAAGGGGAAGACGAAGGCCAAGATTTAAAAAGGCCTTTTCTACCCACGAAAGAAGGTACAGCGAATAGAAAGATCTTTGACACCTTCTGATGAAATCTCCAGGTGCTGGAGATGGTTCTTGGAGAAACATTGGGAGATGGGAGCAGAAGGTGAGAAGAGCCGCGGTGGCGCAGTGGTTAGAGTGCTGTACTGCAGGCTACTTCTGCTGATCACCGGCTGCCAGCAATTTGGCAGATAGAATCTCACCAGGCTCAAGGTTGACTCAGCCTTCCATCCTTCCCAGGTGGGTAAAATGAGGATCCAGATTGTTGGGGGAAACAGGCTGACTTTGTAAACCGCTTAGAGAGGGCTGGAAAGCACTATGAAGTGGTATATAAGTGCCATTGCTATGTACTTTCTCTGTGATCTTTAGGGACAATCTCTTGAAGTTTTTTAATTATCCTTCACAGCTCTGGTCTGTGGCCAACTTCATTTTTTCCTTTCATTTTTTCCAACTATCAACTCTCTGGACTTCTACCTGCTGTTGGTCCTTCCTTGGATGTTTTGGTTTCCTTCAATAGAAGTTCTGACTGCTTATTATTTCATAAGAGGATGTGAGTCCTGAACATGTAATTGAGAAATGTCTCAAACCAGTAAGAAAATAAGTCCAGTGCCTTGACTCAACTTTCTGACAGTGTAATGTAAAACTCCTTCGTGTTATGCTGGTGCTTGTAAAGTATTAAACTTTGCAGCCTTTTATAGTCTACCAAAATGGAATTGAAGAGAAGGATGCATCTTACCAGAGCTGTTTATCAAAAGCCTTACAGAACATAAAACAGGTGGCAGCAAACCATTTCCATAAATCAGAATTTATGGAAATTTGTGTGACGTAAATTCTTAAGTTCTGCCTGACTGCTATGAACAATCATTATCAAAGATGTGCAAATAAAGAGGCCTCATTTGTCAGAATTCGAGAAGGAATCTTACTACGCCATCAATGACACACTGAGAGGCTGGTTTCCGGGGGTCTAAACAGCTTCCCATCTCCAGGAGCAGCTCCTGGTTTCCCGAGCTGATTCCGGTGTCGGATTCAATTCGAACTTGCAGGGAATGAAGGCTTTCCTCTGGGTTCAGAGAATACGACAGGATCTTGGCAGACGTCATATTTAAGATGTGGACAATCTGAAAACACCGCAAAGAAACATCAAAGTACTCAATACTTTGAAAATGTTCATTTTTGAAGATTTTTTCACCAGCCCTCCGTGAATTTAGGAGAGACAGGCTTACGATGCTCAAAATAAAATTGGGGGAAAAAAACCCCTATGATCAAAGTTCTTTTTCTTTTTGGTAACAACTAGAGTTTGCTGTCCCAATTTCCAATCACGTTACTGTTATTCGAAAAATAAAAATGTACTGGGAAAATGGTTTCAATTAATTTATTTTCTATGAGCAAGGGCAAATATTTTGTCTTGACATTACAAAGTTTGAGCATTTTAAGACTCAATCAAAGAAGCAAATGGAAGCTTATTTATTGTAACTGTAATTAATCTTTTTAACCGAAATGTATCATCTGCCCACTTACCTTCAGACTCAACAACTGTTCCATTACTTGAAAACATCTGTAGCCATTTGTGTTTGGGTCTATTCCGCCTCCCCTTTGCTGGGGGTCCCAGGTCAGCATCATCTGAAGCCAGTGCTCCATTGTGTCTACAATTGTACTAAGCCATAAAACAAAAGGAAAATGTAAGCCCACCAGGCGGGCTACCACCATCCTGCCCCACTCTGTGGCCTGGCTACTTGAAGGACCACCCGTCTCTCGTAGCTTCTGCCTTGTGAATTTGATCCGGCAGGATCAGTGCACCCCAGGGCGCTTTGATTAAACAATGCCATCTGCTGGGACCCCCAAAGTCATTTTCTCTGCTGCTCGACCTTCTGGAATGAGGTTCCCCCTTTGAAATTGGACTAGCCACCCCCGCAATCTGTTGGAGATGCAAAGGACATGAGGACTTGGCTCTTCCCCCAGGGGAAGGAAGGAGAGAGGGAGGGAGGGATTCTACCAATGAAGGAGAAATGATAGAATGAATGTTACCTGCACAAGCTGTTTGGAGTTGGCAAATAAGCACTAAACCTAACTTCCCCAGTCATCTCTTCCCACGCAAAAATGCACTTGGGCTCTTTCCTCTTGATTTTCTCATGCCTATGGGAAAAGAGCAAGGAGGATGGAGATCAAAAGATTAAAAAACAGTTAGTAACTTGGAACAGATGATGTCCATAGCAGGAGCAGGATGGGTGACCTTCAGAAAACCCCTTTGGGGCCTATCCAAATCCTTATGAATCCTTCCCCCTTCCCCTGCTGCCAACTGCATGAAAATGTGTGTGTTTACAAAGGCCCTTCAGAGCAAGCCTACATTTGAATATGGGCTGCATGATACATCTAGCAGGTGCATCTGCTCCTAAGAGAAAAAAAGCTCATGGAAGCTTCTGGAAGGATGACCAGTGTTCTTTTTCATTTCATTCATGGCATGGATGAGGAACTGGAAGGACGATATATCAGGTTGGCAAATGACACACAATTGAACGGGATAGGAAGTATTCCAGAAGCCAGAAATAAAATTCGAAATCATCTTGGGTCCAACTCCCTAATGCCAAATTGCAGGGACTAATCCACGCAGTTACCAGCAGTCAAGATGAACCCGAAGGCATCAACAATAACAACCAAAAAGCAGAGATGATGGACCTAAACAAGGCCGGGGCATCCATTGTGCAATTGTGGCTGTCCTATTGGTATTTTCATCCATCCGTGTAGATATGTGCCTGGCACAGTGGCTCACTTAGGATTGGAGCACCGTGATGAATTCAAAGGAATTCCTCTCCAATAAGCAGAGGTCGTCGTGTGCCTAATACCTTTAATCCCCCTAAAATAGCTCTTCCTGGAGCTACAGCTGATGGAGAAAGAACATTTTGTAAGGGAACTCAATCTCTTTCCTTCCTGGCTTCTTCCTGCTGGCTGTCCTATCTCCTGGGGCCTTTAAAGAGAGCGGGGCTGCCTTGATGTCCCTGTCTGCGCAGAGACACAAAACCGGCTCTTTGGCGAAGGTAAAACACGCCCCTTTGTCCCCTGAGTCAGAGAGACCTACCAGGTGAACGGCTGCTGGTTGTGCAGAAAGGGCCTGAACCCCGTAATGCACTCAAAGATGACTGTCCCGAGGCTCCAGAAGTCCACAGTCATGGAGTAAGGGTTATTATCAAAGAGTTCAGGGGCCTTAAATAAAAGAGCAGAAATTGGGATAAAAATCAACCTCCAGAGTTAAGAACACAACACACTGCAATTCGTGTTTAGCTCTTACCAAGTACTGTAAGGTCCCCACAAAAGACGTGCATAAACTTCCTTGATCCAAATCCTTGGCGTATCCCAGATCTATGATCTTGTAGATTATCTGGCAAGTAAATCACATTCCAAGTCATGTTTTCACCTAAGCTTCTTCACTCTTTTTGGAACTGAGAAGTGAGGGGGGGGGGTTTCCTCCATTTTTTCCTAACCCAGCCACTGAAATGGATGAGAAAGGCAGGGAGAGCCTCTCCTTTGATCAGATGGGAGGGAAGGAAGGAGCAGGACAGCTGAAACATCTTTTGAGATGCTGGAGAACCAGCTCTACAAGCCACCACCTATGGATATTTCTGTATATCCCACCTTTATTGACTGTATAACTAATTAAAGGCAGTGAACATACCTAATATTTATTCCTCCACCTGTTTCCACCACAACAACACCCTTGTGAGGTGGGCTTGGCTGAGAGAGAGAGAGGGGGACTGCCCAGTCACCCAGACCCCTTTTGTGCCTAAGGCGGGACTAGAACTCAGGGCCTCCTGGTGATTGTCCCAGGGCACCTTGTGCTTCAAAAGAGCAGGTGGGGAAGATGAGGGAGGCCCAGGCCAAAAGGCAGGTTCCTCCTCAAGAGGACTGGTGTCATGACAACAAAACTCCCTCCAAACCAATCCTTGCAAAGTCTGTCCAGCAGATGTGGGGACTGGGCAGAGTCCCCTTTCTGTGGCACATTTTTGGAACAATTGATGGAAAAATCGACTGCAGCCTTCTAAACACTTTGTTGCCGCAACACTTGGAGTTTCACTGACCTTCCCGGCTTCATCCTGGAGGACAATATTTTCTGGTTTAAGATCTCTATGAATGATTCTGTTTTCATGTAAATACTGGATGCCAGACCCTGAAATTAAGAAAAAAATGCACACATTTAGAAAAAAAAAAATTAGAGACATTTTCTGATTCTGCTTTCATCATTTTGACCACAGTGGTAAATCCAGAAGATGCCCCAACCTCTGTCCCAAGGCCCTTCTGTGGTCTAAACCAATACAGGCTAATTATTAATACACATTCAGAACTGGTTGGCTTTTTGAGTGAGCTTTGAGGCACAATAAGAAGACGGGGAAACAAAACACCTTTAAATCTCTTTATCATGGAAAAGAACAGCTGACATACCAATGTCACTCAGCACAGAAAGGATTTGGCTCTCCTTAAGACCGCAGCAATTCTCAGGTGCATTCAGCAGCTAAAACGGTAATGGTAGTAATAATACGAAGGTTAATAGGATTGTTCTATTTAACAACCAATACATATATAGCTCAAAAGACAAAACGTGTTACTAGGAAGCACTGTGTTGGAGAACATATTTGAGCCAACAAAAGGAGTGTTGACTTTCAGTGAAGTGAAATAATGAACCACAATTACAGGCCGAAGCGTAAAAGAGGGGAGACTCCTGGTGCCATCGGAGTTTGGCTCTGTGGATCAGCTTCTGGGTCCCAAAATTGGTAACCGGCATCAAAGGAGAGATTGCCTTAAGCCCCAGAATGCCACCGAAGAGGAGAAGCACCACACAGCAGCTTTCTCTGCTTCTAAAGCCGAGAGACCGTTGGAGCTCTCCTCCGCCACGGACAAATCGGTCGGGATTTCGTCCCGAGGTCCTCAGGGGGAAAGGGGACTCCAGCCGCCTCTAGAGCAGGACCAGGCGCCCCTCACGGCTTCCTGGGGGAGCTCCAGCAGCCCAGCCCAGCCCCACGGTGGCTCCTACCTTCCTCAGGTCCCCCCTGGAGCAATACTCCATGGCCAAAAGGGGCACGTCGTTCACCAGGAAATCCAGGCCTTCTGGCAGGTCCTGGGCCTTCACCACATTCGGGTGGTTCAAGCTGAGGAAAGAGAGGGAAGCTTTCGAGCAGCTCAGAGAGCAGCCAGAAGAGAAAGCGGGAGGTGCAGAGTTCTAGTCCTGCCTCAGTCAGAAGGTCTGGCTGGCTGGCTTTGGCCAGGTGCCCCCACCCCCCCACCCCCCCACGGGGTGGTTGCTGTGGGGCGAGGAGGAGGGAGGGAGGGAGGGGGGGCGCTGGGGGCCTCGACTGCCTGGGGAGGATCCTAAAGGGGCTGCAAAGCAACCTGAGGGTCAGCCCCCCCTCCCCTGAGTGGGTCCAGAGGGCGCCCCTCCCCCGGAGGGAGGGGGGATGGGAGGGAGGGGGCCCCCCAGTGAAGGGCCGGGGGAGGGGAGGGAGGGGGGCAGGGGCCCCGGGCCCACCTGCGCAGGATCTGCAGCTCTTGGCGCCAGCGCTCCTGGTGTTTGGCGCTCAGCTCCAGCCGGCAAGCCTTCACCGCCAGCCGGGCGCCCGACTCCTGCGGCGGACAAGAGGGGGGGGGGGAAGGAGGCGTTAAGTCGGACCGGGGGGGGGAGGGGAAGAAGGGTCTCCAGAGCGGCCCCCCTCCCCCCGCAGCCCCTCCCCTCCCCCCTCACCCGGTGCTGGTAGAGGGAGACGTTGCCGAAGCCTCCGGCGCCCAGCCGCTCCCGCATCTCCCAGGGCCCGCAGCTGGTGGAGCCCGGACAGCCGCCCCGCAGCGCCACCGCCGCGCCCGCCGGCAGCCGCTCCATGCCCGCCCGAGCCCAGGCCCCGCCGACGCCGACGCCGACGCCTCTTCCGGGGCCGGATCGCCCAGCGCCTCCCCGGCCGCAAAGGCGGAAGAGGCGGAGGAAGGAGACGGAGGCGCTTCCCCAGCCCCTCTAGATGGCCTCTGGGGGCCCCGGGCCCGCTCCCTCCTGGCCCTCCGGCACCCCAAGGCCGCGACTTCACGGGCGAGGAATAAAGGGCCCCCCTCCCCTTTTCCCTCCCCCCCTTCTGCTGCTCCTCCTCCTGAATGGAGGCAGCCCCCTCCCCCTCCCCTCCCCTCCCCCGCAGGTGTCTGAATCCCTCCCGCAGCCCCCTCGGAAGAGCTCCGGCGGAGCCATCGTGGTGGAAGAGCGCCACCTGGCGGCCTTTTGCATTCGCCGCTTTAGTCAATTTCTCCAGCCCTTCCATTCCACCCTTTTAGTCTGTGCCCAAGTTGCTTCCCCCACGCATACATTCTCCGAATAAAAACCATCCATCCATCCATCCATCCATCGAGATAGATAGATATAGATTAGAATAGAATAACAGAGTTGGAAGGGACCAGACAGCAGACAGCCAGACAGATGATAGAGATAGATAGATACCAGTAGATGATATAGATCGGTGGTCACCAGCTGGTGGTCCATGAGAAAATTTTGGTGGTCCGCAGAAAACTTATTTCCATTTTTTTTATATTGCACTAAATCAGAGGTCCTCAAACGATGGCCCCTGGGCCAGATACTTGCAATGAACGTTTGTGTTGCTGCAGAGAGTCTCCCCCTTCGGGGTCTTTTTGTGCAGGTTGGAGGAGGGCAGAAATTCCGCCTTGGGGTCTGCTTCAGCCTCCTGGTGTGGGGCTTTGGGCGAAGGCTGGGGGGAAGTGCCACTGGTGGCAAGGAGGTGGAGGACCTTGTTCCACTGGGGTTGTATCATGGCCTGGAACTGGCTGACCATCTCAACCCGCTGAACCTCCAGGTGCCGGTACCTGGCCTTACACTCCTGCAGGTCTTTCCTCTGCTTGGAAAGCCTATGCTCGTAGTCCTCAGTGAGGTGTTTCTGCTGAGCCTCCTTCTTGGTCAGATTCCAAGAGTTGGAAGGAAATAGAATAGAATAAGAGAGTTGGAAGGGATCTTGGGGGTCTTCTAGTCTAACCCCAATGCTCAAGGAGACTCTATGCCATTTCAGAGGAGTGACTGTCCAGTCTCTTCTTAAAAACCTCCAGTGCAGCCACAGCTTCTGGAGGGAAGCCATCCCCCACTGATTAATTGTTCTCACAGGAAATTCCTCCTTAGTTCTAGTTTACTTCTCTCCTTGATTAGTTTCCGTCCGTTGCTTCTTCTCCTGCCCTCAGGTGCTTTGGAGAATACCTTGATTCCCTCTATTTTGTGGCAGCCCCTCAGATATTGGAAGACTGCTATCATGTCACCCCTGGTCCTTCTTTTCATTAAACTAGCCATGCCCAGTTCCTGCAACCGTTCTTCGTGTGTTTTAGCCTTCAGCCCCCCCTAATCATCTTAGTTGCTCTTTGCCCTCTTTCCAGAGTCTCAACATCTTTTTTGTGTTGTGGTGAGAAAAACTGGATGCAGTTTTCCAAGTGTGGCCTTCCCAAGGCCTGATAAAGTGGTATTAACACTTCACCTCTTTATGCAACCAAGGATGGCATGAGCTTTTTTGGCTGCCGCGACACACTGCTGGCTCACCTTTAAGTGATCACTCTGGGAGACAATCTTGTTGCCCTCCTTACATGCAGCCATTTGTTTTGATTGACTTCTTGCATAACGTGTCCTTCATAAAGATGTTGGGACCGAGTTGAGCAGGTCTGGGGCGAGGTGGGCAGGTTTCCACAGGTGAAAAGGGTGGTGGGAGGAACCAAGGGGGAAATGGCCTATGAGTCTTTTCTTGTCATGCTTCTTGTGGCGCTGCCCCTGAGCTGTTTCTCCTGCCTTCCTTCCCTGGAGGCTGAGATGATCCCCTCTGAAAGGCCCTGCATGGCTCCCTCTGAGGGGCCACCCGCTCCCGGCTTCACACGATCAGCTCAGGGGTGTCGATAGAAAGATCTGCCTTTGACTGCCCAAGGGTGGGTAGCCTCCATCCTAACCTTGGTTTTCTATCCTCTGCAGGGTCCCCTGAGCTGAATGGGGCCAATGCCCTCCAGGTGCCCTCCAGCTGAGAGTGCCATGTGCAGGGGGGGGGGGACGGATTCTGGAAGGGGGCAGTCCCTGCTCCCCCCTTTGCAGCTCCCTCCCCCCGGAGAGCCACTGCGCCTCCTCCCATCCAGCCCAGGATGGAGGCTTGCTGGAAATGTTGGGGTGCACTGCCGACAAAAGGGGTTGCTTTCCTTTGGCCCTTCCGGGTGGGTTTATCGGGCATTTACTTCGGAGGGCTTTTTAAAAGATTTATGCTGGGCGGCGGGCAGGCTTCCGGAAGTGCCGACACATTACCCGAAGTAAGTGCCCATTTTAGCATGCTGCCAAATGGCTTCCAGTTGAAAGGAGGAAGGCTCTCCCGCTTTCCCCTAAGCCCCCCCAGAGGGAGAAGGATCCTGTCCCCCTAATTTTTGAGAGCTGCCCCGAGTCCCTCCCCACCCGGCAGCCTTTCCAAGGATTCATTTCTCAGGGTCTCCTGGTCTCCCCCCACCCCGGAGGGTTCCGACGCCTGGAGGGCAGCCCCGACCTCTCCGATGCCCAGGGGAGGGTCGCGGCCAAGGCGAGCCTCCGCCTCTCGGGAGACCCCCATCCTTGCAGGGGGCGGGGAGGGCAGCGCTGCCTCCCGGGGGTCCGTCCGTGTCCCCCCCCCACCGGCGGGGGCGTCGGCGCGAGGGAGGCGCGCAGTGACGAAGAGCCGGAGCCGCGCAGGAGGGCCGAGCGCGGGGCTGTCGGGGCGGCTGCGGCTTCTGGAGCCCCGGACGGCTGGACGGGCGCGGCGCAGCGGCAGGCAAAGCCCGGAGCGACCGAGAGCGAGCGCGGTACCCGTCGGGTAGACACCCCCACCCCCCACGGCGCGGCTCAGGGAGGGGGGAGCCTCCTCCTGCGCTAGGGAGGGACGGGGGGGGGTCGCCTGCGGGGCGCTGGAAGGAAACGCCGGTTCCGGGCGCGGGGCGGGGGGGTCCACGCGGGGCTCCATCTCCTCCGCGTAGCAGAGCCCGAGGGGGGTGGGGGGGGCTGATTTCGGAGCCGCGGGTGCTTCAGGGAAAGCGACGGGGGGACCCGCAGCCCTGGTTCTCCTGGGGGGAGGCCATCCCTCTAGATAAACGGGCATCTGCGCCGGGGGAGGATTGTTCTAAAAGCCCAGCGCAGAAGCTGAGCGCCCGTGCCTGCTAAGCCCATTAGGTTAACCCTGGCTGTGCCATGTGCTGCATGGAAGCCACCATATTTAGGCTGCACGACCAAAAAGCCAGCCCATCTCAGAGCCCGGCAGACCGGCAGAGCTCCGGGCAGTCCGAGGGCAGCCAGTTAGTTGGCAAGATCCGCGAAGGGAGGGCGAGTGGTCAGGAGCTCCGGGATTCCGCATCCAGTTCTGGTCCCCAGGACGGGGGGAAAAGCTGCAGGGATCCTGGAAGAGCAGAGCAGCACAGGCGATTTAGGGGGCTGGAGGCTGAACGTGTTGGGGGTGCCTAAAGTCTAGCGAAGAGGAGGACAGGAGAGCAGCCTTCCCCTATCTGAGGGGCTGCCCCAAAGGAGAGGGGGGCCGCCTCTTCTCCAAAGCCCCTGAAGCCAGGACAAGCAGCAACGGAGGGATCCGCTTGGAATTAAGGAGTTTCCTGACGGAGGGGGGGCAATAAAGCAGGGAACAGCTTGCCTAGAGGAGTTGTGGGCGCTCCATCCCTGGAGGTTTGCCTTGAGCAGGGGGTTGGGCTAGAAGGCCTCAAAGGCCCCTTCCGAGTCTGACTCCGTATATCCCTGCCTGGTGAGGAACTGGGTAGCTCCAGTCTAGATCATTTCTGGAGGCAAACCAAGATAGCCTAGTCTCCAAGCAACAGCAGCCCTCGTGGTTTATGCCAGAGAAACTCTGGGCTTTCTAGGGTTAACTCTAAAAGCAGAGCAATCCAGGCAGCCACGGCTGACCCCTCTTTCCCCCCTTGGCTTTGCAGGTTGGGCCCACTTCCTGGAGACCATGAGGGTGAAGTGCAGCCCCGCCATGTGTTGGACTCTCCTCTTCCTGCTGGCCATTTTCATGGAGGGCATTGTCTGCAAAGGGGGCCGGGGTGGAGCTCGGGGGTCAGCCCGGGGGACTGCTCGGGGCACCTCCCGGCGGTCCAAGTCCGCCCCTCGGTACCGCTCCTCCGGGACAGCCCTGCGCGTGGCGGCCGCTGCTGCTGCAGGAGGAGCCGCGGCAGCAGCTGCAGCGGCTGGGATGAGGATGGGGGGCCCAGACAGCCCCCAGTACGGAGAGATGCAGCCGAGCAACAACACTGCAGGGAGCACTCACCACCCCGGTCCCTGGCCCCTCCTCTACGTCTCCGCCTCCCTCTGGTGTGTGGCCCTGGTGCCTCGGGCCTTCTGACGCTCAGAGCCTCTGCCCAGCGGCCTCTTCCCCTAAGCCTCCCCACAAGCGATCTGGGGGGGGGGCAAGTGTCCCTGCGACGACTTACTCAATGGTGCCAAAATCCATTACAAGCCACTCCTATCCCCGGCTGGTTTCCCCAGTTTTTAGTTATTTATTGAGACTGCCATCCTAAGGTCAATCCAAAGGGGGAGGGAAATGGTTAACGAACGAACGGTCAGTGTCTGCTGGTGGACAGTCTGAGATGCGGTGTAGCTGCCCACTCCACGTGGGCCATTATTTGTCTGCCAAATTCTTTATGCAGCTCTTTTGTAATGATTAAGACACAAAGACCTTCTGCCAACAATTTATTGCTACTTTTATACGGTGAATCTCTAGGGAAGAATTCCTCCCTCTGGTGCCTTGTCCACCCAAGGAGCTTTTAACTTCGGAGTCATTCCGCACTAGGTCCACCCAGGTGGGAGCTCGGAGGTCAGCGTGGAGAACGTGGTAGACATGGAAGAGACAAGTCGGACTCAACCACGGACAGTTTTTGGCTACTCATTTCTCTTGAGGCCAAATTATAGATCACAAGGTAGTTGTGAGGTTCAAGTGAGGGGACAATACCTCGTCTGCTATCCTGAGTAACTAAGAAAAGCAAAATATTATCGGCTCTTATCATGTTCAAGGCTACTATGGGAAAAAAATCAGTTATAATTCAACCCCGTTTCCTTGTCCGCCTTGAACTGAGAGAGTTCGGCCCGTAGCAGGCGGCTCTTCTTTTGGGCAAAATGGGGGGAAGCCTTCTTGCTTTGTGTTCTGAACTGGCTGAAGGGGGCAGCTGCCATGTTGGTGCGAACGGCTGAATCACTCAGAGGCAGCCGTGTTCTCCAAGGAGGCAGAAGGCGGCGAGGGTCGAGGACAGAAAGGGCTGGGCGCTGAGCTGGACAGGCTGCCATTATGGTTATGAATGTGATTTTATTTCCTGTGGAAAAGCTTCTCAAATGCCCTTGCAACAGCTGGGGGATGCTGAAAATGTCTCATTCACCTCCTTTTGGCTGGGAGATTTCTGCCCTCAAAGGCCGCTAAAAATTCATTTTGGGGAAAGAGCTAATTGGGTCAGCCATCTCCTTTCAATCTGACCACCACGGTTTTGAAAATCTGCCAGAGTTTTCAGAAATTCAGTAGGGAGATTCAGGCCCAATAAACAGCTTTGCGCGGTTAATACGACATTTGCTGCCCTCAGTTATTATGACGGCTCTTGAAAAGATTATAAAATGGATTAGACAAATTTGTAGAGCTATTAGATTTGATGGCCATGAATTTTGCATTACATACAAGAGACGCATCTTCAGTGCCAGCGATGAGAGAGAAGACACAGGAGCTTTCCCTGGCTATGAACTTTTCCCCCATGCAGCTGAATGGATCCCGTGTCACACGCAATGCTGCTCCAAATGGACCTTTGCCCTGATTTATTAATTTATCCACTCCGAGACGTTTTAAGAAAAACATTTTCATACATTCCTACCTATGATGTCTGGGTGCAAACAGAACTAGGAACGGTTCCTGATATTCCTTTACCTGCTGGTGATCAGCTCATTTAATAAAAGTCATTACAATCGCCTGGTGTGCGTGTGGCATTTTGGACTGTAAGGCTCTGGGGGGAAATGAGCAGGTTTTGTTTCCCAATGATGAGCAGGTGAAGGAAGGGACATTACGGCAAATGCACCGGATGGTGTGTCCTTGTTGTGAGCTTTTGACTCCTGGCGGCTGCCTGGACTCATCCCTGCAGTTACAGAAGCTGGTGGCCACTGCGATGGGGCAGCCTTTCTGCACTGTGGACTTGTATTCCGCTTCTGATCAGGGACGATGGCAAAATTCTCTTCACGATCCGTATCTTCAGCCAGCGACGCCTCCTTCCACCACGGCCTTTGATGTCTGTGGAGACTCTCAGTCATGCAGGTCATGGTTGTCCCAAAGCGGCTTTTTCCCCCCAAAATGCAACGGGACTTCCTTGGGTTTTCTCCTTTTCCTTGAAGGCGTTTCACTTCACATCCAAGAAACTTCTTCAGTTTAGAACTCCAGAATAGAATAAGAGAGTTGGAAGGGACCTTGGAGGTCTTCCAGTCCAACCCCCTGCTCAAGCAGGAGACCGTGTGCCATTTCAGACCGGTGGCTGTCCGTTCTCTTCTTAAAAACCTCCAGGGTTGGAGCACCCACCACCTCTGAAGGCAACTCCTGTTCCACTGGCTGATTGTTCTCCTTAGTTCTTGGTTGCTTCTCTCCTTCGTAAGTCAGTTCACATCTTCCTTTTATTCTTGCTTTTATCCTCTGTGTCTTCTGCATCCTTGATGGAGTTATACTGTTCTTTCTTTCTTCCTTGGCAGGAGGGAAGTTGGTGCAATACCAATGGAAAAGCAATCTTAAAATTATTTATTCATAATATCCAAAAAGGGAAGCCAAAACTATGGGATACAGCTCTGTTACAAAACATGGGATAGCAAGTTTAACTTGCAACAATGTTATCGGATTATGTGGTTTGAACAGATCACAAAGCAGTGCAATCGGCCTCCAAAGTTCTTTTTAAATAAGAGGTAAACCATAGATCTCTCCAGCTATTGCTTTGTCATCCAAGACAAGCCGGTGTCCATCCCCTGAAGATACAGCACGGAGGACTGGAAAATAGATATCAAATGATCCAGGATTAGTCATTGAAAAAAGCCCAAGGGGAGGCTCTTCCAAGGGAGTTTGCATAAACCCAAAAGGACCGTCTGTAATAGCCACGTGGACGTTGCAAGGCCCAACCCAGCTGAGCTTCTGAAGAAAGCAAAGGCCTCCACAAAGCAGTGCAGGGAGTTATCTGTCACTATCTATCTACCGTGTTTCCCCCAAAATAAGACCATGCCTTATATTTTTTTGAACTCTGAAATAAGCGCTTGGCCTTATTGCCATGCGCTCAAAAGCCCAATTGGACTTATTATCAGGGGATAATGTCTTATTTTGGGGGAAAACAGGGTATGTATGTGTCTATCCCAGAGGTATTGGCAAAGTCACACTGGCCTAGCCTTCCTTAAGCACACGGTGTTGCTCCTACCTCCTGCTCCTGGTAGATCCTGGGAACTTTCCAGAAGAAAACTCCAGGGGAAGGTCAGTCAAGGATCTCACTCCCTTGATCCAGCATTACCTTCCCCAGAAGCCCTTTACGGAAGGTGTAGATGAATTCACAGGCTGCTGCGTTGTAATTGGGGACCGATACGTTCACATTCCCTGCCGAAAGGAGGAGAAGCCTCAGTGCTCAGCCCCGATGGTCTTTCCTCCCCAAAAGGGGAAAAACAAAAACCCTCCAGACTTGTAGAGTCAGAACAACCTGGTCTACTAATGCATGGCCCTCCGTTAAGCCTCCATCCCTGGGCTCTGCCATCACCCACTGGTGGACTCAGAAGCACCTCCCCCCCCCACCCCCTTGACCTGTAGCCAGAGAGCTTCCCAGTGACAGGAGGACAAGAACTCACCTGTGCCAGTCAGGACCTGGACTTTTTGCACTTTGCCCAGGTGCCGTGCTATGCTTCTGAGTACACTCTCCACCTCATCGCAGGGGCCACTCAGCCCGTAACGCTCCACGTAACTGCGGAACAGGAGTGGTGGGGAGGGGGGAAAGATGCCTGAGGCTTATGGAGGGTCCCCCTGTGGCCCACACACAAGCTCAGGGGCCGCCTCACCTGAATTGCTGCTGCTGGTTCAGCACATACAGAAGGTAGTCAGCAATGACCTCCACTCCCACCAGGTGATCAAGAATTGCCCCTGAGTAAAGGAAGAAGAAGAGGAAAATGTAGAGGTAGTCCTGCTGGTGAAGTAGGGCAGGCAGCGACACGATGGCTGCAACCCAAAAAACTCCAGACACGGAGCGACAGAGCCGGAAAATCAGATTTAAGGGTGGATGCCAATTTGGAGAGGGGGCAACACATCTGGACTCTATGGACATTAAACAAACACTGCAGGAATTAGACTCTCAAGGCTGTGGAAACAGCAAATGTCACCCTCCACTAGTAAGTTTCACACAAGGAAATGTTAGGTTACACAAAGGAGCAGGGAAAAAGAAGCCCAAGTCAAAACCGCTGGGCAAAGTGATTGCTGACTGGCCTCCTTCCTTGGCAAAGCAGACGGATTCCAGGGCCCTCCTGTGCTCATCCAGCAGGACCCAAAGGCTCCCTCGCCCACCAACCCTATCATTCACATTTTCATGTTCGGTTGCCTGGCCTGCCTTTTCTTCAAGGGCTCAGGACAGCTTCCATGGGGATCTTCCTTCATTGGATCTTTGCTACAATCTGGCAAAGGGGGATGGATAGTGGGAAGGAGGGACCCAACATCAGCCAATGAGGGCTCGTGGTTGAGGGTGAACTTGAATCTAGTTCTCTCGATTCTGGTCCAAGTCCTTAATCTCATTTATTTATTAAATGTGTACGCTTCCCAACCCTCTGCCAAGCAACTCTGCGTGGCTTACAATACTCTAAATAACGAAGAAAACAATGATAGGATTAAAACCTTAAAACGTCAGGCATTAAAAGCTAAAACCTTAACATTGATGTTAAAATGGTTAAAAAACAATGTGTAGATGGGGTGGAGGTGAGATCTTGTACTGGTCTACTAGCCGCCTCCAAAACGGGGTGCCCCATTGGTGTATAACCACGTGTCCCATATTGTAACACTGCTCGGAGTCCTCTCACCACATAGTGCCAGCTTCAGCCCCGTCTCAACGGACTCAATTTGGGGAGACAGCACCCCAGGAGTATCCAGCAAGTACATGAGGGGCTTTTCAGACACCTGGAATAGGAAGGTATCGGATTCAGTTTTACAGTCTCAAAAACTGCCACAGAGAATGATAGGACCCGATGATTTCTGACATGCCGAAGAGCTGATTGAAGACATCAACTTGTTTTACATTTTCTTTAGAGTTACCCACCATGACTAACAAAATCAAGGTTGCTCAACCAACTTTTATACCCAAAACAGGATTAAACTCCCAGCATCTACAATCTTTAACCGCTATATCAAAGTGGTTCTCGGGACATAAGGCACAATTGTTTGAGACATATTGCTTTAAAAACTGTTATAATGCATACAATTGGTTACTAGATTTGGTTGCAATTCTTTATTTCCATGAAGGCCTGAAATGTTACATGGACATGCACCTCTAAGTCGACAGGTGTTGGACTATGCCACGTTATTAATCCCCATTATCCCACCCAGATTGTCCTCTCTAATGAGAACGAAACAGGAAGCCGCTCAGTTAAGAAGATCAACCCTACTATCAGTCGGTCACAAGGGAGAAGAGGGGAGGAGAAAGAGGGTGCATCTACCAAGCTTTGCTGACAATGATCGGCTCTCTCGGGCACCCACTGCCTAGGGCTGTATTCAGGTGTTCTCTACTTAAGAATCACCATTTCGAATAAGAACCCAAGTCTGTGCACTTGTCCCCATTTGGCGCAGAAACTCTTGGATTACCTGGATCCTGGTCAGAACCGCTTTGGTTATACCTGGCGCCCCGCCAACCGCTGCGGCTTTTCCTTTGTCGCAGGGCAAGGAAGAAAAGAAAAACACAATTATGTGCAATTGAAGACGGCAACGCTTAGCTTGTCGTGTTGTCAGTGGCTGAGGACCTAATTGTCCCTTTTGCTTTAGGCCAGTAATCAACCATAACCAAAAGGAGATCTTGGCTCCTCCTTGGCTCACCAGTCCTTTTCTGGCAACCAGGCAGGGATGTCTCATCCCCACGTAACTGTGTCAACCCAGTTCCCACTATTGCTGGACAGATTTCTGAAAAACTCACACTCTCCAACAACTCTTTTCTTGACCTCCAAGAACTTACTTGGCTGGGTTTTTAAAATTTTAAATTTCAAAAGAATTTATCACTAATCACTAATTCACTAATGTGAAACATTCAGCAAAGTTGAACCAGACCGCCATGTTTTCAGGATTATATCATGCTCACGACTTTCCTCCTTGTATATCGATTCTACTGAATGCTCTATTCAAATGTATCGGTTTGCTTGAGCAGAAGCAACAGGAAATACCTTTCCTGAGGTGTAGCTTTCTCAGTGAATTGATGATTGAGGATTTTCCCACATTCGGTACACCGATCACCATGATGTTGTTATCCACATTCTGGAATCAATCAGAAACAGTTGAAAGTAACCTTGACAACACACTTGGCTCAAGCAAGAAAGAAAAGAAAGATTTTGGCAGATTTCTGGAGGGTGACATATATGGAAACATCCATTTCAATATCCAGGTTCCCATTAACTTCAGGCCAATGATGGTTGAAACCTGGGTCTGTGCCAAGCCCTAGGAAACATTTCTTCTCTCTTTTGAGATGCTTATAAGGCTGGAAAGGAGCAACCTACAAAAGCCAACTCTGTGCGTCCTGGAGCCTTTGCTCTGAACATCTGCTGGCATGAACAGATGATGTTCTTAATGAAATCTGCATTTTAAAAAGAAGTATTCCCGGGGGCTGAAAAAGATGGAAGCCACAGGGGCTCATCTTTTAAAGCATAATGCAGGAAAATGCTCAATTATTTGTTAACCTTGTAAAATTTAGAATTTCTCTGAGGAACTTAATAGGAACACACAGAGGATGGGTCGTCTAAAGAAAGTCTGCTCTGATTCATGATTGCCTTTGTCGAGGCAATTATTTGCCATTTTATTTAATTTTAGGGAGGAAAGTAAAAGACCTTCTGACAAGACAAGTGCCATCCTGAATAGAGCTCATGATCTTCAGGTTAGGGTCCTCTAAAGTTATAGGCGGTAAGAGAGAACCAGTTTGGCAGAGTGGTTAAGGCATCAGGCTAGAAACCTGAAGACTGTGAGTTCTAATCCCACTTTAGGCCCAAAGCTAGCTGGGAGAACCTGGCCCAGCCACATTCTCCCAGCCCTAGGAAGGAGGCAAACCTCTTCTGAAAAACCTTGAAGCCAAGAAAGCAGCAGGGACTGGTCCAGGGTGGTCATCAAGACCCACGTGAAGGTGCACAAGTATGCGCACGCACACACGCACGCACACACACTCACTCACGTATGTACAGGGGGCAGATCTAATGGAGTGCTAATCAAGCCCACCAGAAATGAATCCGTTCCACACATCAGGAACATTGCCACAGAAAAGGCCGGGATGGTCCTTTTTGTTCTTAACCAAGTGGTTATTTAAATACAAAGGAAAAGCACAGCAATGTTTTTGTTCTCCAAAATGTCCAGTTTAACTCACCTCCGCCCTCTGATAACGCTGGCTGTTTTTGATCAGTCCTGTGAGAATGGGAACGAGCTACAAGGAAAGAAAAGACAGATCCAGTGGAACTGCAGGCCTTTTTTGTCCTTAGACGGAGGGAACTAAGGTTCCATGCCTCCTCATCCTTCTCTCTTTCCCTCTCCCCTGCAGCTGATTAGAGACAAGGTCAATTATTCATTCATTCAAGAAACATAAAAGGCTGCCAACTCCATGGCTCCTTTGTACCAACTGCTTCGCTTTATCTTTCAACGAATAGGAAGATTGGTTCTAGAATAAACAGCTCTCGTCATCCAGGCTTATCGTACTAGAATATAATTTTGTACATTGGAATTTTACCTTCTCGATATTTTCGTCTGTTAAGCAATCGGTGAAGACAACGTGCTGCAAACCTTGCTGTTCCAAAAGTTCCAGAATTCTCTAAGAGCGTATCAAAGAGATTCATAGGAAGTATTAGTGCTCTTGTTATTATAATTTAGATTCGTTATAGCCACCCAGCTTACTAAATATATTAGTAAGGCAAGAGGCTTTATTGATTACTTAATCAATAAAGTAATCAATAAGGCAAGAGTCTGATGAAGAAGCCAGGTGTTATCAAACAGGCCAAAGCAGATCTGAAATCAGACACAAAATAACAACAGCGAAAGTTCAAATTCCCTACTGTAAAGTTAGCATGAATTGTTTGACAGGGCCAACATTCTAACAAGCAATCCAAGCTGAAAGAACTATTTCCCATCCTTATTTGGACACTTAAGGGTGTTTCCCAAACTCTGGTTCAGCCTGCAGTCTATGAAAGAGGAAAAACCGACAAGACTCTACTCACCGACTTGTAGGTCAGATCTGCCAAATCCATTTTATTCAACACCAGCAAATGTGGACGGATCCCCAGGACTTCCTTCAAGACAGGATTCCGCCCGGAAAGTGGAATGTGCATGTGCTAAGGAAATAAAGACCCACAATCCAGATGCACAAAGGGGAGCACAGATTTACTACCTGCACCATGAAGACTGGTAGGTGAAGACAGCATGGGAGCCCAACTTCTATCATTCTCAAATTCAAAACTTAGGAAGGACAGAGGAAATTATAGGCTGGCCACCTTAATTAGTCTGTTCTAAATAAAGTGGTGGAACTGAGAGTCAACGGAAGAAAGCAACTACTGCAATACTATTGAAGAACACCATTTCTTCAAAGAAAATCAGCATGGATCCCACAAAGGTAAATCCTGCCTCAACAACATAAAAAGCTGTGGAAACCGTGAAAAAGGGCAACCAGTCTCTCTAAAACAAAACGCTGGAGGTCAGAACTAAACAAAATGCTGGACTTTTGACCCCATATGCACAGTTTCCTTTCCCAGCAAAAAGATGGGCTACTTATTGTTTACCAAGAACATTCTCTCATGACCATGAGCTCCCTCACGGTCACCCTCTCCTAAGGCAGCCCAGCAGTTCTGGAAGAGGAGGGATGTTTTGGTGTCCAAAATATTCCATGTGGACAATCCAGGGTATCTGGGAGAGGCAGACTGAGATGCTGCAGGTAGGGAATATAATCCAACTTGCCCCTCCTGCCTCCTTGCCGGGTTTTGTGGCTGTTCTTCAGCTGAGAGACAGTACACTCCACCCTGGTGCTGGTCTCTCTTGCAGACAGAGCAATGGGGAGCAGAGAGGAAGCCCCCAGAGGGTCTGTCCCATAGCACAGCCTGGCTGGAGCTGGGGTTCAAGAGCGGGAAAGGTCTGTATTCAGGATCCACCTGTTGGGTGCAAACCAGCCCCAACCCCTCAGTGATCTCTTTTAGATCGATGGATCAAGGTTTCCCTTAGAGAAGGAAGAGTCCAAAGCTATGCAGAAACAGCCTTGTGGTCTCCAGCACAGCCAGGCCAGAAGGTGGGAGGGGAGGTTGGGGGGGGGCAGAGTCGGCCACTGGATGGAAGGAGGCCGGTCGGTCATTTGCAGATCCCTGACCTCGACTGCCTCATCTCAGCCAGACACTTCCATGCACCCCATATTGCCTGCACAGATAGCCTTAGGATCTTAGGGCTGGAAGGGCCCCGGGAGGTCCTCTAGTCCAGCCCCAAAGGCAGGAGTCCTTATACCAGCCCGGACGAACGGCTGCCTTGTGCCGGCTCCACACCAGAACACCTGCTCCGTTCTCTGGGATGCCCGAGGCAGAGGCGAAGGCTCGGGTAGAGGGTGCTGGGCCAAGGAGGCTCCACGGAGGCGGTGCAAGCGGGGCTCTCTCTCCCCCCCCCGCCCCGCCCCAGCCTCTCCTGAGCAAAGCGAGCGCCGCGGGGCCCGGCCGAAGGATATGCGGGCGTCGTGCACCTCCAGCAGGCCGTCCACGGAGCGCAGGCTCTTCCTCATGTCCTTCAGCCCTGCGGGGGGAAAGAGGCACCGTTGCAACCTCCGACCCGCCCGCCCGCCCGACGGAGGCCCCTCGCCCGCCCGCCCGCTGCCCCGGCCGTGCCTCGAGCCATGTGCCCGGGGAACCAGCGCGCCACGTCGCGGCCGCCGCACTCGAAGCGCTCCCGCCAGCCGCCCCCGCCGCCAGCCGCCCGCAGCAGCGCCCCCGCCAGCCGCATCCTGCGCCGCCCGGGGACCCAGCAGGCTGCTCCGGCCGAGGCGGCGCGCTCGGATGACGTCGGCGAGGCCCCGCGGGCGCGCCCGGATGACGTCTGCGAGGCCCCTCCCACCGAAGGGGGCGCTTGTGACGCCATGACTGGGAGGGCGTGGCTCAGTCGCCTGTCTGGAGGGCCGAGGAAGAGGAAGGAGGGAGGAGGAGGAGGGAGAGGCGGCGTCCCGGGCGCTCGGCAGCCCTGGAGCCCGAAGGCGCGGAGAAGGAGCCCTCCGGGGGGGAGGAGGAGGAGGCGGAGGCGGAGGAGCAGGTGAGGAGGGGGCGGCTGACCCCCAACTGCCCTCCAGGGACCCCCAGGAAGCGTCGCCAGGCAGGACCGGCGGGATCAGGAGCGCGGAAGCGTCTCTCGGCCCAGCTCCCCCCCCACCCCTTGAGCTGCCTGTCTATCCCATCTCCCTCCCTCCCCATCCCTCCATCCCTCCCCCCATCCATCCAAGGCCTCCCTCCCTCCCTCCCTTCCTTCCCAGGGGCTGCCTACCTCACCTGGGCCTCACCTGTCAAAGGCGGGGCAAACCCCCCATCAGTGTCCGGGCTGCCTTTGGGGTTGGAAGCCACCCTTGGCGGTCCAGGTGGGGGTTCTGCCCTGAGTCCCATCCTCTCCTCTCTCTCTCTCCGTCCTCCCAGCCCCTCGCCATGAGCTCCTCCGACCACGGAGACCCCTTGGCAGCAGCTGAGCTGGAGCCCAGCCAGGCCCTCCACCAGGAGGAGGAGCCCATCCAGGAAGATGCCGACCGCAGCCCCGGGCAGCTGCCCCCCGAGGAGGCCGGTCACCCCAAGAGCTACTGCCAGGCCTGGCTCCTGGCCCCGCTGGAGGACGCCAGGTTCCTCATCTGCTGCACCAACTGGTATTAGCTGCTCTTGGAGCGGGCGGCGCACCAGACGGCCACCGAAAGGCCCGGCACCCATCTTGAGGCATCTCCAAGACGCATCTCCCGACAGGCTCTGGATGTGCGGCTGCTATTAAATCACGGGGGGCGTGACTGGCTTTACTCACCACGGGCTGTGTTTGTACTATTTGCTTGGTTAACTTGATCACGCTTTCCTAATTCCCAGCCACGTTCTGACAGTGGATGGGGTCGGTACTGTATCCAACCTGTTTTTGTTCTTTTGACATGTAAAAGGGGTTGTGATCCTCCGGTGCTTTCTGAAATCACCAGGTAGAGATTCTTGCTTCTGCTTTAATTCTATGTTTCACACTGTGCTCTTAAGCCTGATTAGCTTAGCTGAATAACAGAAAACCCAACTTCCTGGATTCACACATTGCGCTACGTGAGCTATAAACTCCGGGGCTGGGTTTGCACAAAACAAACAAAAATGCGACTTAACATGTCTTGTGAATACAGCTATGGTTAGGCTGAGAAATGTAAGAAAGCGACAGGGCAAATATTTAAGGAACATCTCCTCCCACACTGGAGTTGTAGACCTATCCGAAGACTTTTTGCCCTGCAGAAGGACCGATAGAGAATAACAGCCAGAGGATTCTCATTTTTCTCTATATGAGAAGAATGTGCTCTATAAATATGCCCTAAGCTTTATTCAGGACACTTTAAAGAATTTGAGCCTTGCATAAAAAGATTTTTCTCCCTGCATATTTATAAGTCTGAGTGGACAATGACTTTATTATCACTGTTGTAAGATTAACTCAGCAATGACGGTGTCATAAAACATTAAAAAAGTGATTAATGAACATGCGTCACCATCTTACTCCCTACACCACAAGTGGTTTTTGAAGCACCTGCGTCATTGGAATTATGGCCCCCCACCACTGAGTTTCTGATAAGCAGAATTTCTAATGAAAGGTTTGGTTTATAAAATACAAATCATGTGACAGTTTTGGGAAAAGCAATGAAAGCATATTACAGATATTAACATTTTATAGTATTTTGATCACATTTTCTTTCAATCAACTTTGTTAGAAGAGGTTACATTGAACGAGAAGAATGGAGCTCTGTGGACAATTAATACCCTGGGTGTCTTTTGTTGACCAAGGCAGCACATGTGTCTATGCAGAGGGTGTAGAAGAAGGCCGACTTAATACTTGGATATGAGAACAGCAGGAAATTTCAATACCAGGAGAAGAAGAGCCCCCAAAAGCATCCTGGAAGGCAGCTGTCAGTCATTGGGTTCATCCGGTTGCTAAGAATACAAGGATCCCTCCATGAAGTCATCAGAAGTTGAGAGGGGAATGAGCATAGAGAGGCTTACAGATGAGCCAGCCACACTGCATTCTAGTAAGGTTGCGTAAACTTCACCAGTGTTTACCAGTGTGGTTAATTTAATGTTCAGGAGGCGACATGAAATCAGATAATTGGTTTGAAGAACCACTGTTTGGCAGTGGATAAGTGTGCCATGTAAATGCAAAGAGAGATTTCCAGGCTTTTTGTTACTGTACAGCAGGGGTGTGCACTGGATCCAGCCCGCAGGGTGCTTAAATCCGGCCCCTGGGACCAGCCTGGAAATATCAAAGGACCGGCCCATGGTGCTTCTGCCAGCTAAAACGGGCCATGTGTGGCCCCCTGCTGCCCGTTTTTGGCTTCCCCGACCTCCAGCAGCACTCTGCCGGCCAAAAACGGGACGTGCAGCCTTGCGGCCCACTTTTGGCTGGCACAGTGTTGCTGGAGGCCGAAAACTGGTTGTGTGGGAGCCTTGGGAGGCCTCTATGGGCCCTGTTTTTGGCTGGCAGAGTGCTGGAGGCATCCGTCCCGGCTCCCCCCCCCCACACCAGCCCGCAGAGAACTACAATGGTGATCCTCGAAGAAATCCAGTTTGACACCCCTGCTATACAGTAATAAGGACATAGAACACCTGCTTTTAATAACCCACAGTTTGCATTTGTGAATAAGTATGGCTAACGTTGAGTAGAGCTTCTCTCAAACAAATCAACTTTATAATCCATGAAGATGTTTCAAACATCATAGTTAAAATGACTGGATTCATACAGCGGATTAAGCAACACAGACACATACATTGCTCAGCACAGTGTGAGAAGACAATTTGCGGAGAAGCCTCGGCAGCATTGAGGGAGTATTATAAAAAGTACGTTTAAGACTGTGGGTTTGTGCAGAATGCAAATCCATAGCTTATCACATCATCACATTGGTATAACAGACCAAGCTATAAACTAGGCTTACAGACTAGGTTCTTTCGTGTAATAAGTCAAAGCCAAATAATTCCCAAAATGGCTTAAAATACTTGTATCAGTGACTCAGTAAGCCAAAATACGGTTCCTAATTTGTGGCTTAATGCTTTGTATAAATTTAGCCATTGCAATTAAAGGTGTCAGCTCATTTTCCATGGTAGGTGACTTCAGGAGCATTTTAGGAAGAGATGAGGTAGAAACAGCAACATAAGCAGAAGGTTATTTAAACGGGATAATGCACATGGTTCGGATATTAGTGTTGTCATATCTTTGGACAAAAATACTCCCAGTAATTAACTCTGGGAACAAAGATTCCTGGAACCTTATCAGACTAATTAAAAGAATTCCCCACCGTTTCCTGATCTTTGGTGGGAAAAGTAGCACAGGAAAAGGCAGCGCCGTGTCACTTGCCAGCTTCCAGCCTCGCAGGCGGAGCCTCCAGGAGCGAGTCGTAGAGTTGGATGAGGCGGTTTGCTTCTCTCCAGCCAGACAACAAAGCCCCGTGGGTGGTGGAAAAGAAGGAGCGATGGGTGGCCTCCCCCGCAAAGAGAAGCTGGGGCAGGACCTGTCGGGAGAAGGGGCAAAAGTTATTCCTGGGTCTAACCCAGTGGTTCCCAACCTTTTTTGGCCATGCCCCACCTAAGCACCTCTAAAATCCTTACTATTCAAGAAGTGAACTCCTACTCACGCGGAGGAAGCCTAAAAGGCCATTAATTTGGTTTAAACAAGGTTCCGAACTGCCCCCATTAAAAATCAAATTGCCCGCCTGTGGGGCGCAGGCCCCTCGTTGGGAACCACTGGTCTAACCCAACCCAGCCATGGCGGAAGGTGGAACAGTTCTCGGGATGTGGCAGCTATCAATCAATCCAATTGCTAGGAACCAGGAGACTGGGAGTTCCAGTCCCACCTGAAGCATCAAAGCCAGCTGGGTGACTTTGGGGCAGTCATTCTTTCTCAGCCCAACCCACCTCACAGGAATGTTGTTGTGGGGAAAAGAGGAGGAGGAAGGAGTATTAGATATGTCCACCATACCGGAGTTATTTAAATAAAGGTGGTGTAAAACCTTAACCAATCCTTTATCCATCAAAACCCTTTTCAGGTAGCAAAGTAACATTTGAAGTCCACAGACCTTCCAAGGGCCAGGGCTGAGAAAGGCTGCTCTAGGCCCACCAGGGTTACCTTGGAGTCAGAGGTGTCCTCAGGGAGGGGCTGAGCAAGCCGATCAACGTCATCCCCAGAACTTCCTACAGCTATATAACTGTAGGATCCCTTGGTGTAAGGTTCACTATGCCATCTAGATCTCAGTATATTCTTCGGAGGAGCCAGTTGTGGATTTCCTGATCAAAACAAACACAGCACAAATTAGCTTTTTAATTTCTACTCCGGAGTTCATTCGAATTACACCCATGCCTTTTTTAGCAATTTGAAAATACAGAGTCCACCAGGAAATCGCCATGTTCAGGGAAGGCAGGATGGGTGGAGCTCCCTTCAATCCTCTCTCCCTCCCTCCCAAACTGGGTAGAAAATTTAGGCCCACCTTTCTAGCAGAATCCTGAGGTAGCTGCTCAGTTGCCTCGAAACGTGAAATGGCTGGCATATAATTTAATAGATACTAAGGCATGGTTACACATCATCCGGCACTTGCCCAGAAAGATCACATACCTGTTATTTTACGAAATATTTGAGTCAAAGTTGTAAGAACTTCAGAATCTGACAGGGTCTCCATAAATTCAGATTCTCTTCCAGCGATGAAGCCGCAAAGGATATGGCCGTGCCTGTAAATTCAAAAACAGGAGGAAAAACAAGACAAAGCTAGTCCCAAAGGTGCTTTTTCCAAAAGGAAACTGGATTTTGGGGTTTTTTTTCTTTGAAAACATTTCACTTCTCATCCAAGAAGCTTCTTTAGATCCACCTGACTGGCAGGCAGCAAATAAACTTCAGAATACATAATAAATAAATTCTATTTTATTTACTTGTAAGATCTATCGTAAAATAACATAGCATCAGCCGATGGATAGCAACTCTGCAAAGCTTGCAAATATCATTATGGGTTACGGAGTACTGTAACTTGTTTGCTGTTCCTGCTTCAAGCCCAGACGCTCCCTCTGCTTTGAGATCCCTGGCATGATCAAAGCTTTGCTCCCACGAGAGCTTCCCTTCCCAAGAAGCCCATTTCAATCCCCCCTTCTCCCCCTCACCTCTCAGGGGGCTGGAGAACAACATAGCCAGCAATCTTCTGGAACCAGCTATTTCTCAAATCAGCAGGACGCTCCTCCAGTGGGGACTTGTTTTCCCACACCACCTCAATTATTTCAGCGTCCGGCTTCCAGAATGGTTCTTCAAATTCCAAAATAATTTTATTGGAAGTCCCAAAACCCAAACGTCGTATTGCTTCCAGCTTCTGGGATGGGAGAGGAGGGCAAAAAAAGGACTCCTGGTGTTCTTTGAGGAAACCTACAAAGAGGGAAATGATAGAGCACAGATTAGAGCCAACCAGAATTTGAGGGAAATTCCTCCAAACCTTTTTGAATAAGTTTATTGAGGAAACATTCAAGAACACCGCGGGAGCTGAAGTCCAGGAAACATGATGATCTCCTGTTTGTCTGATGGTGTTTTATGGTACACTGGTTATGAAGGCCAGAGAAATACTTCAGATATCAAAAATAAGAGTGGCTTAACACTCTTTTGTGTGGAAAAATAAATATTTTGATTGACCTGCCTTCTTTTTCTCAGTCTTCTAATTAAAACAAGAGAGAGGAAGAGAGGGAATGAGGAACTCATTTGATAAAAGGGAGGACAAAGTTCCATTCCCAGGGCTGATGGTGGCTTCTGCTTCAACATTAACTTCTTGGTTGCCTGATTTCACAGAGAAAACATAACTTTAGAGATCAGCAGCTCAGAGCCTGAGACACGCACCCAAACATATGCGTACACGCAGCCATTCTAAAGGAAATCCAACGAATACATTTATAATGATTGTTTCTATAGAAATGTTCCAGTGTTATACACTGAACATGCTTTTATAAGCAACCACTTATAGACATTTTTTAAAAAACTAAAGCAACAAAGTGACATTAAATAAATCGTGAATCCTTTAAAGAAAATTTACATGTCAGGGACTAACTTGGCACCGATTCCACTTTGTGTGGTCCACTGAATCGTTCTCAGTTTTAATACGGATGGCATTGGTCCCTGCCATTTTGAGGCAAGATACACAAAAAACTGTAAAAACATAGATCCTACAATTCAACTCTCTCAAATTTGAGAGCTAAAAGTAACAAGTATTTCCTCTTCAGGGGGCTTCTCCCTGGCCTTCTCCAGGTGACTGCTTGCTAACCAGGCAGCCACACATTGACCAGGCAGCCAAAGTAAAGCTCTTGTGTGGTATTGGCCACAAGCCCACGTGCAGACAGCCACTGAGATTTACCTAAAGGCACCGTAACGATGACGTGGTCTGCCAAGAACTTTTCTCCGTCTTCACATTCCACCTGCACGCCAAAGAGTCGGCCTGTGGAGCCCTCCTCCAAGTTGGACCTTCCCCAATGGATTGTCTTCACCGGCTTGTCAAACAGCACGAGGCCTTTGGGTAGAGACGCCATGATGTGGTCTGTGAGACCTTGAAAACCGCTAGGAGGAACACACACAAGAGTGGGCAGCCTGAAGCGTACTCCGGGGCCGATCTGCTCTTATTAAACCGGAGGTTCAGAATCCAAAATGCCCTCTATAAAAAAGGAGAAGCACCAGAACAGGGGATGGAAATAAACCTTGACATTCCATCCAGAGGAGAGATGATGGAAGGCGTGAGGAATTGCTGAAGCGCATCTACTTAACAGAAACTCCCACATGCAAAAGCGCACGCACACACATGCCTAATCTCTTGGGTGGGACCCATTTTGTCCTTCCAAAGCTAACACCTGACATCCAGGGCAAGCAGAGAAAACTTGGGGTTGAAAGAAGAACAGGAGGCTCATTCAATTCTTTTTTAAAAGGGGAGCTGGGAGGGGGGGGGAACTCACTTGGGAAAGGTGCAGTCCAGGCCAGGAAGCATGGTGTACTCCCCGAAGGGCCCCAGCGCCAACTCCTCCAGGCTGTCCGTCGCATTCACACAGCACTCCAGGTTGAAGTAGGCGTGCAGGACGGCCAACTGGAGGCGCCTGGTCTCTTCCCCGTCGGCCGATTCCTCCAGCTTCCGGGCTATGGCCCGTTTCAGGTACTCCCCCACGCTGGGCACCGGCGGGGGATCCAGGTGCACGAAGGCGCGGGCTTCTTCCAGGAGCCCCGAAAAGAAGGCGCCCACGGAATCCACCAGCTCGGGGCTCAGCTCCCGGCCCTGGCTGGAGTACCAGGCGAAGGGCCCCGCCGGATGCCCCTGCACTTCCACCTGCTGGTTTTCTTCCGACAGCGCCTCTTGGTCGAGCAGGCCGGCCTCCGACGCCAGCTGGAAGACGGGGTTTCCCTTGGAAGGGCCGTGGATCCACTGCGCCCCCACCTCCACCACGCCCTTCCCTGCGGGGGAAAGGAGCCCCTCTTTCAGCCACGCCTCCGCCGCTCCGCTCCCCGACAGCCCCGGCTTGCAGGATCCGGCCCCTCTCCTCTCCTCTCCTCCCGCCCGGCCCTGCAAGCCAGGCCCCCGAAGCTCCTGGGAAGCCCGGGCGGCAGCCACGGGACCCGCCGCGCCTCCGGCTCTTGGGAGGTGCCGGCCGCCCCGCCGGCCTTTGCCGTCTCTGCCCGGGCCGCCTTCCTCCTGGCTCCCCTCCGCCCTCCGTCCCCGCTCACCGAAGCGGGCGCTGCGGATGCGGCCCCCGACGCGCCCCGAGGCTTCCAGCAGGCGCAGGTGGGCGGAGAAGCGGCGGGAGCCCCGGAGGAGCCGCTGCGCCGCGCCCAGCCCCGCCGCCCCCGCGCCCACCACCAGCACCCGCGGCCCGCCCGCCGCTCCGGCTCCCGCCATGCAGCCCCGACGCTCCTCCCTGCCCGGCCCGCGGCGGCGGCTCCGCTTGGCCAGGCGCTCCACGGTCGCTCGGCCGCCGCGCAAAAGCCGGGGCGGAGCGAGAGGCGGACGGGAGCCGAGGGCGCCGAAGTTTGCACCGCGGACTTCCCAGCCGGCAGCCGGGAGAGAATCGGACTCAAGGGCCGCCGCCCGGGGTCCCTCCTGCTGCGAGATGGGCGGGTGGCTGTAATGAATGGGGAAAGAAAAGAAAAGCATGTATAAGAAAGTAAAATAATAAAGTAAAATACAAATAATAAAAAGAGCTTATCCTGGCCCTGCTGAAGTAAAGAGCAAATAAAGAATAATGTAGATAAAAGAAATAATGTGAATAAAATAGGAATCATACAGAGTCAGATATATGGGCTCTGGGGGACCCCGTCTATTCATATTATTATAAGGGGAAGATGTGCTTAGATACATGAACTCTGAGAGACTCTATCTATTCACATTATTATGAGAGAGGAAAGTGCTTGTTGGAAATTACATTAACAAACAGTTAAACCCTTTTAAGTGGTAATATATCTTCTGATACCTAGATGTCACGGAAAGGACTGCTATATGGAAAAACATCTGAGTGACCTGACTGTGAATGACACAAAGACCTATATGTTACAAAGAGTTACTTAATCCAATGAATTTACCTAAGGACAGTAGTAACTCTCCCATTAGCGACTCTGAGCACTTAAGAAAAGTTGTGTGGCTAAGATAATTTTGTAAACTAAGATTAATGCTTTAAGTAATTAGATGAACTTATTAACAAGTATATGTAACCATAGAAGGAAAATCGGATGTATGATCTCATGATTAACCATATATGGAAAATGTATGATCTCACTGAATCCTTTGTCTTAGAAATGTATAAAAAACATTGTATCAGAGTTCTTTCTTTGTTCAAAGCTTCAGGTACAAATCTGGCTCTGAACCTTGCGCAATAAACTGTCTCTGACTGGCCTTGGAATGTTTTTTAGTCCTTCCATTCCACTACACTGCCTCCGGATGGTTTTTGCAAGGAAGCAAAGCAGCCCTTTCCTGGCTGGCTCTCAGGTGGCTTGAAGGAGTTCAGCCTGCCAGGGATGCCGGGGATCCGGAGTCTCTTTTGGGGAACTTTTATGCTGCTCCCCTCTGGCCTGTCTTTGGATCCCTCTGCTTTGATTCTCTTTATTGCCATCCTCTTTTCCCGACCTTGTCTGGCTTGTCTGGTTAATGATTCTGCCGGCTGGACTCCCAACCCCACTTTTGCTACGGAGGGTTTTTCTTCCACAGGAACCCTTTGCACCTTGAACCAGCCCAGCCTGTAGGCAAAGTGGACCTTGTCTTCTTCTTCTTCTTCTTCTTCAAGCACAGAACTAAGGTCCTTCTGCTTTCCAAGAGGCATAAATAAATAAAAACGTGTGGCCTGCTTTTGCTGGCACTTAAACTTTGGTAGTCTAGTCGTTTACCTGAGGTACAAAGGAGCCCCGAGAGAGAAGAGCATTTTACACACGTGCAATTATTAGGGTGTTGGAGGGAAGGAAAGCGGGGGGGGGGGATGGGGTGAGGAGAGAGGTCGCAGAGGGAGAAGAGAATAGAATAACAGAGGGAGAGACAGGAGTCCTTTAAATACCGGCCATAAATAATTTCCAAGGGAGTTGCCGTGTTTATCTTTGCAGTAAAAATAATCCTGCCTTATCTCAAAGAATAATAAATCTATTAGTACGTGGCATTATTGTCTGGGGAGAGAAGTTTTTAAAAAGGGAGAGGAAAACGGTGGAAGGGCATAAAACGGGGGTCAGGTGTGAGGCGGGTGGGAATGAGCTAACAGTAAAAGCTGGCAAAGCCTGACTAGATATTTATGGCTGCAGAAAGAGCGTTTGAGAGCAGAGGTTGTGGATTCTCTATGATGAATTGCTGGCAGGAGAAAAATGGCCGTTCTTGAAAAGCTGCTTGGCTGGAGGTTGGCCAGCCGAATTAGGAGGGCCTGGAACGGAGTCCTGCCAGCCAGGGTGGAGATCAAAAGCCTGAGCGAGGGGGGCAGATAAAGGCTTGGGAGCTTTAGAAGAAAGATGGGCAATTGCTTTCAAGGGGTCTAATAAAAAACAAATAAATCAGGAAGATGCATGTAAAGTCCATGTTCTAGTGCACAGAGTACAGGAAGTAAGCAGGAAGACCTTCGGTGTTTAGCAAAAGTAAAGCTTCCTTCAAGTCAAGCTTGACTTTGAGTGACTTCATGGATATCGAATTATCCTTATTTATTTAGGATTACAGCCCACTTCAATGCAATTGGTTCTAAGTGACCCACACTCCTGGTTTACAGTAAAAAGGATTAAGGCAGTAAAGCCGGCAAACATAACAATAACATTCTCTCTCATCACAGCATGCCAAAGAACTGCAAATCCCCAAATCGATGCGATCATGTTAGCTCAAGGCAGGAGAGACTCCAACCACACCAGGGGCTCTTCTGGAAGACCCAGGCCTTTAGGAGTTTGCTAAACCTCAACAGAGGTAGCGCTAGTCTGATTTTGTGGGGTGCAGGCTCAGAAGGAGCCGGCCAGCAATGGAGAAATCCTGTTTTTGTGGCTGGGGAAGAGGACGCTCCTTTGGAGCTGGGCCAGTGGTGGGATTCAAATTTTTTTACTGCCGGTTCTGTGGGCGTGGCTTGGTGGGTGTGGCATGGTTTGGTGGGTGTGGCTTGGGCGTGGCAGGGGAAGGATACTGCAAAATCCCCATTTCCTCACGATCTGCTGGGACTCCGGAGGCAGAGAATAGATGGGGGCGGGGCCAGCCAGAGGTGGCATTTACTGGTTCTCCAAACTACTCAAAGTTTCCGCTACCGGTTCTCCAGAACTGGTCAGAACCTGCTGAAACCCACCTCTGAGCTAGGCCCTGAAGGGATTCCCTTCCAGAACCCACTGGATGGGCAGGTATTACCTGCCTTTCAGGGGTCTCCAAGATATGCAAGTCCTGAGCTGTGTTAAGCCTTTCAAACCACAAACAGCAGCTGGAATTGCATCTAGAACCCAGCTAGGAACCTGTGCAACGGTCGCAATTGGTCACCCAGGCAAAACGACCACCTTCCGGTACAGAACTTGCCATGTCTAGCCAAGGAAGAGAAGGACTGGGCTGGGGTGACATGAAAGCAATGCTCTGATATTTGAGGGGCTGCCGCAAGAAGGCGGGGACAACCTATTTCCCAAAGCACCTGAGGGAGGACAAGAAATAATGGACGGAAGACCATTAGAGACAGATCCAGCCTGGAAATAAGGAGAAACGTCCTCACTGTGAGAACAATTAATCAGCGGAACGGCCTGCTAAAAACACAGGAGCCTTTTCAGCTCTTGAGCAACGCATTGGGCCAGAGGGGGAGAAGCCTTCCTTAAGCCTCTGATTTCCTCCCATAGCAATTAATCTGCCTGGTTCTGGGCTCCACAGCCACCGGGCGCTGGCATGCATTTGGCAGATTGGCCCTGCGCTGCAATGCCACCCAAAGAGCCTTAGGCATTAATTGATGTGTTTGTTCTGCTCGGTAATCATTAATTGCCCTCTGAAATAAAGCGGAATAAATGGCAGGCGGAAGAGGTCACCAGGAGCCCCTCAGATGCAGTTCTAGCCGGTCCGAGGAGGTTGGAGGGGATTGTGGATCTTTGGAATGAATACGGCTTCAGTTCGCTTTAAAGCGGAAGCTCGGCCCAAGCCCAGCTCTTCCTGAGATCCCCCTAAACAGAGGGATCCCCTCAGAATCTCAGGCAGCCTTCCTAGCATGAAACAAACCGTGGTTTGGAATGTGCTGGAATATCTTTGCCGACTGCTGGGCATCTCGACCGGAGCAGGTGAGAACCGTTGCTGGGGGCGGCTTCCCTTCTTTTCTTTCTCCTGCGGAAGGGCTGCTCCTGGCCACTTCTGCAGCTCGAGAGCTTTCTCTTGGGTTTCATGGGCACGATGAGAGCTTGGCTCTCGGGAAGGAACAAAACAGCAGCAATTCCCTTTGAAGTTTTTGTGCTTTTTACCAGTTTTTGTTAAGAAATTCGGATCAAATTTGGAAGTGGATAAAAAACTGTAAGAAGGAAAACATTGGAAGAAGGAAAGTAGATTGTGACTCTCACCTCCCTCATCCTGAAAGAGAGAGTTTACAGGCAACCTCTAGTCAACTGAGGTAAAAACTCAGTGCCCCAAATACTGCAGATTGTGTTGCTTGGAGAGGGAGTTATGGCACTGTGGGGGTTGCCATGTATTAATGATGATGGTTCTCAATGAACACCTTTAAACATGGCTTAAAACATGGCAAACAAAATAACATAGAGAAATAAACCATCATGAACAGTCATCTACATTAGTTGCAACAGATGTCTTATGAGAGAAGGCCCAAGGCGCGGTCGCTGTCCTGTCTGAGGCCCACATTCATGCACGAGAAACCTTCAGGGTTAGGGCTAGGGTTAGGGGCATGGGCTAGGGCCACTTCAGTAAAGGCTGAGGTGGGCTCCACCAATTCCCCGGCTAAAGTTGGCCACCATGTCAACAAAGACCCCGGCTGGCTTCGAGGCCACTGAGCACCAAGCCAGGTCTCTGTTGGTTCAGAAGGGAGGCAGGTGGAAGCCATGAGATTGGACCTCTGAGGATAAAAAAAAGAAAAAAGGATCCCTGGCAAGCATTGGTTTAGTACTGCTTTGTTTTTCCAGTGCAATAACGATTTTTATCCTTCTATGCCATGTCTGTGAAACTTCTGCCAAGCCAAGCAAGTGAAGATAAAGTTATAGTTGTGAGGCGATTTGTAATCTAGTGCTGAACCCACATCTGGAAGGCTAGGATTAAAATCATTTTCTCAGACACATTCCACTATTGCCACTGTTTAATTTCTATTGTTTCTCTTCCATTTCTTCCTTTCCCTCTTCTTCCCTCTTAGGACCCACCATTTCCCCTATTATTAGACTTTCTTCATCAATAAATAGGTCCCATTTTCTAGGTGTTTTTTCATAGACAGCCTTCTCCAGATGTCATGTCCTTCTGGGTAGTCCTCGATTTACAACCACAACTGAGGCCAAAATTGCCATTCAGTTGCTAAGTGAATGGCACTCCATTTTATGACCTTTTTGCCACAGTTGTTAAACAGAACACTGCAACTGTTAAGCAAATCCGGCTTCCCCCCATTGACTTTGCTTGTCAGAAGCCGGCTGGGAAAGTGACCAATTGGTGATCCCATGGCCCCAGGATAGGGCCACCACTGTAAATATGTGTCAGCACCCGTCCAGCACCTGCTCCTTTCAACAGGGGTGCTGCTGCAGGACCCCCCCCCCCTTTGGGATATCGTTTGAAGCATGCTGGCCCCAAATTTATTTCACCTTAACCAAAGGCAGCTGGAGGAGAATACAATACAGATCACATTTCAAATACTTGAAAGACCCCTCCCCAAAGAAAATCAAGAGCCTTTATTGATAACTCAGGGTGCAAACTTCAAAAACAATTTAATGGGAAGGCAGGTTCTCACTGAACGTTTAGGAATAAGCTGCTTAATAAAAAAAGCAGTTTGGTGCTTGCGGCCAAAGAGGCGATGCTCTTTCCTTCACAAAATGGGTTCAAGCAGAGACTGGAAAAAAATCATCTTTCAGATAGGTTTTAATTTGGATTTGACAGACAGAGAGATCACTTCCGGGTTTAGGATTGTATGATTCACTTACGTTATGGCTGCTCTTTGTGAAGGTCTTCATTCCATTTCACAAACCTTTTGTAACTACAAAAATGTGTGGATATTAAAAAAAGATTAAAGAGACCCCAAGAAGACTTAAAAAAAAACCCTTTCTAGCTGTAATTGGAGAACGGTGTCATGTACCTTATTTGGAAGATGGTTTGTTCTATGTGCTATGGGATTTCCTATTAATTAATTAATAGGAATTAATTAATTAATTCCTTTTGTCCTTTCATACTCAGAAATGAAGAGGGAAAAATACCCATCATGAAAGAAAGAAAGAAAGAAAGAAAGAAAGAAAGAAAGAAAGAAAGAAAGAAAGAAAGAAAGAAAGAAAGAAATGTCACTGAATGTAAAAGTATACAGAACCATATCTTTAGACATGAAGAATTACTATGGCAGGGAGTGACCTCAGCCATTTCTCTTCTGGTAAATTAGTGATTTGTGTACCCTCCGTGGCAGCCTTTTTATGGGAACGTCCATGAACCGTGAGCACCAAGAGTGCAAAAAGGAATGTGAATGGAAGGTCAAGGACTTGACTCTCAGATCTGATGGGTTAATTCATTGCATATTTGCAGGTGTTGAGTGAAGAAGAATGTGGCTGCATAATGAGATTTGTTGTAAAATTTGATCCTTCCTGGACTTGTTCAGTTATTGAAATGTGCTGATTTCACCCTGACCACCAGGATGTGTCTCTGCAAACTGGGGATGATTCTACCAGACGCCCAACCAAGTTCAGGAATTCAGGATTGACAGGGCAGTGGGTGGAGTTGCCCCCTTCTGTTCACTGGTGCTTCACAAAGGAACTTTTGGGGCTGAAGTAAGAAAGAGAGATAAGCATTCAGGAAAGGAAAGGAAAGGAAAGGAAAGGAAAGGAAAGGAAAGGAAAGGAAAGGAAAGGAAAGGAAAGGAAAGGGAAACATTTTGGCTGTTCAGCAACCAGCCTGCATTTACAGCTGTTTGCAGCATAATTTATGGCTTTTTTTTTTTTTTGCTGGAAACCAGTGTTTATTTTTAGTTTCTGGCAAAAAAAACCCCCTTCCGGATGATGGGTTTGCTTAATGACTGTGGCATTTGCTGGGTGACCTTGGGCCAGTCAATTTCTCTCAGCCCTGGGAAAGAGGCAATGGCAAACCACCTCTGAAAAACACTGCAGGGACTTGTCCCGGAAGTCTCTGAATCAGACACAATTAAGTGGGTGACAGTGTGACATCACACAAACGTTCCTTTCTCTGGAAATGCTTCTCCAGGGAGTTTAAAGGCTAATATTGCTGCAGCTGAAATGTGATGTGCAAAGTTTGGTGTGAGGTGCAATAACATTATGTGTGCTGTGACATATCATAAAAGCAATCCAGATTATGCAATTTGTGTTATTTGCACCATGGTGTCCTGCCACATGCGACTCCCCTCGTTCTCCACGGAAGCATGGATGACACCTCTCCATGGTTAAGGTGACGCCTTTCACAGGCTGCTCCCACCTGCTGTGTTTCTTTTGCGTTCCAGTGCTCCTTGGTGTGGGCATCGACACGCTTCTGCAGGGGCAGTTCAAGAACCTGGCTCTTTATCTCCTGTGAGTATGGCTGCCGGATCGGAGGGAAGAACAGCGGATCTGAGCCCCTCTTGAGTCCCATCCTGGCCTCAGTGATTATGGAGGGGAGTCCACAGGGTTGCTAAACAACCTCTAGCTGGACTACGGCTCCCTCCCATCCCTTGGCTTGGATGCATCTCATGGGAATTGTAGCCCAATTACGCCTGGGGTGCCTTTGCTATTCTAAATTATGATGGGGGGGGGGAGGCATTCTGAATCCCCTATTGCATGAAGAATAAAAGGCTGAATTAGTTCAGTGTTTATCTTCTGGATGTTTATGAACAGCAAAGCTGACCAGAAGGTGACAAGGCCAATCTTCTTCTGGCCTTCTGGAAGGGAATGTGGAGGTTCTGAATGCAGAGGTTCCATCTAGCTATTGGGATGGGCATTGATGGGTTTAACCCCATAAATCTATCTGGCTTCCCTTAATAGCTTCTGGGCTTTCTTTGGTTTTATGTCAGTGAATAATAATAATTGCCTTCCCAAGGTTCCTTACAACCAAGGGGGCAGAACTTACTTGGAAGGATTTTACATGAGTTCTGCAAAGCATTTGGGGCCTCACCAGTGGCTTCCGGGTATCTTTCTTTCCTTCAAAAACTTCTCTCTGTGTTTCTAACACATGAGGGATTTTTCCCCTCCTTCCTGCCTTTTTTCTCCAACATCTCTTCCTTGTTAGACAGCTCACCAGCCACACAACTTTATGAAGCAGAACTACAACTCACTTTGCCTGGTTTTGAGGCCAGCCCTTTAACCACTAGGGCGGACTGGCTCTGTTTCCCCATTCCTCCTTCTGGAAACACCCCCCCCCATATCTTTCCAACTACTCTGTGCTTTATTATTTTTTAATCAAATATAAGCCGATTGCTACATAAGAACACAGAGTTTTGCTTTAAAGCTTTCAGCCATGATCGTTCCACATTCTTGGTCTCTTTTTTTAAAAAAAAGAAATACTAACAAAAAAGAAAAGTAAAACCAAAACAATATAACTAAACATCAAAATCAAGGGACGCAAAGAAAAAAAATAAGATCACTAACAAACCACCTCCGAATGCCCTCTTCGTGTTGTCCAAAGCAAAAGCTCTGATGTAAATATTGACAAGTAAAATATCCATTGCTGTGAATGTGATACAGATTTATCCTCCCAATGCTAAACGTTATTGATTGTTCCTCCAGGCATGAAAAGTATTTGACGTCTTGAAAGTTTGAAAACATTGGGGGTGTAGCCAAGAGGAACATATACATCTCACATGGATTCATATTAAATTAATATTCTTGTGGATTTGAGCCCAAAATGTAGCAATTAAGACAAGCAAAATAAAAATTATGTTGCATTAACCTCATCGTGAGCTCAAATCTCACATTACTTAAAGAAACTCGTATCGATTTACATGAACATGTCATTTTTCCTAACATTATGTAAATAACATCCATTTCAGCCAGCTCCTTTAATCCTGGAGCGTCCAGAGATTGGACCAAATATATTTTATTTTCATTTTATTGGTGAAGCTTATGTGCTGCTCCACTCCCAGAGCCAAGGAGGCCCTTTTCGGTTCACACAGTCTCTGATCCGTGGAAAAGGAATGGCTGACTTTGCAATGCGTCTTTTTTCCAAAACTCCTCAGAAGCAGCCTGGCTGCTAAACTTGTGTAGATCTGTTTATTTATTTAAAAGGTTTGTGTGGCTGCCCATCTTAAACAACTCTAGGTGGCTCACAATAGCAGTAGAACCATAACTACGGTATAATACATAAACACAAAACAATCAAACAAAAGCAACATTTTTGTAATCTTCCCCTTAGGATGTCCCACAGCAAACTCAAATACCCTCATTCCGTTCATCCTACCCTACCCTACCCTATCCGAGGGCCTTTGTAAAAAGCCAGCTCTTGATGGCTGTGCTGAAAGACTAAAAGGGGGGTGGGGGCTGGCCAAATCACCGGGGGTGGGGGAGGGTGATCCAGTGTGACGTCCAAGATTGATTAAATGTGGAAATATACATGTTGGACACAACGCATTAACTCCCCCTCCCCATTAGTCATATTAATGGTGCTACATTAGACCCCCGTCTCAAAATGGCTGTGGGAATCCATTTGTGGATTTAATGTGAAAGCATATTTTAAAATTTTGTGTTCTGATGTTATCCAGACCTTAAAAGCAGCCTTAGACTAATGGGAAGAAGTAAAGGCCTCCCTCTCTCTTTCTGTCTACTTTAGATCTGTCCTCAGAAGGAGCAGCAATGGTTCAGGTTGTGTAACACAGGAACAGGAATAAAGCTTAATAATCCTCCTCCCTGTGGATAAAGGCAACGGGTAGCCCTCACTTAGTGACCATAGAACATAGAATAATAAGGTTGGAAGGGACCTCGGAGGTCTTCTAGCCCAACCCCGTGCTCAAGGCAGGAGATCCTATGCCATTGCAGATGAATGGCTGTCCAGTCTCTTCTTAAAAGCCTCCAGTGATGGAGCAGCCACAACTTCTGAAGGGAAGCCGTCCCTCTGGTTGATTTCTCTGTCGGGAAATTCCTCCTTGGTTCTAGGTTGCTTCTCTCTTTAAAGAGGTCATTCAGCAACCACTCAAAGTTATGAAGCAGAAGTAGGGGTACCCACTTTATGACTGTCATGCTTGTGCAGATTCCATTATGGTCATAAGTTGAGGACTACTGTACTTAATTTCTGACACTTGATGTTAACTTTTCTCCCTAGGAGGCTAGCAGAGGTGGGCAGCACGAAGCCTCCTGTCCTGACATCCGGCCTTTGCCTTTGCAGAGCCCGAAGCGGCCAGCAGAATGGCTGATGTTCTGCAGAAGCCGAGGCTCTTTTGGGAGGCTGGCTTTCGCTTGCCCCCAGGTTGCCTCCCCTAACGGATCTCCATGCTTTAGTATTTCAGGGATGGCTGTTTCTCTCTGGGAAGTGGCGTTCTTTGCCAGCCTCCTTTTGATCTCCTGCTTCGTGTGAGTTTCGTTCCTGTCCTTCCAATTAGGCGCAGGGCCTCAGGTGGGGGGGGGGCCACGCAAAGGGTCATTCAGTATCCGAAGTGACCAGACGGATCCATATGAGGCATTGGAGGCAGTTCGGTATAAAGACAGGGGCTGTCTTCGAGAATTGCAGTGGGGCATCGGGGGACGAGAACAGTGGAGAAAACGCCAAGGAAAGAATGAGTGGGGCCGGGGAGGGGGCGGGAGAGAGAAGCCCCCCCGATGCACCTTCTCTGAGTGGGCCCCCCACCCTTGAAAATGCCCAATATTGTTTGCTGAGGGAGGCAAACCTGTCCAGCTTCAGCCCCTCTCCCTCTTGGCAGCCCCCGGAGGGGATCCACGGTGGACGCTTGCTGGCTCCGAGCCAAACGCCGGGGAGCTTTCCAGAAGTTCCTGGCTTATGCCCTGCTCTCCATCGCCTGCTTCCTCAGCCCCGTCCACATCTGGCAGGTCGTATTCCCAGGTACGTGGGGAGGAAGGTGCAGAATCCAGGAAGGGCTGCTGCAACTGGGAGAGGATTCAAAGGCCTCCCGTCTAAAAGGAGGGTGCCCCAATTCACCCTTTGCAGAGGGCGGAGGGACAGCAAGGAGGCCTAGAGGGCAGTGGCCAGAGAGGAGGGGCTTGAGCCCAGGCTGAGAAATTAATTCTTGGCAGTTGAAGTTCACACATCTCCAAACTGCCACGGTAGAGAAACCCTGAGTGTAACTTTCTCTCCACGTGTCCTGCAAACAGATGGAAGGAATTAGCTGATTAAACATCAGGAAGTCTTGATTTTTTAAAAAAAGAATATGTGAAAATTATTGGAGGGAATCCAAGATCAAAATGATTGTCTGGAGAAGCAAGTAGTTTGAACTGCTAGATGGGACAATGGGCCTCCCTCTATATTTTGCTATGTATTTTATCCTAATCAGGATAGCTTCACCTTCCTTCCTTCCTTCCTTCCTCCCTTCCTTCCTTCCTTCCCTCCCTCCCTCCCTCCCTCCCTCCCCCTACTTTTCCAGGCACCCTGCTGATCCTCACCAGTCTAGCCTATTTCCTGCTGAGTAAGCAACGGAAAGAAGATACAGGAAATGGAGCACCAGAAGAGAGGGGTGACCATCGTGATGAAGTTATAGATGAAATGCCTGGAGACAGGAGTAGGCAAACATCCTCTTTCCACCCTCCATTCAGCTCCCTTGCCGGCTCTCTGAGGAGCTTCTTCCAAGCTTGCCAAAGGCCGATCGCCTTCATGCGTTCCTCATCCAGCGTTGTGTCTATGAGGAAGCCCGTTGACTTTGAGGAAGTCTTAGAGGAGATGGCGCTGCCCCTCAGAGGAGAGCCGGAGGGCTTGGCCAAGGAAAGCACCTCTGAAACGGCCTTCATCCTTTCTGCCCAGATGTGATGCCCCAGGTGACTCAAGAATAAGCTCTTCTCTTGCAGCAGCAGTCTAAGGCAGAGACGTCTCTGGCCATGGCCAACAGCCAAGAATCCCGGCTGGTTGTTCTCTTCACCACGTGTCCCCATCACTACCAAAAGTGTGTGTGTGGGTGTCTGTTTTTCTTTTGTGGTGTTTCATTATTTGGTCATAGCAATGCAGGTAATAGCTCTGAAAGCCACGGGAAGAGAGAAATTGTGCAGTCCGAGCAATGGATAACATTGCTGAAGAGACTTCTACTTGGATAGAGGAATATACAGAGGGCAGGGGGATATTTCTAGAAACAATTCCTGTTATATATCTTTGCTATATCAAACGCTATCAAACAGTGTGGCTTTCTAGGAGAAAATAAGTGTACAGAATTATCCTTTGTCTAAGTTTGTTTGGGAACTTCCAGACTTTGGAAAGAGGAGGAGAAATAAACAATCATATCCATTGACTGTCCTCCTCCCCTCCCCCAGTTTCCTCCAAAATCAGGAGCTCCGGAGTTTCATGGTCACCTACCCAAGCTTCCTTCTTTTTCAATTTCCTCTGCTGAGCCTTTCCCATTGCTGAGCCTCGTGTCCAGGCCAGCAGTTGCTCTCCCGTCTCCCTTCACCCTCTGAAGGAGAAATTTGCTAAGCAAATAAATCTGGAATTTCCTAGAAGGATCAGGCAGGTTAAGCAAATAATTTGGGGATTACCTAGCGGGACCACCTCATCACTGGCATTCAGATGGTCAAAATCTCTCATCACTCTTAGTTCGTAGCTCTTGGAAAGACCCGCAGGTTGCTTTTGGAGGATGGGAGGGGGCTCTGCCCCCCCCCGGTTGCTTCTGAGAGTTCCCCCTGGAATCTCATGCTTCCCACAGCATTGCCTGCCTCATTCATTTGTATGTCTGAGCAGGAATTTATATTTGCACTCACAGGGCGACTCTTCCTTGCTTTCCAGTAAAAAGGAGGGGGTTGATTTATTCTCCAAAGCACCCGAGGGCAGGAAAAGAAGAAATGGGTGGAAAAAGAGAGATGCAGCCTGGAACTACGTGGAAATTTCCTCAGAGTGAGGGCAATGACTCAGTGGAGCAGCTTGCCTCCTGGAGTTGGGGGTGCTTCATTGCTGGACACTTTCAAGAAAAGCTTGGACTGCCATTTGTCAGAAATGGTATAGGGTCTCCTGCTTGAGTGGGGGGTTGGACTAGATGACCTATAAGGTCCCTTCCAACTCTGTTAATCTGTTAGCCCTCAAAAGCTATGCTAACACTGAGAGCTGCCACAGACCCAGAGTAATGACACTGTGAAAAATCAACGGGCTCTGAGATTTGTATCAATCAAGATCAATGTTTGCTTCTTAACCATACAAAGAATAATGAAAGCATGAAGATGTGTATAAAAATGTCGACATTTATAAAGACCTGCATCCCAACTCCTGCTAGGCCAAGTTCATTTGCAAAGCTGCTCCACAAGTCTGGGAACCAATATTACTTGAGCCAATAATTTGGGTCATTAATAAGGTGCTAATTAACAGGTGGCAGAGATCTTTGAGGCACAGGCAGTTTTACAATAAAAGAGAACGACACCCATTCTCAGGAAGAGTATTTAAGCTTTCAGTGTCCAAAAAAGGCACGGGGAAACCACACGGCTAATGTAGCCAAGATAACCAAATGTACTTATCTATTTGGTCTTCAGATATTAAGCTGGACTTGGAAATGGCTTTATTTTTTGTTTGACATCCCTTCAAAATTCTTGCAATATTCAGTAAGGTTGGACTAAAAGAAACAGCACTAGAATTAGGCACTAGGGGGCAGCAATGGCACTCGGTGTGCATAAGAATTGCAAAATTCAGGACTTTTCCTTGGATTTTGGCATTCCTAGAAATCTCAGCGTGGGGTTCATTGTTCTGAGGAAGCTCAGAGACAAACACACCGCCTGGAGTCCTCAGCCATTGGGCTGCTGGCCCATTTCACCCCCGTCTCCTTTCCAGGGACTTTCAGAGTTTCAAGTCAAGGCCATCATCACTTCCCAAAGACAACATGGCAGAACTTTTAACTTGCTCCCAGTCAAAATGACTCAGACAGAAATCTCAAAGGCAGCCCAGTCACTAAAAAGAATAATAATCTGATGTTTATAGAATGTTGGGCTAAAATTAAGAACAGGACGTGAGAGCAGCCTTCCAATATCTGAGGGGCTGCCACAAAGAGGAGGGGGTCAACCTATTCTCTCAAACACCTGGAGCCACCGGTGGAAACTCATCAAGTGGGGGAAATGCCCTGGAACTAAGGAGGAATTTCCTGATAGTGAGAACAATTAATCAGAGGACCACCTTGCCCCCAGAGGTTGTGGGTGCTCCATCACGGGAGGCTTTTTTTAAGGAGAGATTGGACAGCCATTTGTCTAAAAGGATATAGGGCAGTGACAGGCAAGACCGAGTGCCCAAACTTCAACCCAAAACCCACTTATTTATCGCAAAGTGCCAACACAGCAATTTAACCTGAATACTTAAGTTTTACTACCTAAAATAATGATAAACAAGGCAGAGTTCAGCTAATTGTTCTAAGAAAAACATGATAAATGCACTTTTTTGCCCCTTCATTTTTTTCCTGCTTTTGAAATATTACATTTAGCAACAATAAAAAAGAAAAACTTTTGTAATTGCATTTTTCTTTCCCTCCCTCTCTCTCTCCCTCTCTCTCTCTCTCCTCCTCTCTCTCTTCCCCCCCCCTCTCTTTCTCTTTCCCAGGAGAAACCCGATGGAGCTGGGCTGGGGTGATGGTGCATGTGCCCACAGACAGGGCTCTGTGTGCCACCTCTGGCACGCGTGCCATAGGTTCGCCACCAGGGATATAGGGTCTTCTGTTTCAGCAGTGGGTTTGACTAGAAGACCTCCAGGGTCCCTCCCAACTTTGTTATTCTGTGTTTTCAGGTGTTACTATTCTTAGATTGGTCTCATCACAGTAGGAAGGATTCGCTTTCCATTAATTGGGGAACATCCTCACAGCAATGCCTGTTTTCTGTGGCAGCTGCCCAATCCGCCCACCACAGAAATGAAGCAGGAGAGAAAGGAAGGAGGCACGTGGGTCGAGTTCGCTGCATGACCTCTGTACCTTCAGATTGACTTTCCTCAGCTAGCCGGAGCTGTATCTATGGTTGTCCTTGAAGATACGTCTGTAGCTGATCTGAAGGGTGCCTGGCTTTCCAGATGTTCCACGGGATTCCACATCTGGCCTCCGTAGCTCAGCAGGAGGGAATCTGGAAGCCATACTTCAGAACATCTGAAAACCGACTCCCAGTTACGGATTCTTTTACTTGGTGCCAAAGCAGCCCTTTCTTGGCTGGCTGGCGTTACAAACAGGCAGGCTGATCTCTCTGTGTGTCTGAACAGGCCACACGGGTCAAGGGCAGGTAGGCCTTCAATTCGACTGCAGCCATAGTGCACTCACAACGGTAGGCTTGTTCCTGGTGTGATGCAGAGGATCAGGTTGTCAACATGCAAATGCTGCCAGAGAACAAAAGCTGATCAAGGCAGGATGTTCTGTTTCCACCGCCTGGATAATAGCAGTCTCAGAAAAGAGAAATCGGATCAGGCACCCGTTCTCCTGTTGCTGCTGCTGAGCATCCAGTCCCAGATGAATAATGGCCTGTCTCTTTTTTCAGGAGAGGAGAACTCTTCCGAGGCAGGGCAATCAGTCCTCAAAGCATTAAAAATGCAAACCTTGCTGCTTTCTTGTGGCTCCTCTTCCTCTCATCTCAGGTTATCCATCCCAAGCAGAGCAGCACAGGTAAATTCCTTGGAGCGAAGCCCCCCTGGCAGGAGCATATCTCGCATCTAGGCAAATCTGCAAGTGAAGACAAAGAGCTCCATCTTTTATTGTGGCTTAAACAAAAGCCATGGCTACCTACCTGGATCTCAGCCGCAGGCCAAACCACCTGGTTCATCTCACCTGAATCAAAGGAGCCCCTTTTTAACTGCCTCTTGTTACGAGGCCTTTGACAACATGCCCAGGACATCCTAGAGATATAAACCAGAAAGATAATATTCCCTTGGGACAATCTGAGCTGTAAATTACCTAAATTAAGATCTTCCTGTGGCATTTATAGCAGGAGAAGCTTCCTTCACGGATGCGGAATAGGTCAGGGCAAGCACATCCTTGCAGCTGGAGAAAGCTTGATGGTGAGGCCATGTGGTCAAAAATGGCCAGCAGGATCAAAAGATCTTCCGAGGTCTGAGACAGCTGCACCACCTCCCCAATATCTCCTTGTTTAGGAAGAGGTTATGGAGATATCTGGATGCTGCTGCTGAGTATTTGGCTTACAAAAAATAGGTTGCAGAGTTGAGAATAGAATAGAATAGAAGAATAGAATAGAATAGAATAGAATAGAATAGAAGAGAAAGAATAGAAGAGAAGAGAAGAGAAGAGAAGAGAAGAGAAGAGAAGAGAAGAGAAGAGAAGAGAACACTTTATTGGCCAAGTATGATTGGACACACAAGGAATTTATCTTGGTGCATAAGCTCTCAGTGTACATAAAAGAAAAGATGCGTTTTTTTTAGAGATATATAGAGATAAAGGCAGTGGTGGGATTTGTTGGAAGAAATCATTAAGGCAGACAACCGGTTGTTAAATTATTTGAATCCCACCACTGGATAGAGGTAGTAGATAATGATTAATAATGAATCTGTAATGCATTTCAACAATGATCTTTAAGAACATTCTCAAATAATTAAAGATAATAATTAAGAACATCCACATTTGGGGGATTCTTCAGTTTTTGAGTGCCCAGGTTTCATGATCTTCTGTCAAAACTACAGGCAGAAGAAATGTGGGTAATAGAACATATTCCGTTGGTTCTCCATCTTCCCCTGGATTTGGATAATGCCGTAAATTTGGCCAGGGGGAAAAAATTCACTTGTGGTCTCAGTAAAAAAACAAAACCAGGATCCCTTGCGCTAATTTATCATTTCAGTATTCTGGATTTTTAACCTCTGCAGGTGCCTAGAGCCCAAGACCAAACTTACTTTAAGTAGGTAGAGATACAATTATGGCTGTAAATAATTTATCCTGAGAATGCCCATTGTATATTAAATTTCACAACCCTATTTTATCAAAGACATTCTGTGTGTTCAGGTTTCTAATCCCTTTTAATTTGCATTCTAAATTGTATCACACCAATTTCTCATCAATGGAGGATGAGATTGATCTATTTTTTTTTTTTTACAGATTTTGTGATTCTCATAGCTGCTCCAGGATTTGTCCTCCCTTTTCAAGGAGTCATAAGTACGCTTCCACCTACGAAATGTATAAAATTGGGGAGACTTTATCTCCAATGAATTTTCACTGAGATAAAATATATGTTAGATTTCTTATCTCCTATCTTACTGGTAGTGTAGACTGATGCTTTAAAAAAAACCTCTTACCTTCTAGTATCAAGAAGGGTTACTTGTATATTACAGTTTTTTTTCCAAGCTATGAGATTATCCTTATTTATGTTCCAGTTGTAGACCTGCTGTCTTGATAAATACAGATACTAAGATTTTAACAGTAACCATAGACTGCCTTTTAGATCATTCTTTAATCCATTTTGCATCTTATGAAACAAATTTTGAACATGCTACCAGTTCATAGGGATGGAGCAGAGATTCTTGAATTACAGAGAATCAAGACTCAGCCTGAAGTAGGAAACTGATGGGAAACCGGAATAAAACGCAGCGACTGGGTCTCTGTAGGAGCTTGTATTGTGCTCTGTTTCAAGGCAGATAATGATCTTATTACAGGTTCCAATTACCTGCCTTTAACCTTAATAATTATAAATGATAATACTTTTCTTGGTATCCGTTCAGCTCAGGCTAGATTTACAGCAATGTCAAGATTCTGATAATATTAATAGGAGACTAAATGTAATTTTTAAAAATATACTTTTATTATTTTAACAAACAATATCAGGTAACTACATTAATCCAAGATACATATATAGAGGAAAAAAACCCTAAAGAAATAAAAATACAAAAGGTACATGCTGTAAAGGGAATGGCAGGGAAAATCGTTTCATGGTTCATTTGAACCAGGTTGAAACTTGGGGCCAATTCTTATGTAAAATGTAGAGGTAGATTTTTCCCATTGATATTCAAATCTCTAATTCATTCTTTAACTAATTAATCAAAGTATCCAGCTATTTAAAGCATGGAAGATGTTAAATATTAGGAGCCAGTATTTATCTCCATCCTTTCTGAACTTCCAAGATACAGTAAGCTGTAAATACAAATTTGTGATAACGGAAACTGATTTCTTCATCTCAGGGGTGTGTAGGCCAAACATACCGCAAAGCCTAATGTTCATACAGTTGTGTCTTTCCAGTTTCAGACAATGTTTTAATAGGTTGAAGTAAGATCGAATTAATTGTTTTAGTTAAAAACTATGAAAATATTTTTTCAGTTTTGGTATCTCCATTGGCACCTCTATGTACTTTTAATTATGATATCCTTAATCCTAGACTTTTTATAATTATGTACAAATATAGAAATAAATATTTAATATGTACAGAATCGAATGACGGATAATGAAATTGGCAATTTTAAGGAAGAATAACCACAACTAATTTTCCCACTAATGAGAAAGAACGACCCAAAGAGTTTTGATTGGCCATAGACGAGGGTCACGATTACATTGCCAATTTCTAATTCTAACTTTTATCATTATTATTCCCAAGTGTCTAAATCTACTTGGGCTGTTATTAATCTATCTGATTTCAGGAAAGATTTTTGCTTTCACCAAGAACTACCCTCTTCTTCCTCTGTCCAGGGACGCTAACAAGCCTACGGAAGACAACGGCCCTGGGGTCAGAAAGTCAAGATGTATGAAAAAATGGCTTTATTTGTGGCTGCCATCTTGACTTTTCTGAAACCCCCCCCGCCTTTCTTGTAATCTTGGGCTGAGCCAAGATTTTGTTTTCTGAACATTTTGGGTGGTGGGGAAGGGGATCAGAAAGGAGTGACTGCCGAAGGCTGAGCTTCAACTCTTTCCTCAGCTAAAGAAGAGGAGGGGAAAAAGGAAAGGAAAGAAACAGCTCTGACGTGTGTCATGCTTGTGGGGAGGCCCCATTTACCCCTAACTAGTGAGATATAAAACCCCCCAATCAACGCTTAGGCGGCTTTTCCCAGCTGCTGGCTTGCCCTGAGTCTGAGCTGGGTTGAGACACCGTCTCTCCATCTCCTCCAGTCAGCAGAAAACAATACTGGCGTAAAACTGGCACTCTGCTCCGTTGCCAGTCCTGTCCTGTTTTCCTTGCGTCTGCTTGAAAACACCGATGAATTGGAGCAGTGGGGGATGAACAAAAGCCACCCCCGCTTATCCTTCCATTGTTTCACTACTCCAGCCTTGAGCTGACGGTCAGGACGATTAGCCAGCGGAAGGGCTTTCCTCCCGGACTGGTGGTGGCTCCATCGCTGGAGGTTTCCAAGAAGAGACTGGCAGCCGCTTGTCTGGAATGGTAGAGGTCTCCTGCCAGGGGTCTCCAGCCTTATGATTCTATGCAATTCTGTTCAACCTGTAGGGGACACAGCTCTTCTGGCCACAGAGCTCCTCTTTATTCGGCTCTTTAAGGGCAGAAGAGCAGAACTGAGCCAGCTCATCAAGGATAGGAAGGGCCAAGTCGTCTGAAACGGCCAATAAACCCCAACCCTGATCCTCTCCGTAACTGGTCAGTGGCCTCATCTCCAGCATAAGGGATGGCAGAGACTCCCAGATGTTATACACCTTGAGGCAGCTGTTGAATAGTCTTGGCTTAAGGCGGAAGCGTTGGTTGTTGCCTGGCGCAGGGAAGGCTCACTTAAAGCTGCCTCGGTCAAAGGCTGGGGGTGGCATGAAGGCGATGCCCACGGGACACGGAGAGGGACGATGGGGCAGGTCTCCTGCTGGCCCAGTAGAAACCTGAACAAATCTGGTGAACTGTTACAGGTGGTCCTTCACTTATAACCATTCGTTTAGTGAAAATTACAGTGACTTATGACTGTTTTTCACGCTTACTACCATTGCAACATCCCCATGGTCAACTTGATCAAAATTTGGATGCTTGGCAAACTGACTCATATTTATGACGGCCGCATAGTCCCAGGGTCATGTGATCCCCTTTTGCGACCTTCTGACAAGCAAAGTCAATGGGGAACCAGATTCACTTAACAACCATGTTATTAACCGAACAACTGCTGTGATTTACCGGTACTTAAC